CACCCTCACCCTCACCCACACCCTCACCCTCACCCACACCCTCACCCACACCTTCACCCTCACCCACACCCTCACCCATACCCTCACCCTTACCCACACCTTCACCCTCACCCACACCCATATCCACACCCATCCTTCGACATTTTTATATTTCGACTAATTTCAAATTCGACATTTCTACCCTTCGATATTTTAATATTTCGACTATTTTTAATTCGATATTCTTACATTCGACATTTGTCTAATTTTTTTTCGACATTTTTACCTTTCGATCTTTATATACTTCGACATTTTAGTTTTTCGACCAAAGTTGGGATTACCGGAATTTTGTCTTGGTCGATTTGATCCATTTATATGCACTTGTTCATAAATCTAAAGTTATTGTTTGTCTGTCTTTGTAACACTTTAAACCTTTTTCGTATGATTTGAACTATTTCTGAACAATATCGAACTCAGATTGAAGCGAACAACAAGAAAACGCGTTTTGAACGCATTTGGTGTTGCTGCGAACAACTACTCGAATGCGTCTCATACGACACTACTTAATCTAATCTTGGTAATCAGTGTCAAATCCTTGACATTGAGGGTGGGTGTGAGTGTGGGTGAAGAGAAGAGCATCATCTACACTCATCGCCACACCCACACCCACACCCTCAAGATTATCTTTATCCTTTTATTCTCCGTTGGCTAGGGGCTCAAGTTGAAGATGATGTCAAACTCGCCAATATAGATATCTTCTTGTCCTATTCAACCAATTTATTAAAACTCGAACCAGGAGTTACTAGCTTTGGTTTCGTCTTATTAGTTCCTACTGAGATGACACTTGAGGGTGGCCATCGTGTAGATTACATAACACTCGGATCTTATACAAATCTTGCGAATGGATGTTCAATCTTGCCGGGTAGTTATCTTGCATCTCATACTATGGTTGGCAATTTAACACGTATCACGCGAGAAACGAATAGCAACAATGGAGATGTTTTCATTGGTGTTCCAGCGCGTGCTATGCCATTTCAAATGCCCATTATACAAGTAACAGAAGATCAACTTGAAACTATTCCATTTTGGAAGACATGTTTTTCTCATTATATTAGCAAATGTCTTCTCATAGGCATCTATTGGTCATGTGGTCTTGTTGGTGGACCAATTCTTCACACAATAATTGTATGCAGTTTCGATCGATGGTATTTATATACAGATAATGAAATAATCGAACAAATAATAAGAAGACTACAAGTAGATCATGAAATTTTTATTTGTTCATTTCTTGGCAATACACAATGGCTAATTCGCTTATTTCGCGCATATGGTGCAAACATCGGCAACAATGTAATCATACCCGATGTTTGCTCTATTTTTGATTACAATTTGGTGACCATTGGAGATAATGTTCGACTCAATATCAATGCTCATATTGTGGTAATACATACGTTTCTTATTATTTTCCATATATACATTATTGTTCTTTACAACCATTTCAGGGTCACACTTTCGAACAACGTATTTGGAAGGTAGCTCCTGTTACAGTAGGCAACTCGTGCGTTCTTATGAGCATGTCAATTGTAATGCCGGGTTGTAAATTAATGGGTAACAATCGACTTTATCCTTTTACACTCGTAATGAAAAATGATTTATTACAATCGAACACACAATGGAAAGGAATTCCTGCACGTAAGTCGTTTAGATAGATGAAGCTAGGCACATTTGTATTATAATACTATTAAGATGCTAAGTAAGATTCTGTAAATTTTAGTTTGTTCATGAGGATTCTGGATATTTTTTATCTGCATTATGTATAAAGCATGACTTTCTTGAACTTTCCATCTATCATATTTTCTAAAATTTCTTGTAATGATATATATATTCAATTGACTGTCGTATGATTTGTTCTGCATCTCAGAATGAAAAAGTCTGAATGAATAGATCATTTTCTATTATTGATGGTCGGTGACTGAAAAACTCATTTGATCGATATGACATACCATTTAAAATAGCTTTTCTTCTCATTAACTTTTCAATTGATTATTATCTATGATATATTCAGCGTATTCAATATACTTTTGTCGTCTTTTATGACTTGTTGTTAATATACATCAAATTTTAATGTATTTTGCCATTAGATTTGACTTTAAACTATCTATTCAAATCTTATCAAATAGAGATTTGTATTGCATATCAATAAATAAAGTTTTGTCTGATTTCTTCGTAATATGAAACTAATCGATAACGCATATGTTCTTTAGAAATTTTTTTAAATTATTCCAATATCCTCGTTATCCTTACTTTTATTTCAAATATCCTATATGCAGTACACTCTAGACCCAATAAAAATTAGACTTCTATCATTATAGACTTTGATTAAATTGAACAGTGTTCTAATGAAATCCGAAAATCTAAGACCTACATATAGTCAAATGATGTGATATGATTGTATATTTACCGTATTTTTCTAGAATTGGCAAACAATATCGTACATTTTCTTTGATTCTTTGAAAGTAATATCATTCAAAGTTAAACTGTTCTTTTGATGATCATCCTATATGATATATATACATCATTTTATTGTACTGAATTATTTTCTTTTAGAATCTTATGTAGCAAAACCAATATTATCTCGATCTGCACCCATTTGTGATGATGTCATCATATGTAAACAGAAATCTAACAACTTTGATCGACTGTCTTTGTGGTATGAACAAATTTCAAATGTCTATAAGAATGTCAATGAACTACAATTTATGAATTGGGGTTATGCAGATTTGGGTGAGCATATCGATGATAATACGGGTTACTATTCGGAGAAACTTTATCAACAAGTAAGTGAAGATGAATGAAGGAATCAAATCCATTTGAGTTGAAATATTTGTGATATAGTATCATAGAGTAACTTTTGATGCCTGAATTAATTAATAAGAATCTTACTCATACCACAATTTGAGTTATTTTATTATTTATAAACTGAAAAATAAAAATCACAATAGAGAGAAATCAATTTATTCATTACTCTAATGGATATATTTCCATTAACAGTTTCAACTTCTATTTGGCTGATTATGAATGTTTTATAACATATTTTATAAAAAGTGAATCAAAACAAATTTCATACATCAGAAAATAATACAGTTACTGCATTCTTTTCCAATATTATTATATACGTGATCTGGAATATAATAGTGTACTGTTTGTGTATTTCTAATAGAAATATCTGATAAACACTAAATGTGAAACAAGATTTGTTTAAAATAGAGAAAATCTTGTGATAATCTTTAGCAAGACTTCTGATGAGAAGAAGTTACTTTATCATAAGTATTCGACAAATAATAGATAATGAATCGATCGAAACCGAAGAATTTTTGAGTTGTAACTCATTAGTATGAATAGCTCAAAATGAACTAATCACGATTTTAGTTGTGACAGTATCAGCATAAGATTTAAATATTTTCTTCAAAAATATATTAGAAAATATATAGAACTACTAGGTCCGCCTTAATCTACTTCTGTATTTCTCAAAAAAAGTGAATAATAAATGAAATGATGAGTAACAAATATAGTAGCAATCACCATTAGAATATTTTGTTTTTCATTCTAGGTTCTTGCTAATGTAACACTTACAGATCAAAATATACTCGAAGTGGGCTGTAGTAGAGGTGCTGGTGCTGCCTGGTGTGTTCGTACATATGCTCCTCGATCTTATGTTGGAATAGATCCTTCTCGAGATGTTATTAACCTATGTCAACAATATTATTCAACAATTCCTCAACTCTCATTTATGATAGCTGATCCAAAAACTCATTTGCCGTTTCAAAATGAGTCAATGAATATTGTTCTCTCAATTGAAACAACAAACACTATTGATGAAATGGAAGCAGTGAAGAAATTCGTCGATGAACTTACTCGTGTGCTTACTCCTAATGGATACTTTCTCTGGTGTGGATTGTGTGATGTAGATGGTTCAAGTGCATTGATTGATCATTTAATAACAAATAATGCATTTATAATCAAAGAGAAGGTCAATATTACAAGAAATGTTCTTCATGCACTTGACATTCAAAGTAACTCACGTGTTGACTTTATTGAGCGTTATATTCAACCTGTAGATCAAGAATATTGTCGTCCATTTGCTGGATTACCTGGCACTCAACTATATAATAATATGCAACAAGGACATGCAGAATATTATCGAGTTGTATTCCGCAAGAAGATAATAAAAAACATACTTCATATTTAATACTAAATGTTGACTTCACATTACTAACATTTTTTCTTTTTTAAACTAACCCAAATATTTATGCTTACTACATGGTGGTATTTTACTTTAACTTTTTTTAGTACCTTAGTTTTTTCATAATAAATAAACAAGCAGTATAGTTACTGTAGAATATCTTGCGAGGATGCAGTTGTAAGATCAATATATACATCTCACATGCTCATAGTTCAAACAGATATTTTCATTTACATTACAATTTGCTCTAAAAGAGTGAATTATTGCTAAAAAAACAAAAAGTCGTTGTCGTAGTTAGATATCAATGTTCAGCGAATTATCTCAAATATCTCGGATTTTCTTAGCAAAGTGTCAAAAGGCAACTATTATTTACATTGAAATGATGTTTATATTCTTGCATTTGATTTGATTTTTGTCTAAAGGTTAGAGAAGTTTGATTGACAAATAGAACAAGAAAACAGGCTTCTGTCTTAGTAAAAGAACTTTGGAGCTTTCTTCAGTTTCAAGATTTGGAGATGTTTTGGTAGTATGTTTTGTGCAAAAAGGTTTATTCTCTCAGTTCATGTATTTGGATAACTTTGAAATAGGTCTTGAACAATAAATTAGTCTGTTAATTCATTGGTTTGATAACAAACAAAATCTTTGTGAATCAAAACGAATAAAATACGGACTCCTATTATCTCAGTGGCACACCATGTTCCTATTCCGAGCAGGACTTTATGTTATGTAAATTGGTCGTTATGCACAAAATATACTACCAGACCATCTTTTAATATTGAAAGAAAAGCAAGGTTCTTGGATCAGAAAACACTTTCTTTATTCTCTCATTTAATAGTACAAGTGCTAAGCATCGTCTTCTTTTTATTCAAAAGTTTTGGGGAATATACGTATGAAATTCCTAAAATGACACTCATTGATTTATCATAATTCTTGAACGACTGAAAAAACTTATCTAATTGTTCTATTCACATATTGATCACTAGTATAGTGGTTTGGAAGATTTTAGCTTAACTTTCAAATAACTTACTTCTGAGTATCTGTTTCTTTTGAAGGAGTCATAGAAAGATGATCCATATGATTGAAGGAGTTTTACACATACACACAATCTCTTACTCATTAGGAATAGATGTAAACGTGGATATATCTTCACCATAGATTATTTCAATGAAGATCAGAATACCTCTATGTTCTAAAACTGGTTGGAGACTTTTGAGACTGATTAAGCATGAGTTAACGTGGCATCAAATCAATATATTATGGTCAGCATATTTTGAACCAAAAGCATTTTTAATCCTCGTCAGACAGTTTTCTTGATTGATGATATTGTCAGGTTGGTAAACTATAACTTTAGCTCATAATACTTTGAATTCGTAAGACTTCATTGAGATATAAGAAAAAGATATCGACATTGATAAAAAGATATGTCACCGTTGATCCATCTCTTGTTAATAAAGTTGAACTTTGATTACAGTCCTTTTTTAGCTGTTGACACATAAGCAACAATACTAGGAAACATTGAAATGAGATTTTCTGTAGTTTTTTCTAATGTTAAAATGGGTGAATGTTGATAACTATGACTGACACTCGCGATTAGATGATTCGAGTTCCTACAAAGCACTATTTATAAAATGATCGCGAGTCACGAATATCGCTTGTAACTATCATATATTTATCCCTATAAGACAAAAGAACTACAAGTTACTAAGAAGCTCGATCTGTCGTAATATTCGCTCGTTTTATACAATTTGTATGAATGTTATAGTCAACTGAGTCCAACACTATCATTTGGAGTTACACATGTGTAGAGAATCATGTTTTGTTGATTATTTTGACTAAAAGTGTTCACTAATTTCAAGATATTTTTTGATTAAGTTTTTAGTTAAGTGACATTTTACTTTATTAGAAGGTTCTAAGTTATAAATAGAACTATGGGCACGAACAAAAAGATGATCGGAAATGTGAAGAAGAACAGTTAATATATCTTAGGTGGACAATTAGTACAAGATGAATAGAGAGCGGGTATGATGTGGATGAGGGTATTCTTTTTATTTATTCCCCGATATATACCCTTCACCTGTACCTATCTTTTTCTTCAATATGTCGAAAATGGTCAAAAAATACCGAATTTATTAATAATTTCATTAGAAAAACAATTAACATATGTCAAAACGAAATCTTTATTCAAATTCTTTATTATATTATTCATAATGGACAATCAATGAAATCTCTTCAAAATACAGTGTAAAAATCTTTCATTTATTAATCAATCGTAATGTACTTGAATTGAATGATTAGATCTATAAAAACTATGAAATATTATTAAAGAAAACAAATGATTTAGATATACAACGAGAAATTATTGAAACAATTGTATATTATTTAGAAAATCAAGCAATTAAGAATATTTCATAAATTAAATTAATTGAGAAATAGTTTTCAAATAAATCAAAATGCACAAATAAAATATTCATCATGTTTAGCTCTATATGCAATTATTAATCAAGGATATAAATTATCAAATGAAACATTAGATCAGTTGCAATCTTATGCACAAAGTGATGATGATTTAAGAGGTATTTCAATGAATAAATTAAATAATAATCAAATTGATGTTTTAATTAATTATGAAAAACTTGTAAAAATAATATTAGAAAATCTTCAATCAGATTTGAGTTCTCAAACTGCAAAAGAATTCTTATCAATGATGATTGATAATCATAATCAATATTTATTATGAATATATTAAAATCTTCTTTAATTTCAAATGATTCACCAATACAATTAAAAATTATTCTTTTTTAAATATTTCAAAATATACTTCAACTTCTCAATTCATCACACATTGATTCAATTATCGATTTTATTAATAATCCATTATTAACTCAATCAATTCTAAATTTTATTGAACAATTAATTAAAAATCAAATCTCTTTTTCTGATTTATCTTTACATAGTTTAATTAATTTCATATCCAAATGTGAAGATTCATCATTAATAGATCAAGTTATCCAATACTTAAAAGAAATAAGTCGATATGATAAAATTGTATCAACTACATTAACATTAATTCAATTCGAAATAAGTACAAAACAATTACAAAGTCCTCATTTAACTATTGAAGAGAAATCTTCAATTATTAATCAATAGTTGAATTTTGTTAAAAAAGGTCATCGATTACCAATTGAATGAAATAATTCACAGTATTATTCAGCGTTCAATTGAAAATGGTCAAAAAATGCCATCGAAATTGCAGTAATGTCAAAGTCGAAACTTGAATTCAAGTATTCAACTATTCAACTATTCAGGTATTCAGTTGAGGGTGGATGTTTGATTGATATAAAACCTAAACACCACACCCTCGTTGTATTATATTTAAACAATGTTTATTATGAACATTATTTTGTTGAAATGTTCTTCTAGTTGAATAACATGCATATGGATTCATATCAATAGCAAAAAAAAGACATGATGATGGACAAAAATGTTTAGCAATAAATGTTGTTGCTAAACCTGAACCACAACCAAATTCAAGAATAATAAAAGGTTTTTGTTCAAGAATTTTATTTAATTTTAATTCAAGTGCATCAAGAAGTAGAAATGTATCAGCATCTGGTTCATAAATTTCATTATAATCATTTCGTGTAAAATGAGATAAATCAGGTGTTGGAAACATTTCGTTGTTCGATTCTTTTCAAAACGATTGACTATAACTAACAGACGGCAGCTTTATGATCTAACATAGATGATGACTCATACACATTAATTTGAATGAACGAATAATATATAAAATGACTTGAATTTTATGTATAAAATCATAATTTTTAGTTTTGAACTAAAATTATAGAAAAATCTTTTTGTTATTTTATAAAGTTAAATTTTATGTCAATACAATTCAGCACCATCTATAATAAGAAAATTTCTTTTATTTTTTGCCATTGAAAATGTAAACTTAGATCGTATTTTTTTACTTTATATACTTGTACTGTATTATAGTGAATCAATTGATTAGAAAATTGTATCATATAGTTAACGCTTTTATTTGTGTAACACTCTTGAGTGCTTACACTTTTTGAATACGATATGATTAAGAGACAGCGGAGAAAGGACACACACCATAAGGAAAACGACACACTGTAGGATTATACAAATGAGGAGCCAACAAATGACGCATACAAAAATATGAAAGACGAATGGGGTGGGGGGATGTACACAACACAACCTCTTGAATGAACAATTAACAGGTGCGAGGAAGGGGAAACGAGGATACCAACGAACGAAAGGTCCAAACTACAGGTCAATCACTGTTTACTTACAAAATCTAGCCATAATAATAGCTCCGATTGGTGCCTGATTTTCATGTTTTTCACTCTTTTCATACTCAAATACTGTCCTATTCCTACTACCCCCTCTCTATTAAAAGTATCCCAGAAGAATATATCTTCTAGGAATAGTGAGGTACCCAGATTGGTTGAGTACATATTTTTTAGTCGCTTCTCTATATATTTCTTTACATAACTATCTAGGAGAACTTCTCTAGCTAGTGCGAAGAGATACTTCTCACTTACAAATGAGGCGCGATGGATCAGTCTTATAGCTACTCGGTATTTTCTGCGAAGACTTTCTTGTTGCGCTTTGCGGAGGATAGGGAAGATGGGAAACACCCATGCTATATGAGGGAAAATGTGGGCAAAGAAACATCTTCTCAGTACTTCCGTAGTTAAAGTTCTACCCGATCTTAACCATTTCAGTTTGTTCAAGGCTATCTGGTTTTTTTCAAGGCATGTGTTAATCGTCGAATGTAGAGAGAGCTTGTCAGTCCAAGTATAGCCAAGATACTTGAAGGATCTGATGATCTCTAATCTCTGTCCTGACATGAAAACGTTCACTATGCGTTTTCCAATCTGGGAGCGAACAACTTGGCCGACACATTTGCCTATATTAATTGGCTGCTTCCATAGTTTCGAGTATTGTGTGATTTTCATACACACTTTCGTACCCTCGATCTCCAAATCGTGAATCAAGTCCTTGAGGGATTTTTGAAGCGGGGATCTGATGAGTACACACAGGTCATCTGCGAATAGATGATCGGGGTGTGCTCCAAAACACTTAACTAAGTCACAATGATAGACTACGAATAAAAAGGGACTTAAACTACTGCCTTGAGGTAAACCTATCCTAACCTTTCTTCGTTTGGATTTTTTCGAACCAAAACTTACGTGTGCGGTTCGATCCGCCAACCACGATTCTAGCATCTTGAGTAGGCTCATCGGTATTCCTAGGCTAAAAAACTTCACCATCAGATTTATGTGCCACACCCTGTCATAGACCTTTTCATAATCTACATAAATAGCTAGTGTGGGAGCATTGGCTGCTAAATTATTTTTCATCACTTAAAACATAGACAGAGCTCTTGTCTGTAGGAGACATTTGCTCCTAAACTCAGACTGTTCTTCTGGCACTAATTTATTTCCTTCAGCCCATAGTCGCACTCTTTCCAGAAGAACTTTTTTGAAAAAGTTTAGAGTGTGTCGAGACAAGCGAGATGGGTCTAGTTTGATTGCAGCGTCGAATTCCTGCTTTTAGTTTATTCAGTGTGATCACTTTTACTATTTTGCAAAAGTTCAGGTACCTACACTCTTTTAACCAGGTGTTAAAACATTTCACTAAGCACTCTATGTAAGTTGGTGGAAGCATTTTTAACATTTAGTTAGATATTTCATCGAAATCAGAAGACTTTTTCCCTTTCATCTTCTTTATTAATATTTTTACTTTAGCAACTGAGATTGCTTCTAGTTCTAAATCCTGTGTATTCGTCAATAAATCCTTGATAGTCTGATGTTCAAGAGCTACCTGCACATCCTGCTTGTTGTTTATCTTTATTTCAGGAGCTTTTGATTGTTCCTCGACCTACGTGAAAAGTGCATCTATTATTTCCTGTTCATCAAAAAGAGCTTTTGTGCCTACCATTAGTTTCGAGAATGGAAGAGTCTTAGCTTTGTAAATTTTTCTTAGATGCGACCAAAACATTTTTTCTCTTTTGTCGTGACTACCTTGAGTTGGTTAATAAATTATGGATTTGGAAATAATCCGTTGTCAGTTTATTTTATTATCTAATTGTTATTTTGTGCTGTTCATTTAAATGAAAGTTAAATTCAATATATTCTCTTTCTCGTAGAGAAGAGTCCAGTAAACATAAATTGTCTGATTCCTTGCTTGCTTGTTTGTCCGCACGCTCAAAAAAACCATCGAAAATCAATTTTTTCAAAAAGACATTTCTAGAGCTTCTTCGATGCAGGGAGTTCAAATCTGAGGTCTGTTGGGTCGAAATAAGGTACATATAAATTCACTTTTTTCACTTTTTTGATTTTCAACACACTGCGTACAAATTCGAACGTTTCGCATCGATACCATCAATCATGAAAAAAGTGAACTTATATGCAGCTTGTCTCGACCAGTCTGTTGGGTGACCATGGGAGGGGGAAGATGAAGAGGAGTGAAAGGTCAAAAAGCATCGAAAATCAATTTTCATTTGTTTTTCTAGTAAATGCGAAGAAAATGCATTTCTACGAGAAAGCGCTAAGCGAATCCTCGGACGAGCGTTACTTGTTTAATTTGAATTCATCGTAATTAACACAAATATTTATTGTTTTTTTCTTTTCTTTTTTTAGATTGTGAAAGAATAAATAATTATAATGTCTGCAACACCAGAAAACACATAAAGCAAAACACGACTATTCATTGTCTTCTGAGAAAGTACGTAACGTAATATAGACATAGATCTCTCTTCTCCTTCCCAATTCAAGATAGAGAATATATTTACTGCCAACAGAATAGAGAAGGAAAAAAAAGCTTTTTTTCGTTGGCTGAGTTTCCTTCACATTGGATAGTCGTTTTGCTTCTTATATTTGCCCGATGAACAAAACATTCGTCTGTCGTTTTTCTTCCCATGACCTTTGTTTTCCCTCTGCTCCCCATTAGCTGAAACAAAAATACAAGAGTTAGTCGCGTCATTCTTCAAATAGCCATGTGCAAACCACAAAATAAATCAAAGGTTTTAGGCTCCTTTTAATTTTAAAATCCTTTTTTCTTCTCTTCATATAATTATTTTTAATTTTTTTTACTCTTTTAGCGTCCATTACGTGTTGGTCAACAACAACATATTACAACGGCTCAAGCGGTTAATGTTTTACTTCAAAATCCAACAGAAATCAGTGAAAATGATCGACAATTGTTAATTCAAATATTAACAAATCTTGGTAATGCACCACCACCGCCAACAACAACAACTACTACTACAGAAGCACCATAAACTGCGTTCGTTTCTACTTTTTCTTCATCATGTTGTTATAACGGATTCTTTTCCATGAAGAAAAAAATAACTAAAAAGTAAAAAAAGGTATCGGGCATATCTCGATTAATTAAAAACTTTTTATTTAATATATCTTATTAACTAGAGTTATAAGAAAGAATAGTAGAAAGAGATGCATCTAGATGTTTTGATGCTGTTGAAATTAATGAAGAGGATCTTATTATTAATTTTGAACATAAACTAAAACAACGAAAATCTGATCTTGTTACAATTGAAATATCTGTTTATAATTATACAAAATTAATCGTTACACTTGATGATTTAGTTAAAGATGAAGAACTAAAAGATTATGATAAAAGTTTATTATTACTATTGTTATTATTATTAGTTAAAAAAGAAAATGTATAAGAATTTTGTTTGAATAATTATTAGAGAGATATTAGTATTCCAGAAAATTATTAATAAGCAAATATGAATTTAATTTGAGAAAGAAAAATGGCAAAACAAATAAATTTAGATGATTCAGAATGATCTATTCTAACATGTATTGTAATAAGAAATTAATTTATATTTTTAATAAATTCTGTATGAATCATTTTATATTTTTTATTTTAGCAACATTTATTAGTGTATACACTTAATACAACTCATTTTAAAAATAATCAAATATCATTTGACTGTGAAATTGATGATAATGTCATTCAATCAGTTCTTGAATTTGAATGTATTGTCGACAAAAGAACAATTATATGTGATTCAATTCTTTTTCATAAAATTCATGTTGAAGAAGAAAAAATAATTATTAAATGATTAATAATTAATAAAAAGTAAAAAATGAAAAAAAAGATTATTATTAGTAAACATATAATGATTAAAGATGAAACAAAAAGAGATTTAATAATGATTAGAAAATATTTCAGACTCTTTCAAGTATATATATGTATCAATTAAAGAAAAAAATTACCTTTGAAAAATTAAAAAATTAAATTTCAATATATAGGGTGCGGGTGGGTAACAGGATTGCCAAATCCAAATTTCAGAAATCAGGGTCTTTTCGTTGAAAAGTAGAGACTGAGTAGCAGACTTTCCTTGAGTTGAGTCTATGGTTTTTTTTATTTCAAAGTGAATTGTAGAAAAAAATCGATCTGTTTCTCTTGAAAAACTGGTGAAATCAGGGGGCCTAGGGAAATGATGCCATGCAAAACATACAAATAACTTGTTTAACGCTTATCTAATAGGTCCTAACGGTTGACATGAAAAATACTGAAAATACCGCACTTCTATTTCTATTCTTTCTGATTCCTTTTTGTCCGTTCATCCTTTTCTTCTAATTACTGATTTTATAATCTGTTCAGTTACAATACCTTACATGTGTACACATAACGTCTCTGCTTTTACTGTTATGATAACAATATACAGAGCATTGAAGAATTGATAGTGCTAAAATGACAGTATGAGTAGGGGCATTCGGGAGGCTAAGAGGTCTAGGGAGACTAGAGGAATAGAAGGACTAGATGCGCTATTTAGTCTTTCACTTTTATAACTATTGATGATAATACTGGTATGTCAAAGTTATAGATCCTTCCTATAGATATATCAAATTGTTTATTTTATTTCGACAACAAATCGCATTAAGGTGCTAGTGACATGCCTATATAAGGTTATTTAAGTATTATCTAATACCGTAGTCTCGCTTCTAAATCTCTTTCCCTTTGAAGAAAAGATTATAAAAAACAAAAAAATACCTGTAACATAGTTATTGACTCTCGTGATAGAAAAAACATATTTTCTCGTCGTTTAACGCCTTGCAAACATTCAGTTTTAATATTTTATTCTACTATTAACTGTTTTTTACCTCTTCCATCCTATTCTATGTTTTCCCAAAAACATCATACCTCGAAACTTCACAACTTTAGATATCTGTTGGACTTTCGGCATTTACTAGTTGAACTTTGGCAGCAGATAATTATTTCGTGTTTCCTACTCACTGAAAACTAAAAAAATCAGTAATGTCAAACTCGAAACTTGAATTCAACTATTCAGTTGACGGTGGATGTGTGATCGATATAAGAACTTAAACACTGTCCTTTTAGTCGAATAACATGCATATGGATTCATATCAATAACAGAAAAAAGACGTGATGATAAACATAAATGTTTAGCAATAAATGTTGTTGCTAAATCTGAACCGTATTTCGTAAAGATGTCAACACAATTCAGCGCCATCTGTAATAAAAGATTTTATTTTATTTTTTGCCATCGAAAATGTACATAATAGAAATATTAATATATCAGAATTTTCTGAACTAATTATTTTTTATTAAATAAGCCATGTTGTAATAAAAATTATTCACTACTTCTTTTATATTTTTCGATAGACTGCAGATAAATGATATAAAATGAGATTTATATGAAAATAATTTCTTCATAATCAACAATGACGTAAATACTTAAATAGAACTCCTAGACGATTATTAACACCTGGAAAAAAACATATTTTTGAATTGAACCATACTCAAGAATTTCCTTCCGTTTCAATATACATTCATTTCCATTCTGTCTTCGCGAAAAAAAATACATAACACCTTCTTGATCACACATTTGTTAAGTATATACTCAAATCAATAATTCGTTTTCTTTTTCATCTGATTCAAAAGTAAAAAAATGAATGAAACAACACCTTTTGCAATAGCAATTGTTATTTACTGTCACAGTCAGTAGCCACTCATCGTATATATATATCATCTCTATCAAAGTATATATACTTATGGTTTCTTAATCAAACTTTCTCTCATTTTATATTGATGATGATGATGAAGGCAAGGTTTCCATGCCGCATATATATATATGTATGTATGTATTTATTTGTCCAAGTGAATTGAGATTTCTTCATCGATCATTGCTGTTCTCTATGGTATCATTAGGTTATTATAAGAATTCAATATAGATGAATCTATCGAATATGTCTCGTTTCTTTTCTTTTTTTTTTCTTCATTCGAAAGTGATGATAGTGGAAATAACTGGGTAGATGATTAGAATTTCTGTTTTGTTTAATACAAAGACAAGAAAAAAAAATAGAAAAGATAGGAACTGCCAATTGACAGGAAACAAAGACAAGAGAAAGGCGCGCGCACACATTCAAGTTGACATTTCCGCTCATGTACATTTATTCAGCTGTGTGAAATTCCGTCGTCACTCAGCATGAGATCGTCACATCACGTCAAGAAATCATCATAGATTTTTTTTTCAAAAAAAAATCAAGAAAACAACGATAAAAGCTGAATATAGACTGACAAAAAAAAAGGCAAAATAATGAAAAGCAACGACTGTTATACAAAAAAAAAAAAAAGAAAAAGAGAAAACAAACGAAAAAAAAAATATTAATTCCATGAATGATCGTTAAAGGCACTTCCTCCAGTTGTAACTACTTGTGGAGGTAGAGGTGGTGTTGCACTAAAACGTTGTTGTAAATCATCTGAATCACCACCCGAAGAATCCGGTACTGTCACTGATTCATGATGCATAGAATAGGATAAATCTAAATTTATTTCAAAAAATACAAAAAGAATATTTTAATTTAAAAATTCATACCACCAGTTGATCCATAATTAAGTCTTTGTAATTCTTGTTGCATCATAAAATCCGTATAATTCTGTGTAGTTGTTGGTGGTCGTTGATACATAAAATCTCCTTGAAATCCTTCTGAGTAAAAGCAAAAAAAAAAAAAAGAAGTTTTTAATCGAAATTTTACAACAAAAGAAATTTCCTACCTGGTATATAATTTAAACCAGGATGTGGAATTATTTCATCATCAAATGGTCTACCTGATGTAACACGTCGATAATAATGTCGACGTGATCCACCACATGTAATTGATTGTTTAATACGTCGTTCTTTCGATCGACGATTTTGAAACCATACTTGTATAACACGCATAGCTAATCCTGTTTCACGTGCTAATTCTTCTCGTATATGTCGTGTTGGTTTCGGTGTTGCTGCAAATGCTGATTTTAATTGTTCAAGTTGTTTTGTTTTAATTGTCGTTCTTGGACCACGTTTTTTAGGTCCATTAGAATTTCCATTATCTGTATTATCAAGATTAGATTTTTTTTGATGATATGATGATGATGAACAAGTACTTGAAGAATTATTATTATTATTTGTATTTGTTAAACATATTTGATCATCATCTTTACAATCTATTGAACAATCCGACATATGTGTATCACCATCTTCTTCTTTTAAACAATCCGATGAACTTATATTTGAATTTGGTGTAGATGTTGGTGGTTGAATTTGTTGTGATTTAAATGAAGAATTTTCTTTATCATAATCATGTTCACTTTTTATTTTACTATCATTTTCAAATTCATCTTGACATTTCATTCGAGCAGTAAAATCTTCTTTACATATAAAACGATTATCATGTGTTAAATGAATTTCTTCGCCTGTATTCACTTTACGTAAACATAAACAACATTTATAACAATCCCAATGATACAATTGGTCCCATGCACTTAAATAATATTCACCTTGACTAATTTCTTGTAAACAACCTGAACAACGACGACACCAATAACGTCTAAAAAACACCGAACTATTTTATGTAATTATATATTTTTTTTTTCTTCTTACCTATAAAAATCTCTGTGACAATAAAGTTTTCCATCACGTGTATAACATTTTTCTGTTAATAATTGATCACAATCAACACATCGTATACAATGACCATGCCAAAGACGATCTAATACTTCATATATCCATTGATCTTGTATAGATTCATTACAACCAGCACAGACAGAAAACGTCATCTAAATTAATAACTTTTCTTTTAAAGTCAGTAAAGTACTAATAGAAGATTAAATACGTTTACTAATCTTCAAATAAATGAAAAAAAGCTTAGCATGAGGTAAAAGATAGCTTAAGTATATACAAAAAATTAATTCTTTCACATTGAATTTTCTAAAAAGAATATTAAATAAAGAAGAAGAAAAAAAAGAAGAAGTTCAATAGAGAATATCAGTCTGCTTAAAATTTACTATGACTCAGATCATTCTATCATAAACGTATCCCCTTCAAATGATGAAACGAATATGAATCGATATGCTTATTTCATGGTTTGATGATGCATGGAGAAGCAAAACAGAACAGACAGAGTATTTGCTTGACACATTTCATGCTAGAGAGAGAAAGGAAAAGAGAAGAAGAAGATGAAGACGTGTGATTCGAATACTATACTATAAAATGCGTAAAAAAATATCTGTTTGTTTCTAAACTGACAACTCGTTTGATTCATACACATATATATATAGGTAGGATAAATCTGGTGCAATATAGTATATTATGAAGCCAATTATTCGTTTATTAACAAGCTACTTGAATTTGCAATTATCAATTCAAATGGTTTCTTATTTGACAATGATATATATACAATACAGTAAAAAATAAAACGAAATGAAGAATCACTAGAAAAAAAAATCAATATTTATTTTTCTTGGACTATCTATTTGAAAATAAGTAAAAGAAAATTTTCTTTTGATAATATGATATATGATGGTAAATCAAATAGAAGAATAGTTGCTTTTTCATTTTTAGCATATGCAATATACATAAATACTTACATTAATTCATCAAATGTTGTTTTGATTATGTAGTAAGATGAAGATCTGCAAACAAGATCAGGTAGAAGAAGAAGAAGAAGAGAGAGAGAGAAGAGAAGGTGCTGTATATTACTCTTTGATGAAGAACAAGAAAAAAAACACTCTTACTTATAAGAAAGAAAGAAATATGTTGCTTCTTTTCTTCTATTGGATGTCATCATTCTTTTCTCGGTCGTTTGTCGACGAACCGGGTCGGGAGAAGAAGAGAGAGAGAAAGAAAAAAAACTGCAAGTATAGAACGATCAAGTATACATAGAATGATGATATGAAAAAGAAACCAACCAACCAAATAATAGAGTAAAATAGTTCTTTTCTTGTTACCATATAGACAGAAAAAGAAGAAGAAAAAAAAAGAAAAGTATGAGGAATTCCATTGAATGAACACAATACATATGAGTTCGTATTTCTTTCGATGTGTGTGTTTTTTTTGTCCCCTCGAGTCCTGTTACGGTTGAATTCGCAAAACGTATCTCACACACATACACACACATATATATATATGTGTGTGTGTATGTGTATGCGTATCTTCTTCTTTTGACACTCGTTGTCATATATACATTTTTAATTATCATCACTAATTTGTATGTTGACCTCAGAAAAGACAATGATGAATCTGGTTTGTAGTAGAATTGTTTATTAGAAACAAAAAAAAAAGTTTTTCTTTCATTAACAGAATGCCAGACGTCACGGACATAAATAAACATAAGAAAAAAGATGTGTTTGACTCATCACACTTTTGAGTGTTTAATTATTACTTGCTATTGCTATGTCTATGACAGGTACCATTATGTTTCGTTGATAAGAAAAGTCAAATCATCAAATATATTGTATATATTTTTCTCTATGTTAATGAAAATGGGAGTGACCATATATACACACATATGTTTCGAACATTTATATTGAGAACAAAGAAAAGATAGAAAGATATTAGTCGGTGCTATATAGTTACATCAAGTGAGAGAATAATTGTGATTCTTCGAACAGTCAAACACATTTTCTTTGATTTATCTATAATCGATAGTCATTCGTAGTTGTTTGTTTATTATGTTAAAGTGAGAATCATTATAATTCAACACTTATCATCATCATCATCATCATCAAACGAATGCCTCGAGCTATACAAAAAAATATCTTTATGTTATCAAACATTTGCTAATTATATTTTAGTTTTCTTTCAAAAAAAACGAATTATGTAAGTTGGCATCTGTTAAAAAACAATGAACAGATGGATATATTCAAGAAATTCGATTCGAATGATTATGTTTGTTCTACATATATATATATATTGTTCACTTGATCAGTATGAGTTGCTTGTGAGATTAGAGGATTTGTGACAAAACAAACTGTTGGTCACCATTACACTATGATATTGACACACACATACACAAAAAAAAGACTAACACGTTAGACATAGTGATTAAATATTGACTAAGAGCAATAGCAACTAGTTCGACAAATTTGATCAAATAGAATGAATAAAGCGAAATTCAAAAATAGAATATTTACGTACTATACAACAAAAAAAACATTTATTGTACTTTTTCTTAAATATACAAAACGTCATTTATATATATATCGATTAAATATAATCGACTTAAAAATATCACTTCCTCTTCTTTTTTTTTTAATTAAATAACATAGTAAGTTGATAACAGACATCAAAGATATGGTTTTTTGTTCTCTTTATATTATCATAGAGAACTCTTTTCTTTTTTTGTTGTTGTTGAAAATCCACTCGAACGATGATTGAAGTTGGTATTGTTGATGTCTCATCTATCTCATTCATTTATGATTGTGAATAGGAGATGGTGGTAGTAGTAGAAGTAGTAGTTGCTTGAAAATATTTGCTTCATTAATTTTTCAATTAGCCGCACGATGGACACGCCATCATCATCGTTCGTTTGCTCGCGTGTGCATGTATACAGATAAGGTTTCTATTGGTGTATACGATGTGTGAGAGTGAGCCTAGAGGACATTGTCAGAAGAAAAGAAATAGATTTCTGCTTGAACACGTTTCTAAGAATGAGACAAGATTGTTGTTTGAGAATCTTGTTTCTTTATTACTACATGAGCATGTATATCAAGTAACTTAATATGTCGAACAACTGTTCATCAAGCAAAAAGCAAGCATCATAAAAGACAAAATGTTATCGAATTAAAGCTAGTCGTTCTTTTTTGTTTGTTATTGAAATAATGAATTATCTGTTGCATGTCAATGACATTGGTCCTGTCCATCATAAATAAATGATCGAATATAGATTAATTGCTATATTATACATAAAAATGTAATTGTTAAATATTTTCTCTTTTTTTTTCTTCTTGAGTGTTATTTAAAAATACAGAAGATGAAGAAAAAAAAAGATTCTCTTGAGATATAGAATCAAAATAATAAAAAAAGGAATGTTAACCCATCAGTATTTCAAGTCTAATATGAATTGTTAATGAGTAGACACATGTAAGAACAGATGGAAGAATAAGAAAAGAGCAAGCTTTAACCCAATTTCTACTCGTTTCGTTCATTGAACATACGCGTTAGTGTGAAGAATCTTCGTCAAGGGAATATATACTATCGACATAGATAGACAAGAAGAGAAAATGATAATTCATGAAATAAGTAACTATATCAATTATAATGTAGAAAACAAATGATTTATGAACTTCTCGATATTTTTCAATAAAAAAATATATATATAACCATCAATTTCTACTATTTGTGGATGAATTCTCAAATTTACTCTATTATTAATATGATTATCTTATAATTATTAACAATGATAAGTTATGATGACCATCCTTTTTCAGTTCATATTTAATAAATTATTAAGAACGAAGTAGAATGATTTCTAGTACATTTATTTTCAATACGATGACCTACCATATGTATGGTGTTTTTTTTAATGAGATTTTTTATTACGTGTATTTTTTTTGTATTGAAAAAAAAAATCATTATCGTATGGTATGATGATTATTTGTATAAAATACAAAATCTTAAATCAATGAATATATTAAAGACAAATTTGAATAATAGAATTTTTATTTATTTTGTTGTTGTTGTGTTGAGAACTTTTATGAGTATATATTGTTGAGAATTACATCGAATGATTTCATAAAAAATAAAATATAATACAATGAAGTCGTATCCTATTCAAGCTCTAACAAATAAGATCTCTTTGCCAAGAAAATTATCTGGAAAAGTAAAAATTTCTCTTATATTTGTATATGAAACATATCATTTTTCAATTAGATTGCACCTATACAACAACATCAACAACCACCAAAATATGATGAATCTAATCTTTCAGGAACAGTTCGATCCAATGACTTTCTTATTAAAGCTCAAGCTTTTGCGCCGTTACCGCCAATAAAACCAGTTGTAAAATCAAGAAAGGATCTTGAAAATGAGTACGAATGAATATTTAATAAATTTCTTTTTCAAATTAAAATATATTATAGTTTCCAATCATATCACGATAAAAGAATTTGTAGTGTTCGTTCAGCAATTACTACATTTATTATCATTATTATACTTTTTATTATTACTGGTGTTATCATAGGCATTGCATTTGCTGTTATTAATTCGCAAAATTCATCTGGAACTGCGAATAATAATAATCAGAATTCACGTATGTCATTGTTTTCTTGATTGAATTAGATTTTTTTAATGCGATGCGAATAGCAGAAGCATTTATGTAGTTGTCGGCGAGTTTTCTTTTTATTCTCCTTACTTTCTCGACGTACGCATCAAAGTGGTCATTTTATGTCACGATTATCTCAGCAATGGAACATCAGAAAATACTCGTTTTAACGCAAGAACAAAATATCGAGATTGAACTTATATCATTCGTTTTCCGACTTTCAACAGGATGTCTGGTTCCTGTACAAGAAGCGTCACAAAAACACGATTTCGACTTTCTCAAAATTTGAGATAATTAAAACGAAAAACAAAAGCAAAAGTTAGGCGCCATTTTTCTCTAACAACTGTTTTACAGCTGACAGTGCAGCTGATAGTAGATAATGAGTCATCTAGATAATATTGTGAGAATCTTAAAATTGTTATTTCGAAATCCTGCTATTCGCATCGCATTTCGTAGTCGAGTACAACTCGAATACCATCTAGTTTCTTTTTCTTCTTTCAGTTTCTACGCCATCAACAGTATCAGTAACGAGTAGTGTAATTATTGGTAGTCAAACTGGATCATCATGTTCAAGTTATACACAAATCAATGATCCAACACGAAGTATTTCAACTACTGGATTAACTAGTTCTTGTGACAATAGTTATATATTTAATTCAAGTAATGGTGGTGCTTGGATTCGATTTGTTGGTTCTGGTGGTACAGCACTCCCTACATCCTCACCAGGTTTGAATCATTGTGGTGGGTATTTATCTGGTTGGTATAATAATTCATTACCAACAACAACGAATACCATTGTAACTGGAACAGCATGCTTCGAAACTTACAGCGGTACATGTGGATTTGCTGTTGATATATCCGTAATCCTTTGTCCTGCTTCTACTAATTATTATGTTTTTTTTCTACCACCTCTGTATGTTTGTAATGCACGTTATTGTACAACTTGAATGTTTTCATTTATATGTAGTTTACAATTCGGTTTTTTAATAAATAATGACATTATATGAATTTTAGAGAATCAATTCATCAGTTTTAATCTGATAAGTATTTGAAATAGAACTGGATTTGACACCAATTCTAGCACGTTTATTTTGAAAGTTGAATCAATGACTAACCTAGAAATTGCTTCTGTATTTATCTAATCAACAACTAATTGGACTTCGTGAATTTACAAAATCTTTCTGTCTATATATATATTTTTTTTCTTCAAAGTATTTTATATAACCACCAGAATTTTAAGGCAAAAAAAAAAACATCTTTTTTAAAGTTCATAAATGGTACCAACAAATTTTTTCATTAAAAGTGCATATTAATAATATTTGAGAAAATAAAGAGAAGAAGTTTATTCTATAATTCTTTATTGGTTGTTGTCTTTTGTCTAACGTCCACGAGATGTTGGTGCTTTTCCATTGTCTCCACCCGCCCCTCTTGATGTTCCTGGTGCACTTTTTTCACGTGTTGTTGATAATGCTAAATCATTGTATTTATTTTGTTCTTGTAATGCTTTACGTTCTAAATGTTTCACTTGTTCAGCAGCACGAAGTTTTAATTCTTCACGTGTTAATGGTTTAAGTTCATCATCAGCTCTATCATCTCTTTCATCTGGATCACGACGATCATCGCTTCAAAAATAAAAGTTATCAAATAGGATTTGTTTTTCAAATTATTTAATATATCTTACGTATTCGGAAGATGAAGATTAACTTGAGGTGCTGGTCCTGACGGGCCATCACCAATCAAATTTGGAGCACGGTCACGTAATGACATATTTTGTTCCTATTCGTAAAAAAAACAATAATATAAATTAAATTGTATATCAAAATTTACTTTAGCTGCAATTGCTGCTTGAGCCGTGAGTAATTCATTAGTTCTTTCTTCTATAATACCCAAATATCGTAATATATTGTCTTCAGTGACACCTTCATGGCTTTGTAGTAAATGATCAATTTGTCGACGATCACAACCAATCTTTTTGAATAATGAATCAACACCTATTTTAATACGAACGTAATTAGATATGAATGAGAGACACAATAGATAAAAATTATAGTTTCGAATTTTTTCTACATAATTATCACTTGTCATAATTCTGAATTATTTAGTATGGATCTGCTAGCTATTATTCTTAATAATGATTAGTTTTCAATTAGAAGAACTCTTATACTCAACAATTGTATATTTCTTCACATTAAGAGAGAAAAACTATTGAACTTTGTTTGTAAACTCACACTATCATTCAATATAAGTGAAGAATTAGTTCAGTGTAGATTCGAAACTGATATTTTAAAAATTTAACCTGTTCGGCATTGATCAAGAATTTTCTTAGTCGATTTCGTTTTTTCTTGATATTCATCCGCTGTTACATCTGCTTGAGTTTGTTTCTTTTCAAGTTGTTGAAGTAATTTTTGTCGTTGACCTTCTAATTCTACACCTTGTCCTTCAAAACGACGAATTTCTTTCTTAATATCAGCTATTTGTTCTTGTAATGTTTCAATTTGATTATTTAATTCATTAACATAATTAAATAATGCAAAGTTTTTATCTTCAACTAAAATCAATTTTTCTTTTTATTTGTAAAAATATATATAAATGTATAACAAACCTTCGATAAATTTATCAACAAGTTTATCCAAATCATTTTCTCCACTAATTTCTTGAATTTGTTTGAATTTACTTTCATATGCATCAATTGAATGTTCTTCTTTTTCTTTACGACGTTTTTCAGCTGCTTCAGCCTCTAAAAATTAATAACAAAGTAAATCTTTAGATTAAAATTAAGCATATAATACAACCTTTGCGTTTTCGATATGTAATAAGATCTTCATCTTCTGGTCGTTCTTGTGATTTAAGTTTCATGAAATCACGTAATTTACGATCATGTGAAATTTGACGTTCAAGTTCTCGCATTTCAGCTTCAGCTGCTGCTTTATCATTTTCAGCTTTGTCTAAAAAAATTTGAGTAAATTAGTTCTTATATTTAAACAGATTTATTACATACTTTGAAGCATAATGGCTTTTGAATTAGCATCTTTTCTAAAAACAAAATTTCAAACAACTATTCAAAGGATTCTTTTTTTGTTAGATTATAGTATTACCGTTGTTCGTATGAGATAACTGATTTTTCAATCGAACTGACCAATTGAGCACGTAATTCACGAAGTTCATGTTCAGATTTTTGAGAGAGATTTTCATAACGTTCACGTTCATTTCTTAAATTATCAATTTCAGAACGTAATAAACTATTTGTAGATAATAAAGAATTAAATCGTTGAAGTGCCTATTAGAAATAAAATAATTATTTTAATTAATTAGAAATAGAAATTTACCGTTTCTAAACGATTTTCTAGAACACGTTCTTGTTTACGGACATTTGCATTAAATGTTGTTGAAGCATTTGCACCACCAGTTTCACTTTGTTTTTGACGAATTTTTTTTTGCCATTCACGTAATTTTGCATCTAAATCAGCTGATGTTGCTTTTTCATTTTTAATTTCATCATTAATTTCATCTAAAAGAAAATAATATAGAAATATTACATGGAAATCGATAATAGAATAATTAACCTTTGGTTTGAACAAGTTCTTGTAATTTTTTTGTTTTTTCTTCATCACGTTTTTGATTTTCAAGACTTTCAGCCAATTTAGTTACTTTATCTAATTCATCACGCTCACTTATTAATTGCGACAATGTTTTGCTAAAGAAAATTTTTCATCGAGATTTAGTTAATTAAATTCACTATATTTTTTTTAAATACCTTTGTGTTCGGAGTTGATCCTTTTTTTCTATCGTATATTCACGTTGATCTTCACGTGCATGTCGATAACTATTTTGTAATTTACCATGTTGAATTTCTTGAAATTCTTCATCAGAATCTTCGGATGCTAACCGACGAGCCATTATTCACTTACTCGAAGACACAGAAAAATTTAACTGTAAAAAAGAACAGAATAATAACAACAACAAGTCACCTTAGCGACATAATTTAAAGTGAAACGATAGCAACTCCTCTATAATGTATATATTTTCTTTTTCTATAGTTCAAAATTTGCTACACAACAACGACTTGATGCAAAGAAATCTGATTGTAAAATTCTGTAAATATACATCGTTGATCATAGAATTCAATACTTATTCTATATATTGAATTTTAAAAACTTTTGTTAAAAAGAAATATATATATGTATATGAACAAATATTGACAACAACATATTTCAAAGTGTTTTGAATAGTAATAATAATAATCATAATACAACTTTTTTCTCATTTCCCCTTTCAAAGCAAGATAATAGAGAATACAAAAAAAATCAATTAAAAGTCTTCATCATCGTTATAAGTTCCTCGTTGTTGACGTTGTTGTGGTGGTGGTGGTTGTCGTTGTCGTCGTTGTCCATTTGCACTTGGCGGTCGACGAACAATATTTCCTCCACCTTTTTGTCTAGGACCGGCATCTACGTCTTCATCTTCATCATCCATACCACCATTGCCTCTGCCCATTTCCACTTGTTCATCATCACTAAGATCATCTGTCATGCCTCCATGAGCTTTACCTCGTGTACCATTTTCTATAGAAATATACACATTTATATATAAATCTCAAAAAAAGATATATATATACCGAGTTTTTTTCCTTGTATTGGTTGTCGAGATGGTGGTGGTCGATCCATAGCTTCATCATCTTCTGATTCATCATCACTAAAAGATTACATCTTACTAATAATAATAATTAATTAAATAAATCTTACTCATCATCATCATCATCTGATTCTTCTTCATCTTCTTCTTCATCACTACGAACACCAATTTCATCATTTGGATCTTGTAATTGTCTATTAAATCTTTGTTGATCTTGTTCTGTTAATTGTGAATTCATTGCTTGCAGATATTGACGAGATACTTCCTAGAAAACAAAATTTAATTCTATTATATAAAATACAAAAAAACAAAATATTTACTTGAACTTTTTCACGTTGATTTCGAAAATGTCCTTCAAGTTCTTTTTCCAAATATGATAATATACGAAATTTTAAAACATAATTCGTATAAAGTTCATTAAGTTCAGTTTCAAATTTTTCAAAATCATTCATAAACGATGGTCTAATAAATTAAATTAGAAAAAAAAACTTTTCTATTCATTTTATTTACCGAACACTTTTTAACATATCAAGTCGTCGTTGATGACGATCTTTTTCTTCTACACGCTTTGCTATTTTTTCATCAAGTGCAACTTCATCTGTTTGAACATTTTCGATTAATTTCGTAAATTTTGATAATTCACGCTGTGAAGAATAAAAACAGTTTAATTGTTTTACAAAAATTTTTTTTCTTTATACTTTAGCAGCAGTTTCCGCATCACGTATTCCTTCATGAACTTCAGATAATTCCATACCTCGATTCATAACATCTTGACGAGCTTCCTAATAAAATGATCATAAATAATATATAAATGATTAAAATTTGTTTTGCTTACTCGTGCATCAAGTTCTTTGCCAAGCAATTCATGTAAATTAGCACCTTTTTGTGTTATAGTCGAACAAAGTTGACGTGCACTTTTAAGTATACCAATCTATAAAATAATAAACATTTGAAAAAAATTGATTTATTTCAATTTGTCTTACATCATCATTCATTGCATAGCGATATTGTTGATCAACATCATCTTCATCTTCTAATTCTCTATTTTCACTATCACGTAATGCTTTATAAAGTGGTGTTATCACTTTAAGAATTTCTTTTACAGCATAAACATCAGCTTGATAAAGTTTTTTTGTATTTAATTTTAAATGTGCTTTTGTAGCCTGAAGTAAAAAGAAAAACAATTAGAAATGAAAACATGTTGTTTTTTTTTTCTTCGTCTTCTTCTTCTTCTTATTCTTACAATTATTTGTGTTATAGTACGTATAAATATAACACGTTCTTGTTCACTTTCAATGTCATTTGGAACATCAGTTAATGGATCGTATCTAATTAAAATAATTATCATAATGGAATAGGTAAGCATATCTAAATACATACTGTTTAACGAGCCATGTCATTATTTCTGCAACAAGACGAAAATTTGGTTGACGAAAATTTTCCATTGAAATTAAACGTGGATAAGAAAGAACTCGAGCCATCTCACATAGATCTTAATTGGTTTTTTTATAATAATTAAAAAACAAAAATAAACAGATTATATAACTTACGACTAATATCTCGATACGTCATTGCAAGATGTTCCTGTCAAATTTATCTAAGAAAAGAAGAATTTTATATGAATATGAATCAAGTTCCATAAGTTGATTCGCTTGGAATAAGGTCGCTTAGTAACTCAAGAACATAGAGGTCGCATTTTGAATAAAGTTTAGCATAACCCTGTAAATGACATTTTTTTGTTACAAAATTTCTCTTATACATTCAATTTTAATAATATAAATTTCTCCTGTAATATTTAAAACAATTCGTATAACTCTAATATTATTCATTGTACAAATATCTCGTTCAATAACTAATTAAAGTCATTTTAAGGAAGTAACAGGATATTGATTATTTACTAATTACAAGCTTTGTTAATCATTTTTATGTAAGAAAATAATTTAGAAAAGGAAATTGTATTGAATTCTGTAGCAATTGAAAGGGAAAACTAATTAGTTTTCAATGTTGATAAGTATTTGTCATATATAATTTAAAAAAAGGAAAGAAAACATATTATAGGTTTTCATGTAAAATTTTTTGATTTCATTTTATTCATCCTATATTTTTACAGTTTCTTCTATAAACAAAACGTCATACATTAATGAAAATTCTTATAATATAAACATACAAAGAGAAAAGATATTTCAAAGCACACATATAAATATTTAACAGAGTCATTAGCTTTTCAGTACAAATCCGATAATTATAATTATCTATATATGGGCAAAAATTAGTTAGCTATGTGATGCAGTGCACGTATGTAAAAGAAAAAGTACTCTTATCACTAAATAAATTCGAAACAATGCAAATCCTTCCTTGATACCTCGTGAGAATGATAACAGATATTTTTATTTTAAGACATGACGAGGTCTGTTTTTATGGAGAAAATTTTTGTATCTATCATGATTATGACTCGGGTCCTAGAGTTTATCTTCAAAGCTTTAGATCTTATCCTAATATAGTTCGACCGATTAATTAATTAAGTTACAGCTGAAAGCGTCAATATTTTTACATCTGTCTATATATTAACAGCATTTATTCAATCAAGTAGTATCTTTTACTTTACCTGAGTTAGCAACTAGAATGAGCAAGAATTTTTCTATATAAAAGCACTGCATATTTAAAGAAAAATAACAGCAAGTCTGCAGCCAATGGAATTCTTATTATAATCTTTTAAATTAGTTTTTTTTTAGAACATTTTTTAAACATAGAAACACTCACTAATAGATAGCAATATGTTTATCAAATATATTACTTTATAAGACAAATTTACTCTCAGATCATTGTATCTTCTGTTAAATGAAATATATTCACTACTGGAAAAAACAATTTGATAATATGATTGTACTTGATAAAAATTATATAGGTCATTTTATGAGTGCAAAATAGATATTACTGTCTGAAGTGCAAATATTTAAGAGTAATCCTTTGTATATTTGTATCATATCAAATGGTATTTATATTCATTCTTTAGGTCATTTCATCATATACTGTCCTTGATATTATTTGATGTATATATATTTTAATTGTTTTCAAATGAACTCATATTCAACCGTTCAATTTCATTTATTTTTTTTTCTTTTCAGAACGCAGAAAACAAAACTACCATGACGATGAAATACAGGCAAAGTTTTAAACTACAGAAAATGAGAATAATAAAATGATCACGCACAAACAAGAGCTTGTATATTAATGACTATGGTTGGCTCTATGATTCTTCAACTTTGTCACCACCTGCAACTTTATATTTACTGATACCTGATTCTTTCATAACGCATATATGTTCCAAATCACGGAAATATTCATTATAATCCTAATAAAAAAATAAATCAAAAGGATAACAATTAAATAAATTTAATTTTGTCTTACAAGTGCATAACCAACAATAAAATGATCAGGTACTTCAAAACCTGAATAATCTGGTTTAAAAATGCATTTTTTATCATGACGTCTTTTTGTAAATAATGAAACAACGTTAATTGTTTTTGGTTTAAATTTTTCAAGTTCTTTTTTTAATGCAACCATTGTAACACCTGTATCAATGATATCTTCGACGATAAGTATATGTTTGTCTTTTAATGAATTTAAATCACTTAAACCAATTATTTCAGTTTGATCAGTAGAATGATCATTAATATAACTTCGTACACGAATAAATTCTAAACTCATTGGTAAACTACGATCATTTCGAAGACTAGAAAATAAAAAAAAAATGATTAAAAAATCATAGGAAACAAAGAATTTAAATGACCGATTTTCATTTTGAATTTTTGATACAAGATCCGAAAAGAATCTATATCCACCTTTAAGTACACACATACAAACTAAATATAAAAGAATTTATTTTTATTTTTTGTTAATGATTTAGTTTTGTTTTTCACTGAGTTGTTCTGGTATATGAATATGTAAATCAGAAAAAATTCGACTAGCTAATGCTTCAATACGATCTTGAACAAGTCCATATGGGATAAGAACGGATTTTAAATCATCACGATAGTGTAATGGTAAACTAAGAAGGAAAAAAAACAAGAGTTTTATAAAATTGAAATATAATTATAAAAAAAAAAACTATTTACTTAAAAAAATTTAATGGATATCCTTCAAATGAATCCGAAATAACAAGTGGACTTGATTCAATATGATGTTTTTCGGGTTGTTTCGATGTAGTTGCCATTGGTTTTCACTGGCGAATGCAGTCTTATCTATAATGCAATAGCTAGTACAGTGACTGATAAAAAGAACATACTCTCCTTCTTCTCATGTAACTTTATCAACTGCCTTTCTCTATGCTTCTCTTATTGTATTATTTTTAATATCTATATTTAAAAAAAATGCTTTAACCAAATATAGATTACAATTTCTTTTTGCACGTTCTTTCGTTTTTCTATTGCTTTTTTGTATTCTTTAACCAATAGCAAGACAAAAAAATCCTTTGTTTAAACGCGATTAACGAACAAAAGCATACATAACAAAATCAATTCATACATACACACACGTAAAACTAAACAGTCATAAGAACCAACGAAAAAAAGGAAAAAAATGTCAGTGCAACAACATATAGAAAAAGAAGACGTGCGAAAGACAGAGAGTATAATAAAGATTTTTTTTTAAATACAAAACACGCGCATACATTCTAGTTTAATTTGATAGTCTGAAAGAATCTAAGAAAAAAAAAACAATGATTAATTTTTCTTTTGTTATTTACTTAATATATTTATATAGATATATATGTATATAAATGTATTTATTTTTATTGATTTATTTAATTTTCATTAACATCAACCCATCGTTTCATTCGTTTTGGACTTGTTTCCCATGTTGTTGTTTCAAGAATATCCTCATCTTCATCATCATTATCATTATCATCAGATAATTGACATGATAATCGTTGAGTTGATGTTGAAACTGGTTGAGAATCAACTCGCAAAAGTTCTTTAATAAATAAATAGATGAGATTTTATTTTTACATAATAACAATTTTATTTTACCGCGCTTATAATTCAATAATTTTCGTCGAAATTTCGCACGTTCAAGTAATGCATGATTACTACGATAATCTGTTCGAGCACAACCACTTAAATTTTCTACTACAACTGTTGATAAACTTTCCATATCACCTAACAAATTTTAATATAGAATAGATGAGAAAAAGATTTAAAAAGCAAAAATAATACATACGGCTAATTGTAATTATATTTTGACGTTTACGTGGACGAATATTTTCTTCAGATTCAATATTTAACCAATCAAGATCACCGAGTGGTACATCAGGCATCATTAACATATCAAAGAAATCGAATGGATCTCTTAAGGGTGGTGGCGGAAGTGGTTGTGGCGGTGGTGCTGCAAATAGAATTGAAAATAGAACTTAGAATAAAAATAAAAGATGATAAATACCAGAAACTAATGGTTGAGTAATAGGTACAACAATTGGCGGAGGTGGAAGAGGTTCATCACCGGGTAGTTTAACTACAACTGGAGCTGAAACTTCAACAATATTCGTTGAAGTTGGTTCTTCAATAGGCAGTGATTGTTGTTGTTGTTGTTGAGTTTGTTGTTGCTGCTGCTGCTGCTGCTGTTGTTGTTGGTGTGGTTTGGACGGATATTGAATATAAGGAATATCTTCATCTAATAGAAAAAGAACAAGAATACTCATAATTCTATGTGTTTATTTCATCTTAATATTTTTCTCTGTATTTAATTATAAAGGGTAAAATTGATTTTCTTCTTCTCTCTATAACTATAACTTTATTATTTCCTTTTCTACTTATTAACAACTGACTTGTGGTATTTATCAAAGATAAAGATCGGAAATAGACTTAGACATCATTCTCAAGGACATATGATATAAATACTAAACTGATTAGTCGTTTTTTTTAGAAAATTTTACCTTTTTCTTGTTTATAATCATGTACTTTTGTTAAATGTTGTTTCATGCTTGCTTTATTCGATGTTGTATATTGACAATTTTGTAGAACACAAACATAAATAGTTGACGCTTGTTGTTTTTCATTTCGATGTCTTTTAACATGTGCATGATATGTTGAACGTACACGAAATTTTTCTTCACAATCTTCAAGAAAAATATTATTTCTAATTTGAAAAAAGAAACATCAATCAATCTTACCAACATATGGACATTTCATAATCATATTAGGAAAATGTTTAGCACGATGATTTTTTAAAGAATCATTTCTTGTAAATGTTTTTCCACAATCAGGAAATGTACATACAAATGAATGACTTCCACGTAAATGTACAGTACGTACATGACGATCAAGATTTGATTGTGAATAAAATGTATCTTTACATGCCTTTTTTTTGGAAACGAAATAAAGATAAGATAATCAATAAAAAAAATGATTTAATTACATACTGGATAAGTACATGCAAAATGTTTATCTCCCAAATGTGTTAACATATGTTTCTTATACAGTAAACGTTTCGGAAATTCTTGATGACAAATCTGACATGTATTTGTTGAAATCATTGATGGTTTTGGTTTAACTGAAACAGCTGGAGGAGATACTAATCGAACACGAACTCTTAAATAAGAAAATTAATAATATAATTTATGAGTGTTTTTAAAATAGTATAAAATAAATTCATTAGAAACGAGTATTTAAAATGATCTTTTTCTAATTAATAACAAAATGGCAATTAATAAAATTTTATTAGCAATAGAAAGGTTTCCTACAATTATTAGTACTCATGACATTTCTTATTAATCAATAGAAATAACAGGAAATGTCTTCTCGAATATTCTCATAACTGTGTACTACAGAACGAGCAAAAACAATTATCCTGATAAACAGACAACAATTATCTTAAATTGTATTCTTACTCATTATCACTTCGTATAGCAGTTACATTCGGTGTTGATGGACGTGATGAATGAAAATGTTTTATATGTAATTTCAAACTTTGATCTTTTTCAAAATTTTCACTACATATATGACAACGAAATGAAGCTGTTGTATTTGTTGTTTGTGATGGTGGTGGTGGTACAACAAAACATTTACGAATATGAAAATTATATTGCTTATCAGTTGGAAATTTTTTTAAACATTTTTTACACTAAAAAAAAATAATAGATTTTGAATAAGACAAGAAGACTCAAGAAATTAAAAACCTGTAATGAAGGACTGTTCATTTCTTCATGATATGCTAAATGAACACGATAATTTTGTATTCGTTGAAATTTACTTTTACATATATGACACTAAATAATAATAAAATTTTTTTATAGCATATTTTTAAAGTATAATTTACTTTAAATGGATGTGTACCAACATGACTAAGAAGATGTCGACGGAATAATTGATCAAGTATACGAGGACTTTCAGTTTCACTAAATTAAACAGAAATATAAGAGATTTTTTTCTATAAACAGCATTCAATAGAATCTATCTAAAGATGTTCAGTATAAGAAGCTTACATATGAAAGATATTATTAGACAAAAATAACTAATTAATACTTCTTATTTCTTTCCATGACTTTTTTACTAATCAACTTACATGGAATTTAAATTTGAATATAAGAGAAAATGACAATACCCATTATTTAATAGATATGCTATTATGAACATCAACTCATGTGTAAATTTTGTTGTAATCAAATATATTTAGTTACTGTCACTTGTGAATTCGAAAACAAATGTAGCGTAAGTTTCACTCATAAGATAAATCCAGGGGCGTAACGCCCTTGAAGAGATTTTTTCATTAATTATAGTACTTTACCTTTCAATTCTTGCATTGCAATGCGGTAGAAGACATCGATATGACCGTCGACGAAAAACAGATGCTGTTTCAAGTGGTTTTAATGATAAATCTTGTAAATGTCCACTACCATGTGAAACAAAATCTTCGTAAACATTAAATTCCGCTGAACAAAGTACACATCGATAAATTCTTGAGAATAATTTATGAATATCATTTATCTAAAAATAATTAAAGTAATAAAAATATTTGTTTCTAATTTTTTTTGTTCATACTTTGTTTGTTGTCTGTACATTTGTTTTTATCGTTGTGTCATTCATATTTTGTACAAGTGATGCACATTTATCTGTAGAATTTGTTTCATGTGATACAACAGTAAATTCAATACCAAATATTGATATTGTTGAACCATAAAATTTATTTATTTGATTATTTTCATCTATAGGATTAGGATTAGGATTATTATTATTATTATTATTATTTGTTTTTGCAATAACATGTTGAACGGCAGGATTTATATGAACAGTTGGCGTTAGATCACTTTTTCGAACAATATATACATTTGATGATGATGATGATGACGATGGAGATTGTTCTGTTGTACGTGTAGAATTACTTAATCGGATGACACGTACAACACGTCGTTGATTTGAATTCGAATTTGAATTTGCTTGGATAGGAGTTGTATCATTTCGACGAATAATACGTACACATTGAATTGTAGATTGAGGAGATGAAATAACAGGTGATGGTGTTGATAAATCCGATAAATTTTTCTCATTAAATAGATTGTCATCATTTGTTGACGATATTAAATTATTTGTAAGATCAAGACTATCAAGAAATGAAAGACTATTATCATCTTTAGATTCCGAAAAAAGATTTATTGGGATTTCGTTAATTTTTGATTGATTATTATTATTATTATTTGTTGTTGAAGTTGATGATGAGGATGATGAGAAATAATCATCAGAATATTCTGTATATGTTTGTTGGGATAAAATTAATGGTGTTGAAGGTAAAAATGAATTTCGACGATATTTCGTTAATGGTAAAGTAGAATTAAGACTATTACGACGTAAATTATTTGTTGTTGGATTATAAATTGGATAACTATTTAGCATTTTATATTTAATCTGAAAACAAAAACAATGATTTTTATTTATTTTTCAAACATTTAATTTTTCTTTTTTTTTATTTTTAGATTTTTTTGGATTAGCTTCTGCTAATATTTCTTGTTCAAGAATACGATGTTTTCGTTTATTTATTTTTTCAGCTTCACCAAAATCTTCTTCATCAAGTTGAATTTCGACTTGACTTCGTGTCATGGAAACTTCAACAAGAAGTTTAAGAACTTCTTTTTCTTGTACTCGATATTCTGTTAATGATTTACTAATACGATCTTCAATTTTATGCATTAATTTTACATCATATTGTGTTACAAGTGTGATTGCAGTTCCAGAACGACCTAAAATATAAATTCGAAATTAATATTATTCAGTGACGGAGATAAAAAAAAAACCAGTGAGTGGAGTGTCAGTTATAGTGAAGAATCTGTTCTAGAGGAGGTATAGCATCTTTTTCTTGAGAGAAACAGAATCAACAGAAGGTGGCACTAGCGAGATCGACACCTGTTGCGTCTGTCACTAATCTTATGATGTGAAAGATTCATAGAAAAAAAATGTTGACATACCAGCACGAGCTGTTCGTCCTACACGATGAACATATTCTTTTGGTACAAATGGTACATTGTGATTAATAATGAGATCAACACTGGGAATATCAAGACCTCTGAAAAAGAAAAAAAAGTAGAGAAAAAAAAGTAATTGAAATTATTTTACCTTGAAGCTACATCAGTAGCAAATAATATTCGAACTTGAAGTGATTTAAATTTTGCTAATGAAGCTAAACGTTGTCGTTGTTTCATTAATGAATGAATTTCAACAGATGGCATATGAAATTTTCGACACATCATCGATAGAATCTGACAATCACGACAAGTATTTGTAAAAACAATCGTTGAAGTACTATGTAGTTTTGGTTTTTGTTCATCATCATCATCATTATTACTATGATATAAAGATAGTAAATGAAAGAGATAAGCATCTTTGACATTAGCCGGTACTAATAAATAATATTGATCTAATTTATCTACAGGTTGATGTCTAATAATATAGACAAAAAAAAAGTATTTCTATTTTTAATAGTTGAATCTTTTCTTACAATAAATTTCCATCGAATAGAAATGGTTTTCTTTCAGATATTGATTGAACTTGTTTAATCGTATCAGTTATAGTTGCACTGAATAGAAGTGTTTGTCGTTGTTTTGGTAGTTTAGAAAATATAGTTTGTAATTGTTTACCAAAATTATCTTCTAACAAACGATCAGCTTCATCGAGTACCTGAAGGTAGAAAAGATATATATATATATATTGTGATAATATATTTAATCATACTAAAAATTTGATTTTATTTAATGAAAATTCAGTTCCACTTTCAATATGATCAGCAAGTCGACCTGGTGTAGCAATAACAATATGTGGACTTTCAGTTAATGCCGAATTTTGAATCATCATATCTGTAAATGAGACAAAAAAGTAATTTCAATATTATAAAATCATTTATTGACTAACCCATGCCACCTGTAATTACACAATCTTTTAAACCTAATGGTTTACCAAAAACACGAAATTGATCAGCAATTTGATAAGCTAATTCTCTAAATTAAATACAGAAAATATTCATTTACTTGCTCTTTCTGTTATATAAAAAAACATACCTTGTTGGCGTAAGAACAAGTGCAAATATACCATATATATCATCACTGAGTACATCAAGAATAGGTAAGGCAAAAGCAGCTGTTTTACCAGAACCAGTTTTAGCACATGCTAAGATATCTTGACCTGTATAAAGTAATATGTGATAAGGAAAAAACAAACAGAAATAAACATACCTTGAAGAATATTTGGAATACATGCATGTTGAACAGGTGTTGGATGATCAAAACCAAGTAAACGACATTGATCTTTTAACCATTTTTTTAATGGTAATGAATCAAATGATGATGATTCAACATAATCTTTTCGTAATTGTATTTCTTCGTCGTTATCACTCATTTTTCCCTAAAAGTATTAAGTAGAATATTTTCTAATGATTGAATAGATATAATTGTTATCGTTTTTGAAGATATTAATGGAACTATTCAAGTTTATTAATTAATCAAATCTTATATCAGTCAATGCGATCTCTATGAACTATACGACCTACCTAAACTTTCGCATAAGACTATTATTATTGGTTAATAATAGTTACAAAAATAGAAGCTCGATAATAGATGACACTAGTAATTCATCGAACAAAATAATTTTTTATTATTTGCTACGTATTGTAACCATTTGTTATTAGTCAAGTCATTCTTCATACGTCTATTTTTTCATCTTACTTATTTTACATTTCAAATAATAAGATGCAACAATAACGCCTTATATTGACGAATATATTTCGTATTTTTAATCGAATATACTATTGTTCTATATGTATTTGTTTTATGTCATATCTATTGAATTTAGTTGTCTCTATTATCTAGCATTAAATATGCATAATTAAACAGACGAAAGTAGTAACAATAGCATATGAATAATTTCAAAGTTTCACCTGAATAGTTTTATTACTTGATATTGTACGTAGGATTTATCTTCATCTATTGTTATGGATGAAATGTCGTCATAAAAAGTAATAAATAGTAGCCATAAACAAACATTTACCGCACAGTCTTACTGTAAACAATAGCTATTGAAATAGACTTTTCTTTTTAAATTACGAACTAAGTATGGGTAATATGATGAAAAAGAAAAACGGTGCTCAGGTTGCTCCAATGCAAGGCGGAGTTTCTCCACCTTATCAACAACAACAACAACAACAACAGCAACCTCAATACATGCAACAACCTCAATACGTACAACAACCGCAATACGCACAGCAACCGCAATATATGCAACAACCTCAATATATGCAACAACCAGCTCAATATCCATCATCATATTACTCTGGTGCATCGTCACCGTATAATCAGAATAGCCAACTACTTTCAAGTCTGACAGGGTGGTCTAGTCCCGATATTCAACGTCTTCAATCTGAATTTTTAGTTTATGCTAATCCAAATGGTATCGTTGATCGTAATGGTTTTCGAAAACTCTATATTTCGTCGTTGCTTAATACGTCATGGGAAAATATTGAACGTAATGCTGAGGCAACGTTTCGTAGTCTAGATATAAATCAAACCGGTGGACTTGATTTTAATGAATATATGATAGGATGTACACGTATGAGTGGATCAGGAGGAGGATATTGACCAATCTCGTATTCATATTTTTAATGTATTTTTATAAAAAAAATGTTTCATTTAATAAAAGTTTCTTATTCTTTTATTTAAGATGTCAAATATAGATAATGATGATGATGGTCTTGCAGTATATCGTCTAGCATTAGCTACTCAAGCTCCAGAAAATTCTGCATTAAAACAAGAAAAACGTGCAGAATTACGTTCACGTTTTTTAAATGTTCTTGAATATTTAAAAACTAATAAAAATATTTCACCAATTGAACTTGATTTCTATCGTGAATCTTCACTAACAGCTACTCATTGTCTTAGTATAGATTCAAATTTTTCTCAAATCTTAGTAAAAGATTTACAAACAAAAATTGGTTGTATGCCAACAGCATTAATTCGTACAAACGATCTTACAGCTATATCATTTACAATTCAATAATTCAAATGACAACGACTATAGAAGAACAAACAATTGCAACAGCAGCAGCATTAAAAGAAAAAACACCATTTGTGGTATGATACTATTTTTTTTGTTAATTATGTTTAAAATGAAAATAAAGAAATGACTAAATAAAAAAAACTAATTTCTAGTATATCGATTCTTGTTTAATTCAATTAATCAATGACGATGATGAGCAATATGAAGGTTGTTCATGTGCTACAGATAATACTTGTATAAATTGCTCATGTGCAAATCGTTTTGGTATAAATTATGATTCAAATCATTGTTTAAATATGAATAAAACTGGACCAATATTTGAATGTAATTCAGAATGTAATTGTTCATTTGATACATGTCAAAATCGTGTCAGTCAAAAAGATGATCAATCAAAAAATGTTAAAATTATTTCAACATCGAATAAAGGCTATGGTGTTATTACTGAAAAACCTATTCTTCATCCAGGTACATATATTGGTGAATATGTTGGAGAAGTATTATCCGAAAGTGAAGCTCATCGTCGAATATTATTAACAAAGAATTTTGAACATAATTATTTATTACTTTATAATGAACATTCTTCTCAAGCAATAACAAAAACATTTATTGATGCACGTTATTATGGTAATTGGACACGATTTATTAATCATAGTTGTAATCCAAATTTACATATTGTTCCAATTCGAAGTGATCAACCAACACCACCACGTTTAGTATTTTTTACTTTAAGAGAAATTCAAGCAAATGAAGAATTATCCTATAGTTATGGAACAACAGTTGATGAGAAATTTTCTAAACCATGTCATTGTTCAAGTTCATCATGTACTGGTTTTATGCCATATCAAACAACAGATTAAATAATTAGTTTCACATATAAACACTCATAAATGATTATTCAATTAGTCTTATGAATATACAAGCTGTTAAAAGACTTTATGAGTTATAAAAACATTGTTTATCTGAATTATATATTTCAAAAAAAATAAATCGTTTTTTAGAGTAATGAAAATCAATGAGAGAAACGATAAAAAGGAATTTGAATTTTTTTCTCTAAGCTGACGAAATATTCTATCATTGCATCATACGAAATCACATGGCCGTGAATTCAAGGTCAATAAGTGTTTCTCTTTTTCTGTTGAATAATATTATATCCAATTCTAGCGCTCGTCATATGATGTCATGAAAATGATTGGTTCACAAATAACCGTACCGTTTTTTTTTCTCATGCTCGCTCGCTCTGTTTGTTGACAAGTGCGCTAAGTAAACGTATTTTATTCATAATAAATTTCAACGTTTGTCTCCTTTTGTCTGTCTACCAATCAATTAGTTTACACGTACTAATCAGTAAGGTAATATCTAGAATATCATGTTTTTGTCTGGACGTTATTTATTTATATTTTTTATTGCTGTTTTAGGAAGATAGTATGACGAAAGGTTTAGCAAACGAAGCTTCATCATCAGAATCTTCTAAAAAAGAAGATTTCATTCGTAAATTATGGTTAAATGCTGATTGTGTTTGTTTTGATGTTGATTCAACTGTTTGTACTGAAGAAGCTATTGATGAATTAGCTAAATTTAAACAAGTTGGTTCATTAGTTGAAGCTATAACACGAAATGCAATGGGTGGTAATATGAGTTTCCGAACTGCACTACAAACTCGTCTTAATATTATTCAACCAACACTTCAATGTTTAGAAAAATTTGTTATAAATCATCCATCAGAATTAACGAATGGAATTAGTGAACTTATTACTGCATTACATGAACGTCAAATACCTGTTTATTTAATAACAGGTGGTTTTCATTCGATTGTTGATCCTGTTGCTGAACAATTAAATATACCATTAACAAATGTATTTGCTAATCAATTATTATTTAATTCTGATGGTTCATATGCTGGTTTTGATGAAGATGAAATGACATCGGATTCAGGTGGTAAAGGACGTGTTATTGAATATCTTAAAAATAAATATAATTATCAACGTATAATTTTAATTGGTGATGGTGCAACTGATATGGAAGCAAATGCAGATGGTTTTATTGGTTTTGGTGGAAATATAATTCGAGATATAGTACGTGATAATGCACCATGGTTTGTTAATTCATTTTATCAACTTACTGATGAACTTCGAAATAATACAAATGATTCTTTGTCACAAACTACTTTACATCATCAGGAATTATCGAAAAAAAGATTTTCAACTGAAGTCAAAGCGAACTAAAATAATTAAAATTTTTCAATAATTTGTTTGTTGTATTAGCGTAGAACCATGTGTATATGTATTACTTTTGTACTCGTAAAAGCTCGCTAACAATAGATTAAAAAAACAAAAATGAATATATGCTGATGTCCTTTTCATTTTTTACGAAACTGTACTTATCAGATACAGAACTCCTTATATTATAAATAGTAAAAATGAAGATACGAACTCTTTACTAGATACACGAGATAACAGGTGGTCGAACATTTAACTATTCTTAAGCAAAAACGAGGATAACATATCTGAGTTAATATTCGATAGAAGTACAAAATTCTAGTTCTAACTATGCAAACAAATCGAAGACTGATTTACTTTTTGAGTCTTAATTTAATGTCACGGTCTAATAGATTTATTTGCAGAACAAGTTATGACCTATATTTCTCATTAATGAAGCGACACATTCAATTAAATATAATATCAGTAACCTATGATAGATTGCCGTAAAGAATTTCTTTGAAATCTTCGTATGCAATATACAACTTATGTTTCATGTTTGGAATATTTTTCATTCTGTTAATTACTAATCGTTGAATTAGAAATCTCTAAATTGAAACAGTATGATTCATTTCATCTTGTAAACCATGAGTAACTTTGAATATTTTCGATTTATTCATCTATTGAACTCCTCGATCAATTAAGCATAGATTTGAATATGTTTCATATTCTGATTAAAAAGAAATTCTGTTCAAACGATCCTTTATTTGTGAAAAAGGAATAAAATATATATGTATGTATGTATGTATGTATATAAATATGATAATTGATTTCACATAAAATAAAACTGAAGAAGTAAGAAAATGTTATATAAATTTTTGTTTGTTGAGTATAGAGATTAAAATAAGAATTAATTTGATTTTCCCGAAGCTATACGTTGATGAAGGGTTGCTTCATTTGAACCATTATATTCAACGGGATGAATACGAGCTATATTATTTCTTGGACTTGATTTACGTGTTGTATTTACATTTGTTTGTGTTGGTGAAATACTTTCACTATCAACTGTTGTACTACGTCGCATTTTCATTGTACCATTCGGATCATCGATTGATGCTGATATTTCTGAATATCGTTTATCTTTATTTTCAGCCATTGGATCTATTTGATTATTCATCTCCTCTTCTTTTTCAATAATACCCACTTTTGTACCTAACCAACGAAATTTTGCAACGATTTCTTCTTGCATTAAATCAAAACACATTGCTAAAATAGCCATTCCAAAGAGAACATATATAGCTCCAAGAATAAGTTTTGCACTTGCATGTGGATCATCTTTACGTTGGCCGGGAACCTAAATTTATTTTGGAATTTAGAAAAAAAGAATATAAATGAAAAATCACCAACTTACAAAATCACCAAATCCAATTGTTGCTACAAATAAGAAAAGATTATTTTTCATTTATACAAAAAAAAAGAATATTTCTTACATAATGTTATAAAACAAAAATATCCAGATTGAATCATTGACCAACCTTCAAAACTATGAAATAAAGCTGAACCAATCCATATATATGCTGCAATAATAATCATTGTAACTGTTAATGGTACAGCAACACGTTGATATTTTTCTACAATATCTTCAGGTTCCTCATCAATTTTTATTGGACTTATTGATTTTTTCACTGGATTTTTTTGGTTTTCATCATTTGCTGACCATACAGCAGCATTTGCATGATTTACATTTATACCATGTTCCTCTTCTAGTCTGGCTCGACGTGCTGCTGCTGCACGGCGTTTTTTTAATAATATACATGGTCCACATATAATTCTTGCATAAATAAAACGAAACATTTCACCAAGTACACCACTTATATTAGCTACACATAAAAGAAATATTGGTATACCTATTGTTGCATAACATATACAACATAATTGTCCTTCCCCTAAGATAATTTTAGTATAGATTTTTATTAAAATTATTATTTATATTTAACTTACATGTAACCGGTCTAGAAAAGAAAAATAGATATATTTGAAAGATAGTGTGAAAAAAAGTAGATTTAACTTACGTTATATTACCATAGCCAATAGTAGTTATAATTGTAATTGCAAAAAGTAGTGAATTAGCAAATGTCCATTTATTAGTAACTGAACAATCATCTCCATAATAACGATATTTTGTAGTTGCTTGAATAACAAAACTTCGATAATTATATAACATTGAACCAATTTTTGCAAATGCAATTGTTGTATTATCTTTTCCAGTTGTTGTACTTGATAGTGTTGTTGTATTTTGTTGTACATAACTAACAAGTGTTTGTTTAAGTTGATTTATTTGTGCAACTTGATCACCATATGCTTCTTGACAATTATATTTTTCTTGACGTTCTTCTAATAATTGAAATAAAAATCCTCCAGCAACAGAATAAACAACAACTAAACCAACTAAACCAATATGTGAAAATAAAAATTTTGTTGTCTTTTTTAAACATTGTCGTGTTTTTGATGTTTCTAATTCATCAAGTTCATGATTATGTGGACGATGTCTATCACGATGACGATAATCATTATAAGATGAATTACCATCTCTATCGATTCCACCAAAACCTGCTGATGCATCATGATATGCTAACATATTTTCTTCTTGTTTTAAATATACGTCAATTAAAATAAAAGAAAACGACTTGTTTTGTCTACACTTATATTTATATATGAATACTTTCTGAATTCTACGTTTTTCTTTTCTACTTCTTTGCTTTTTGTCTCGTTCGACAACATTAATAATTTTCTTGTCTTAGAAGAAAATTGATTCGGATAGAAATAGTTATTCTCACTGGAGAGACCTACTAGTTTCTCTTCTATTTTTTTTCTCATTTTCTTTTTATGCTTTTGAATATTTACCATTAAGCACTTTCATTAATGACGACACTTCATACAACTTAAACGATGTGTCGTGCAATCATAAATTTTTTATTTTGTTTTATTCAATTAAGAGTAGAAATAAAAAAGGTCCTTAAATGAAAAAGACTTTTATCATATATAAATAATAAATAAATATCATTTTTTTCTTTACGAGTAATTAAACTCTATAGTTTGTGTATACTTGAATAGGAAAAAAACAAAGACTAGAAAAATCGATGAATTTTTTAAAGTTTATTGAGCAGTAAAAAACATATTTTTAAATAAAAATATTTATTATGACAAGAATGAATTTTTAGACATATGACATGAAATAGAAAATAAAGGGCATAATCTATTATGAAAGAAATTGACAGATATATTTTTATTGAATTGATAAAGAAAACTATGTGATCTATTGTATATAAATGAAATTAGGAAGTAATAGCGATTATTTTCTGTTATATTAACTATTTGACTCTTTCGTAATATATTTCTATAATCAATGGGAATAAAATAAGATCGATTGCATAAAAATATCTCAAAGGAATTCTATTGTTTTCAATATAAAAGAAATGTATTTTATTTATCAATGTCGTTTGCTTTTACATTACAATCAACTGATGAATTTGATGTTAACGGGAATAAATATAAACTATAATTTTCTTCTTTAAAATCTAAGATTATCAATTTTTATTTGAATATTTATTGATAAATTTCCTCCGGAAATAGTGTAAAGAAATAAAAAGTCTTTCTTTTTCCGGAATGAAAAATTATCTCATATTTTGTCACTTCAACTTCATTACCTGTTTATTGTTAAAAGAGACGTACTTTTAACTCAACATTTTTTTCTCTATACAAATCATAATCATATTGACAAATATTAGTTCAGACATACTGATGTAAAACTATCATAATTGCTGCTATATCTTTCAACAAATAGACAGGAGGTTTAATCACCAAACATTTCTTTTTCATTTTATAAATTATATATTAAAATAAATACGAAAACTTTGGGGTTTTATCCGAGAGTTATGTGTATTGGAAAAAGTATATACGGAAATTATTACAGGAAAATATCATCACAATCTGACTCTCCTTTCGAAAGTTATCGTGTAAACGGACGGACGCACTGATCGATTCAAGTAATGTACTCGCTTTTTGAGTACACTAAAATAGTTGTCAATTCTTTATCACAATAGTGTAATTAATACAATGATTTATTAGAGTAGATAACTGCAACAAAATACATTTTAAAATTCGTTCGAATTTAAAGACATATTTTGTTGCAGTTATCTACTCTATTATCTGTTCGTTTATTATTACTGCAGTTCGTGATAGATTTATTACAATTATTTATTAAATCATCTTATATATAAGATCGGATCCATTCATTACTTTTATCACAAAAGTATCTACAGTACTTTAAACTGTAATCCGGGGTGAGGCAACTTTTATTTGATTATTTCTCTTGCAACAGTTTTTCGTTATTTTTTGATCATACTTGAGGGTTTGTTAAGGCGAGGTATAGTCTATATAATAGTATAATAATATTGATAAATCATTATATTCACTTTATAAAATGGTATTAAATATTACCAACAGATCAATTGGATTATCAAGATAAGATGATTGAATACTCTGATGTAACCATTTTAATTCATCTATCCATTGTGTTAATTTAGCTCTATATCTGGACGCAGTTTGTCTACGTGCAGCTTGTTCACGCCTTTAACATAACTTGAGCCGATGCTGCTGATTATTTTCGTTTTCTACTAGCATCTAGTCGGAAACCACCATGACCACAATTATCGAGATCAATGCTCCTTTTTTTTATACATAAGTAAATAAGAGAGATTAAGTGGAATACTATTGGTCAATGATAGCTAGCGTTTCGAAGTATACAACAGGCAGAGGAAGCTACAAAAATTCCCTGGTAGTGATCAGTAAAAATTAAGATAAAAAAGAGACAGTTTTACAGAGAATAAATAATTGTTTATATGTAAGAGCAGTGACGGTGTTCTGAACTAGGGCTAATCATAGCTAGTGGATCCCTCTGTATGACCATATAGATATTATACAATGAATATCTTTTAATGTATAGAGAAAATGAGAAAGAATAAGAAGTGTGGAAACTGAAAAAAAGCAAGTTTTCACCCTGAGTTACGTTCCAAAGTACTGTAGTGCATATCACAAAGAAAACTCATATTAGAGAAGTATAATACTGTTAATTTATTAATGTTACACAGTATCAAAGGGGAATTTGTAATTTTTCATTGACAATTTCAGGGTGTTAAAATTTTCTAAAGGCTTGAAAAATATTTCTTAACATTCTGGTAAAAAATACCATACTTAGTTTTTGAAAAATATGCAATAGACCATTATATTTTTATTGAAATATTTGGAAATTAGGACTAGAATTAATCAGAATAAAAACAGATCATTTGATTAAGTGATTTCGAATTTAATTGAGTTAATGACATAATCAATGAATGATATAAATTTTTCTTTATGCCAACTAGCTTGTTTGCATCGTTCTTTTCTTATTCTGAATCAAAGAAAAGCGCCCTCATTCGTAAGCGAATGAGCGACATTGTATAATATTGGTTCATTCATTCTTTATCCTTATTCTACCATATTATAATCATTCTCACTCCTCTCAGACATTTTCATGTCGAGTGTATACATATTTTAATGTATAAAAAAATACTTGATGATTCTTATTCGACAATGACAGCTGCAATGATTATATAAACCTTATTACAAGTTTTTGCGTGCACTTTTGGAATTCTTTTCATATTAAAGAAAAAGCATCTATACATAATTTCATATATATTTTTTCTTTACTCATTTTTTCTCTATCATTTGCAGAGTCATACTGGAATAACTGACAAAATAGTGAGTTTTTTCTTTAAATATTTATATGCAACAATGGTTGATTTGCGGAGATTATCGTCGAATGATTTATGTTATTTTGACCTTGCTTTTCTCTTTTTCTTATTATAACCTTCGTTCAAAAAATACCATTGCTGAGAAAAACTTAAGATCATCAGGTTTGATGTATGCTCCCTAACGCTCATTATAAATATTATACAGAAATATTATGATTCTAATAAAACTTCATTTTTAGAATTAAATATGAATCACGATCATGGTGGTCATGCCGGTCATGCTGGGCATATGATTCCTACTACTCCTTCAACAATGAATCATAGTAATCATGTAGTGAATAAAATAATCGCTTCCGTTCCAGTTCACAGTGGACACGCTTCTCATATGCAGCATATGATGATGGCAGTAAGTATTGCATTATTGTAAAAATTAGAATATGTTAGGTATTCCTACTGTGCATATATTATCTAGGAGAGACAAAAGGAGTTTGGTTTTGCTTACTAATATAGATTAATATTTAATCAGCATATAAATATAAATAAACACATCTAGTTATATAATTTGAGAACGATGTTCTATGAAAAAACGAAAGATTCGAGATTAAATTTTTAATTAAAAATAGTAATATAAAACTTAGATAAATAATATATGTAAACAGAAAACTTATTTTCTATTGCATTTATTAATCAAATACACTTTAATGGAAGTAAATTTTAACTCTTTCATATATGCAAATAGATTTTCCAGTACCGGAAGGAGATGAACATAATGGTGTGCATCAACAGCACAACAAAGTAAAATTGGTTTTAGTAGGTTTTTATCAAAATTTACATTTTTAAAATTAGACAATATACTTACACAAATGAAAACTTTGTATCCGTTTAAAATCTAAATCAATATTTTTCTTTTTCCATAGATGACTTTTCATGGTGGTTTTACCGAAAAAATTTTATTCGATTGTTGGAATACAGAAACCATTGGTGGTAAATAATGAATATTTTTTCATTATCATAAAAGAACGTTTTTTATTTTCTAAGCCTTCATTGGATCTTGGTTTATTGTTTTTTTTGTTGCCATACTCTATGAAGGTTTAAAAACTGTTCGAGATCATCTAGCAAAACAAGAAGTATGCCGTCAATATCCGGATGAGAATAATCGTCAATCACCACTGTAAGTTTATTCTAATTTGTGTGCATTAGTTTAATTATTTACAATTGTGTGATTATTACTGTAGTGTACGGCAGCATGATCAACCGTATGATCGTCCTAATAATACTGATTTGATACCAAGAGTTAGAACAGAAACTAACCGTCCTAAACGGTGAGCTTTAGTTGATTAATAAAATTTGATGAACTTAATTCTTTTAATTTCAATTATTTATATTATTCTATTTAGTGCTCGTTTATTAAGTACTTATCATATAATTCAAACTCTATTACATGTACTTCAAATGGGTATTAGCTATCTATTGATGTTAGTAGCTATGACATTTAATACATATCTTTTTCTTGCTGTCATATTTGGCGCTGGTTTAGGCCATTTCTTATTTGGTTGGCGTCGTTCATCTATTATTGATTATAATGAACATTGTCATTGAAAAGAAAATCAACAATGAGATCTTATTTTGTTTTTTATTTCTTCTTTTATGTTGTTTCGTATTTATCATTTTATTAATGTTGTGAAATTTTTGATTTGGTTATTTTTTTGTTTGTTGAACGGACGAGTTTTAGATCAAAAAAGAAGAAACGAAAGAAGTTTTTTCGTTTGTAGATCTGTTTTTTCTCTCGAAGTACTTCCTACCACCGTTAATTGTTGTTTTAACTATTGTAATGCACGTTTGGTTTTCTTTTTCTTTATATAAATGATAACTTTATGAAACAATAATATGCACATTTTGTAAAGGAATATGAATAACAATTGTTGCTTACCACTATAGGATTTTGCTTATTATCTAAACATAGGAATAAGTAACAGAGTTTGAAATCTTTCCAAAAACACACTTTGGTAAAGGCTTTGCATCGGACGAAAATTTTTATTAAGAGAACCTATCGTCGAAAAGTACTTAGCTGATACATTGTTGTTGGTCAACATATCAATAAGCCAAGGGAAGAATGTTTAAATGGGATTCGTTAAACTCAAGAATGCCTTATCAATATGTAATAGAAGATTGCACTCATATGGCATCACACAGACCCTTTCATTTTGGATTTTTAAAGGAGCAGTAGGAAGACACATATTTTTTCTCTGTTCACATTCTTTCCTCAACACATCAAATGATATCTGGTGAACGTTAAGTCTGTTTTTGACAGAAAAAGTATGACTATCAATTCATATCTCTGTTTAAGAACATACGGAATCGAAAGTTGTTCGCGCAAGATACTAACTATCATTAACTGCCAATTCTATGTCATACAAATTTTTAACATTACATCATAATATGTCTGTCAGTTTTTAGACAAAATGATTCAGCTGTGTATTTCTTCTCGAGAGAAATATATTGATTGTTTGTTTGTTCTAAAAGTGTAAAATTGTTTTTGAAATATGTTACTGTGTCCTTGATGTAAACACTTAGGAATAGAACTAATATAAAATATGTCGAAGTATTACTATAATTATATTTAGAATAGAATATCAACAATGAATTCGTTTATAATTTACATATTTAAAAAAAAACGTTTCACCTAAAGCATTCTGTCTATTATTCATTCCTTAGACACAATTATGTCATAAGTGAGAAACATAGGCGTGGAAAAAACATGAGCGACGTCTTAATTTGTTTTTGAAACTTATCGAACGATGCGAAAAGTCATTCTTTTCTACCCACACTCTCAATATCTAATTTTAGAATTATTTTCGATGGCAAGAGATTAATTGAAATGTTAAAAACTAAAACTTATAGTACAATGAAAAATAAGTATAATGTTCTTTATAGTCAGCTTATTAATATGAATATTTATCTGATACATTTTTATATAATATGTAACAGAATGTGCAGATATGTTCTGTTTTTGAAAGTGTTTTCAATGTACATGTAAAATCGCTTGATTATATTATTCTAAACTTAATCCAGTCAGATTTAATATCCAACTTATTTAAGCAAGGCTGTTATTATCGAAAATTTCATCTACTCGATCTTTCATTTTGAGAAAGAAAAACTCGTATTAATAAATTATAGATCATACATATATTTTCATTGATGTTTTGAAGAATGGTATATACGTAGTATAAGTGTAGAAAAGAAAAAAACAAAAGTTGACATTCATTTTTAAAAAAAATCACAAATATACACAGCTATTGGTGTTGAATAATTATGCTGTTTATTATTTATTGTTTTGAAGAGAAAAAAAAGAAAATAGAACGAAAGAAAAAGTATATAAGAAATTCGATCATTTCTTTTGAACCTAAATTAAATAAGAAAAAGATAGATTAAAATATTATTTATATCGGAATATCTTACCGGTAAATATAATTTAAATTCCGGCGGCAATTCATCTTCCGAATAAAGTCGATCAGAAAAGTAAACACGTCGAATTCGACAATTAGCATGAATCTATGAAGAAAAGATTTAGTTTAATCTAGTTTTTTTAATAAGTATTAAACATACTTGAACTCTTAGTGTTTCAATATAATTCGTACCATAGGCACGTCGTGTAAAATCAGATAAATTAAACTGAATTTGATTCCATCCATCATCCAAACGCATAGGCATTGTACAAATAAATGGTTTTACACGTGTTGTTGATTGATAATTACTAGCACGAAAACGACGACGAACATTTCGATCATCAAGAACCTTATTGAATATAAATCAAATGTATATATATATGATATTAAAAAACAAAAGACTCTTTTTTACTTGGACTTCGAATGTAAAATATTTTTTCAAATTTTTAATAATCATAACAAGAAATGGTAATTTGATTCCAAGTGTCTTTTTTGGATCAGCTGGACATGTTATGAATGTTGTACTAACATTTGTACCTGCTATTTCCAAAACAAGTGATTGAATCTCATTGTCAGTGATTCGTTTGATATGTCCATTACGTACCTTAAAAAAATAGATACATGGGTTTTTTACTAATAATTAAATATTCATATTATACATACTTTCTTATCCCAAATTTGTAATGGTTTACTACCAATACTGTAGAGAATTGAAAGGAAACCACTTTGAAATGTATTTTTGAACATATCTTAAAAGACAATATGAGAGAACAAATGAATGATGGTAAAGAAATGCGAGTTTGTGGCAAGCAAGGTCGCCATAGGTACGTCTCTTGGAAACACAGTGTCGATCGGCGACGACAACTCTTCTTTTTCTGCTTGTTGATAATCAGTTCATATACTAATATGGTCGGTTGGTTCCATAGCAACCGACTTCGATAATAAAATTGAATTAAATTAAATCTACTAAGTAAAAATCAATTCTAAGCATCTTAATGAAATAGATATATATGTGAAAATTATTTATTTCATATAATAGATGGCGTACTAATACATTCATCACTGATTCACTATATATTTACTTTAAATACCGCTATTATCAGATCGTATACCATTTTAAAGATATATATAGAAAGCTATTAAAGAAATTCTTTTGACTTCTTATAAATGACTGCATTGCTAGATAATAAGAGATAAGATTTTAAAATACATGTCGACTATGATGATAAAAACCAAACTGACATTCTGTAATCGATTATAAAAAGATTTATGTAGAAACAATAAGCTTATTGCCTTTTAAACCTTTCTTTTTTTGCTAAAATCAAAAACACTTTTTATTAATAGTACTTAACTAACAAGATCTCTTGTTCAATTTATCTTTTCATGAAAGTAACAATAACAATATCAAGTACCCAATACTCAAGATCAACAATCATTTATAGTGTTACTCCCATGAAATTATTTCTCCATCAGCGGTTTTAATAACTAAATTAATTATGTCTCATAATCAACATTTTCTATTAATAGTTACTACTATTACTTTATTACAATACATCGACGTTGTTAAATTATTAATCAATAATGCATATTTCATTTCAAATTAAGTAATATCAATTCAATCAAAAAAAAATTTTTTTGTTTTTCAACAAAAAGCTCTTTCAAATAGCAATTATTCCTTTGATGAAAATACTAAGTATTATTCTCTATAAAAAGAAAATCGGAAGTAATTCCGATAAAATTTCATTATTGACATTTTGATTGATAAAGGCATTTTCATCTATCTACAAACAATTTTCTCAATTAACTTTTTTTTTGTTCAATACAAATAGAAAAACTACTAGGAGATATTTACTCTTAATAGACGACCTTTTTTTCTTTTAATGTTATAATTACTCGATAGTTAATTAGAAATAATGATAAACTATCCCAAATGTCTTGTTAATTATTTTATTGGTTGTCATTTTAAATAGAAGAAAAACTTCTGATTATCATCACCGATCCAAAAAAAAAAGAAAAAGAAAATCAAATAAGCCAAAGAAATGTACGCTTTGTAATTAACCTTTGTCACAAAACGTAAGAGAGAGAGAGAGAAAAAAAAAGAAAGGGAGGTATGAGCAACAACAACAACAACAAACATTAAATGACGAAAAAAAAAGAAAAAAGAAAAAAAGTTAGATTTGTTTTATAAGAAGAAGCTAATAGACATCTTTTTTTTTGTCTTTGTCAAAGAAAGAAATAAACGAAAACACAAAATAAATAGAATAAATACATTTTTTTTTCACAAAAGATAAATCCATAGTGTCACATAGGCACATATAAGAATATGAGGTATGTAGGTAATCAAAAAAAATGAATGATTTATTTTAGTCATGATAAACAAACAAGATAAAGAAGAGAGAGAGAGAAAGAGACATTTAAACAACATAAACCAAGGAATGAATATTCGAAAGAAGGGTACATAAAATGAAAAATTTTTGTAAATATGAAAACTCGTGAACAAATCATAATTTATAATAAGTCGAATTGTTTTCATGTAGAAAATGATGATTTTATAGCTGTTGCAATTGGCATACCCGAACGATGGAAATGAACACATAACCAACGTGAATCTTTTTTATGCCATACACGAGTTTCTTCTGTTCGTACACTTTGTGGTTGACCATTACTAAAAAAAATATAGTCAATATTTTATACACTACTATAGATTTTTTGTGTATAGTTATACCGATCAAGAAATTGAAGAAGAAGAATATATGCTATACAAGCAGAATCATCTCCTAATGGATGTACAACTGGTGTTAACATTGTACAATTAATTGTAGGTTTATTTGGTTTAGTTGATAATACTAAATATAGATGAGAATAATTAATTAATATAATTGAAATAATAAATAACACTACGAAATGCACTACACAGTATACGTCAACAAAAAATATTCATTACCTGTATCGGAGCGAGAAAATCGCCCTGAAAATATTCGGGTATATATGTATTATTATAAAAAAAACTCAGTGTTATCTTAACTATCTATTTCGATTGAAAGAATTTTTACTAACCTGTATCAAAATAAAATTTATGAAAATCTAATCCTTCAACAAGATTGCCTATTGTTTCTGGTTCAAAACACGTGATTTTTGGATCACATAATGATCTATAACAAAATAGAATTTTTTTTCTCAAAAAAACAAAATTTTCTTTCACTTACTTATACATTTCAAAATCACTATTAGCAATAGCTTGTAATAATTGTTCGGTTACTTTTGTTACTTCTGAATCTAAATTAGAATAGAAAAGAAAAAATGTATTAGAAATATTAATATAAAAGTTAATCTATTAGAGCTTTTTTTTTTAAATAATCATTAACTTTCCCAATTACAATAAGATAAGAATAAATGAATAAGTGAAGGATAGGCGTGCAATATTGATTATTGATTAAATGTTTTTTTTTTATAATATACTTGCTTACTTATATCAGTTACTTTTGTCGGTTGTGAAGTAAGCGTCATAGCTGCTGCTATTGTTGATGGAGATGGAAAAGTTTTTTTCGCAGCTGTAAAAATTTTTGAAGATGTGTATTCTTTTTATTTTAAAACGCGTTAGTTAAGTTCGATAAGAATCAGGTAAAGATTTTATTTTCTCTCCCTTGTTTCTTTTATGCTTACTTATTCGATCAGTTCGTTCAGTATCATTTGCATCATCAATTGTTGCACTGTTACTATCCACAGATTCTTTAACAACACTACTATCACTTTGAGTAGTTGGTCGAGAACGATTAACTAAAAGTAGAAAAATCAACGATCTACTATTTGTTTCAAGCAAATAAAGAATGTTAAAGCATATTGCGCAAATAGAATTATATCGGACATAAAAAGAAGTAGAAGAAGAACAAAAAGAAAATTAAGTAAATATAACTATTTCAATAATAATACAAATTATTTCATACAAAATACGCGCGTACCTCCACTAGCAAACACTGACGATATAGCAGAAGTTGTAACCGGTGATATACCACTACCGGTTGGAACTGCTGTTGATTTTTTTCCATTAGTTGCTCCAGAACCACCAGTAATTGCAGCTGAATCTAAAAATTGACCCATCGACGAATAGTTCTAATCAATATATTTGTCCATATGGTTTGCATACATATATAAGCACATGACAGTCACATATAGGGGGTTCTCTTTTCTATATATATATATATTGTGCTGGGAAGAACGACTACACCCACATATCCAAATTAAAGGAAAAAATAGTGTGCTATTGGAAGGATAGAACAAAATAGGATGAGATACAAGAAAGGATAGAGCAGGCATAAGATAAAAACGCGATTGCACAAAAAATAATGACAACAAATATAGGATAGTACTAAGAACAGCAAACAAGATGTATGCCAAACAGGCAAGAAAAAATTCATATATAACGACAAATACTGTTTCTTTTGTCAGTAATAGAAGAACTTCTATATTATCCTAGTAGTAGCATGTCGTTTTTTGTCAATAAATGAGAAAACAAGAACTATCCATCTTCTATGGGTTTGCGATAGTCAATGTTATCATATACTTCTAGGAATTTGTTTCAATTGATCTCTAAATAAACTATTCAAAACCTTTCAAAAACATACACACACACACATACGCTAATATAAAAAGCATTGTCCGATATAATTATATGCAATAGAAAAAAATTTACTATGATATATCACATGCAGGAAATTAGTGATTTTACTTACTAGGTAATAATGTACGAGTAACAAACATGGTCGATAGAATCGCTCCCTAAAAAAAATTTCAAAGAAAAAATATATTAATTTTTGTTCTTCGTTCTATTTAATATAAAATAAAAACTTACAACACAACAAATCAAAAACAATAGGATGAAAAACATAACCTAAGTCTGTTTTGTTGTTAATTGTATATTCTATCGTAATGATTTTTCCCTATCGTTTAGTTAGCTTACAAAGGATGCGTACAATCTGTCTGTCGTTCTATTCAATATATGATATCGACAGAATAGGAAATAACAACACAATGTATACAACCAACATTCTTCTTTTTCCTATGTTTTTTTTTATGTTGCTGTATTTTCTTATGTCGATCATATCATCAATGTCATTTACCTTTAATTTTCGACGTGCATTGAATTTACGTAGACAATCAACTGTTTCTTGTCGATGAATTGTTCCTGCAACTCGTTCACGTTGCTAGAAAAAAACAACAAATGATTTATTTTTAATCGAAAATTTAAAATTAAGATTTATTATTAGTCTAAGAAGAGAAAAGGAATAAATATGAGAACACCTCACTGAGATTTTTCTATTCTATCACATAGTCAATTCGATTAACATCCTTGCAGCATCATCATCATCATCGTTCTTTTTTTTTCTCGTTCATTGAGCAAACAAAACGGTGAATGGATCATAAAAAAAGAACTATATACGAGCAAATATAGCTGATTGAGAGGAAAATCTTGTATACATAGTTGATTCCTTTCTACGTTTTCCTACTAATCTTTTTTCTTTCTCTCTCTCTCTCTCTTTTTTTTTGCTTTATTTAATAACTTACACAAATCCATGGATGTTTCAATGCATCCGCAGCACTAATACGTCGACTAGGATTAACATTAAGCATTGAATCAATTAATTTTTTTGCTTCTGTTGTAACTGTATCCCATTCTGGTGATGGATACTAAATAATATCAAACAGAATAATAAGAAGAAAAATAAAAAAACTAAAAAATTTATACATCATAAGCTCCAGCTTTGATTTGATTATATAAACGATGTTGATCTTCATCCCAAAATGGTGGATAACCAACAAGAAGAATGTAAAGAATAACACCTAAGAAGATAAAAACAGATATATTTTTATACAAATATAATTCAAATTAAACTTACCACAAGCCCAGATATCAACTGGTTTACCATAAGGTTCTTTTTTGAGCACTTCGGGACTAAGATAACCAGGGGTTCCAGCAAAACCTATGCGAATGATAATAATTTATTTGCAATAAAATAAATATTAATGATACATACCATACCATTGTGTTTGTTCACCAGTAACTTCAATAGCTAGACCAAAATCTGCAAGCTCTAAAATTAGAATAAAATGTTGTTTTTCTCTCGCTCGTTCGATATTAAAATAAGAAAACTATAGTTTCTTTTGTTATATTACTTACTGACAGCTGCTCCTTTTGATTTACTGGCCAATAAAAGATTTTCAGGCTAAAAAACAAGTCTTAGAAATTAAAATCAATAAAACAAAAAAATTGAATTTAGTTTACTTTTAAATCTCTATGTACAATACTATTATCATGACAATGTTTTACAGCTTCAAGAATTTGTTGAATACATTGACTAAAAATAAGAATATTTCAAAATCAATAAAACTATTCATAAAAAATTTTACCTTGCATCAGCTTCAGTATAAAATTCTCTAGCGACAATATCTTCAAATAGCTCTCCACCAGTGACTCTGATAAAAAAAAACAAATATTTGTAAAAAAATTTTTATATTCTTTATCTTAAAAACACATACAGATCGAAAACAAGGTAATGAAAACCTTCTTCGGCAATATTATCATAAAGACGAACTATAAAAACATAAATTAATAAAAGAATTTAACAAATAAATTTTTTAACCTATATTTGAATGTTTTAACAGTCGACATATTTTAGCTTCTCGTTCAAGTTTTTGATGATCTATAATTATAATTAAATATATATTTATATATGATTGTTTTTTTTCTTCTTCTATATTCTTACCGCGTGCAGATAATTTTCTAGTATTAATAATTTTAGCAGCATATTCTTGTGCTGTAAGTTTTTGTATACATCGTCGTACAATTGAAAATGCACCTCTATAATAATAAAAAAGAAAAATATAATCAATAGATAAATTAATATAGTGAGTAATTGATTGTTATGTATTATTAATGAGACTTTCTTCTTCTTTTTTTTTATATACATGCGTATTCTTTTCTCCTTTCGTTCTCGTGTGAAGAATGAAGGAAAAAAACAACTATGAACATCAATATTATGTTCTCTTATTCTTATATGAATAAACAGTTTGTTAGAAATATCTTGTCTATTTTTATTTTTTATTTCTAGTTTTTTTTTATTCAAAACAATTGATTGAACTAGTACTAGTAAGTCAAGTACTGGTGTGGTGATAATGACTTTTTCTTTTTTTTTTTTTTCTTCCTGCTTTTGTCATTCCCTCAATTATGATAATATACGTTTGGTCTTAGTTTTGAACGACAGCCTACAACATTGAGTCTATGATGATCGCGTTCTCCCATCTATTCATTCATTCATCCATCTATCTAGGCTAGTCAGTCAATAGTTGTAGTGAAAAGATGAGGTCAGAATATGAATGAGAGAGAGAGAGAGAAATGACAACGACATCGACAACAACGACGACGACGACGAAGTTGATGATGAAGAGATTAAGAGAAAAATAATATCTACGACATGCAAACGCGATTAATCAAAAAAAAAAGGGAAATAGTAGTGCAAATTCGAGAAAGATACGGTGACAAAACCGATTGCCTATTAACTAGAACTGGACGCCAGAGAGATAGTCAATATTTGTTTACATTTATTCATGTCATTAATCAGACATATGAAATATAATAAAATGACAAAAGAAGAAAAAATATATATAAATGTATATGATGACTTACTTTCCAAGTTCTTCTTTAAGATCATATTCATCAGTAAAACGAGTTGATGTTACAATGGGACTTGGTGTTGTTGGTATATTATTTATAACGGCAGCCATATTGATATTAGACGTTGTTGTTGGAGGCGACACCTTTATATTACTATTCGTATTAATATTATCGCTGCTATCGGTATTAGTATTGATATGATTGTTGTTGTTGTTGTTGTTGTTATTATTATTATTGCTTGTATTGTTATTAATAGTATTGAGGAATTTGTTCAGTAGTGTATTATTATATTTCATACAGATAATAAAACAAAATCGGATGGTGTTGATTTTAATCGATTATATGAAAATGAATAAATAAAAGGAGGTGGACGTTGGGTCATCATCATTGTTAGTAAGAAGAATATATCAGATTAACATGTGTATGTTAGTGACATGCGTTCTATAAACGCAACAAAACGAAGAAGATTGTTCTCGTCGTCGTTTGTCGCAATAGCAATCTAGTAGTGTAGTAGTAAGAGCAACAGAAACAGCAACTATAGAAGCTTATTTCTGGTCGACGACACACACAGAAACAGACCCTATTGTCGATTCAGGTGGAGAGAAAGAGACAGACAGACAGATCGAGCGAAGAAAAGACGAAGAAGAATAAGAAGAAGAAGAAGCAGTAATAGTAAAGAACGAGCAAGTAAACTCTAGTCGGCACAATGCTTAACCATTCATAGATAGGAAATAAAAGAGAGAACAGAATGGCTGCTGATAAGACACACGAATGCACAAATATAAATCGTGTATTAAATATACATATATGTATATATATTAATAATGATCAAAAACGGAATACTATTTCTATGTATCATCAATCAGAAATGTTTTCAAATTTTTCGTAAACAACAAAAAAAATCGCATTGATTATGATTGGTTTATCAGAATTAGCCAATAGGTATCAGTCATAAAAAAGGTATTGCGCGAATCTCTTGTTCTGCTTCAGTTTGTTTATCATATTATCACATAACGGTACAACAATTATGATTGAAGTTATCTGTAATGATCGATTAGGTAAAAAAGTACGTGTAAAATGTAATCCAGATGATACTATTGGCGATCTTAAAAAACTAATTGCTGCTCAAACTGGTACAAAATCTGAAAAGATTGTTTTAAAAAAATGGTGTAAGTATGAAGAAATTTCTTTATTTAATTTTTAATCATTTATTCTTATTTTATTTAGATAATATATTCAAAGACAATATTACTCTTGCTGATTATGGTATGTAAATTTATATTAAAATATATATTCATTTATTTTTTCTTTTTATAGAAATTCATGATGGCATGAACATTGAACTTTATTATCAATAAGAATTAAATACTATTGAAAATTTTTGTTAATAAATTTATTTGATATAATTCATAAAATTGAAAGCTCTTGATTAAAAAGTACACGATACAAAAAAAATGTTTTTCATTCTTTCTTCCATTCACACATAATTAAATATATATATATAATGGGATTTTAATAACGTGGGATCGGTTCTCTTACAACATAAGGGTATCCTTGTGGTGCATACATAGGTTGTTGTTGTGCATACATGGGCTGTTGTTGTGCATACATTGGTTGAGCTGAAGGTACATAAACTACTCGTTCGCTAAAATAGAAAAAGAATAAATTTCGTAAATATAAAAAAAGGTTTTACCGTGGTCGACAACAAGGTAAACAGCAACAGAGTAAATCAAGTGGAAGACAGCATAGACATATGTCCAATGAGTCAGAACATGGACAAATATCAGGCTTAAAAAAATATCAAATTTTAAAATATATTTACAAAAATTACTAATCGAAACTATCGATTTTAATACGAAAGGGCAATATTATCTATTGTCACTAATAAATTCTAAATCGATCATATTAGATTTCCTTAGAAAAATAAATATGCGCAATTGGTTTTACGTACAATACACATAATTTGTGCTTATTTGGTAATGTCACTTGTTGTTGTACAAAAAAAGAAGTCGGAAGAACTGATGAATAATAAAATAAGCATATCGTGGTGTCAGTTTCTTATTACGGAATAGATTTTTTCTCTCCCTCTCTATTTTTTTCTTCCGTTCTGTAATATGTCTGCCTATTTTCATTTATGGTACCCTACTGTATTTCTTACTAGCATTGAATGACATTCTATTTTCATTTTTATGACATCATTATTATTTTGTTAAAGATTATCTTTATCTTGTTCTTAATATTAACCATAAATTTTTTCTTGTATAAGTTGTAATCGAAGACTAAGAAAGAAAAACATATGATTAATTTTTCTTTCGTTAACATAAGTTTATCTGGCCTATATTATTTATTTTTATTTGAGTAGTGAACACAACAACAATAAATGAACATAGCACACTGTTCGTAAAAGATGATGTATTACAAAAAAAAAGTTTCAAAATAGAAAAAAGCAAAAGAAAAAGGTATTAACCATTGTCAATGTCAATGCATATTTGAATAGTATTGATCAACGAAAAACAAATTATTTGACTAGGAGATCAAACATTCGAGAGAATTGTACTTGTATTAAGCAAAAAGATTGAATCGTTCTAGAAATAAAATATATATATATATTCACTGATTATGTAAAAATCTCGATAGTTTGAAAAAACATAAATATTTATAATTCAATCTATTCTATAGCAACCTTAATGTTTGCATTGTATAAATATCCTCGGGTATCTATTTGTAGTTGTATCAGATTTATACAACATAATGATCTATATATATCTTAAAAGGAATTAGTATTTCGACGCTGTTTAATCGAAATTCTCAGAAAAGATTTCACTTTTAATTTCGATTATTTCTTATCGAAGATCTACATGATGTGAAAATATGCTGTTACTATAATTATATCTTAAGATAAACTATTTTTATTGCAATTTGAGCCGATGTTATTTCGATGTATCTGATGAAGACTATTAGATTATTCTAACAATAATGAATATTATTATTTATATACTTTTTGTTGGATATTTATTTGATAATAATGATGCAGGTAAATTAAATGTATGTGTCATATTTGCAGTTGTTAATTTTGATCCTAATGTTGATAGATCGGGTGGTGGTGGTAATGGTTGTCCTGTGATAGAATTTTGTTCATGTTTATTTATTGATGATGAACGAGAATTTAAACTTGATATTGATGAATAATGTGAATGATAATCAAATTTTTCTTGATTAGATGATGATGAAAATGATGAATGTTCATCATGTGTTGATGATTGAGATGAGGAATTACTTGTACATCGATTGATTAATAAATTATAAGCACGTTTTCCTTGCTCACTTAAATCACCTATGATTACATAAGAATAGAATATATCAAGAATAAAATATTGATTTTATACCATTTCGTGAACGTTCTTCAAGTTCACGTGTAAATCGACATGATGTTTCGTTTGGTTTTTTTATTGTTAATTTTGATAATAAACGAGAAAATGGAGGTGAACGATTATTTGGATCTAGGAATGATTAAAATTTCAGTAATTGAAGTAAAATCATCGTTTTTTCTCTTTACCTGTCATATTATCAAATGAAAATTGATTTTTATCGAAAGATGTTGATTGAATCTAAATCAATAGACACATAGAAAAGATGAACTGTATGTCAAAAATGAAGCTGATATGTGCTAAATCATTTGAGTTATGTAAACAGTACTGTGGCGAAACTTTTAGAAATGCGGAGAGGATCATTCTCCCCCTCGGTCTACGACAGTTCATGTCGGAATATTCGACCAAGACTCAAACGTTTGTGGAACTCATACATTTTATATGCACTTACATCTACTACTGGTGATTGTGGTGATGTTGATCTTGTTAATAGATTATCTTCTGATAGAGACATTGATTCTGTTTCTGAATAGATCTCAGTAAATGCTTGCATAACTTCATCGAATAACGATGAAGATTGTTCATCAGTCTAAATAATATTTCATTTTTCAAAAAAACAGTAATGAATTCGAATCATACTGATTGTTGTTCCATAAGATTCAGAGTTGATTCTTTTAAATTTGGTTCGATTTTTAGATTCGTATCTTCTACATTAGTTAAACAAGCCATATCACCAAATGTTTCACCTAAAAAAAAAGAAATATTTGTTTTTTTCTTCTAATTAATTATTGTCTTTTATTTACCTTCGATTCCAATATGAAATGCATGAACAAAATCTGCCTGAGGAGAACTTATCATATTTTTTGATATTTGTTTATATCTTGTTTTAGTTGAATTTTTCTTTATACCTATATATAGAAACAAAAGGTTTTTTAATTATCGTTTGTAGCTATTTTTTCATATAGTTGCACAATAGTCAAGGTTAATATACGTTTTCTTTTTTAAAAAGTTTAGAAGAAACTATATTTGTATTGTAATTTTGTGCGTCAATTATTTCAATTGAAATAGAAAATAAAAGCAATTTAAGAGTAATCTTGCATTACCTGTCTTCCGATAAAATATATGGTTCATTGTTGATGATGTCGTATTAATTGTTTGTTTAGGAATAGTTATAACATGTAACGGTTCAACGTTATTATTATAAACAAAGCCTATTTGACCGTCAGCCGATATACACTGAATAAAGTTATTGATTGACGTTGACGATATGGGAATGTCAAGGCTAGAAAAAAATGTACAGAAATGTTTAAATTTGATATTTTTTTACATTTCTTTCTCGAGAGTACGTCAATATCTTAGCCCAAGGACGTAATAACAAAATTGATTTGTAAACCAATCAATAAAAGTGCGTTAAAGGTAGCGCGTCGCATATCAAAATAGAAAGAAAAAGCTTGTTCGACTCGTTCACTTACATATATATATCAAAGAAAATGAGAAAAATGTTTACGTAACAATGAATCTTAAACATAAATACTTCTGCACATCATATTTCTCTTTTCCTTCTACATTTTTTTTTATCTATTCTGTCCTTAATAATATATGTTTAGCTGTTGAAATTTGATGCACATACCATCGATCGAGAACTGTCAATGGTCCTAACATGCATGATTGTATCGGAAGGAAATCATCAGGTAGAATTGTTGATATATTATTATTATTTTTCCATCGTACTTGTTTTATTTCAATCTATAATGATAAGAAGAAGAATTTCTTCTATATTTTGTGTTCTTCTTTCTAGATAAAGTTTTTATACTTCGATTAATTGTCTTTCTAATTTAGAGAATGTTGGACGTTCAGATGGTTCATATTTCCAACATTGAAGCATGACTTGATATAGTTCAGATGTAGCATGAGATGGCCTTGATAATCGCTGATGATTGGGTGCATCGATTGCATTGATAATCTGGAAAAGAAAAGCAATAGAAAAGAAAGTTTTTATAATTTTCTAAGATTTCCATAGAGAATTACAAATGAATGAAAATTTATTGTAATAAATATCTATTTATGAATAATATTTTGTCTACAAAAATTTAGTTAATATCTTACTTCATCATTAGACATTCCTTTCCATGGTAGTTCTCCATAACTAAAACATTCCCACATTGAAACACCAAATGAAAAGACATCTGATGCTGTTGTAAAATGATGAAAATGTATAACTTCTGGACTCATCCATGCTATGGGTAATTTTAATCTATCTTTCCACGATGCATTTAAATGCTCCAAACCCAAATCGGAAAGTTTAATCTAAATACATAATTATAATATATTCAAATATATTGACAAAGAAAACTTACAAGTGATTTATTAAAAACAAGAAATTTTCGACATGATACATTTCTATGTATTAAAAATTTCTCTTCTAAATAACACATTGCTGATGCTATTTGTTTTAAATAGTCAAGTAAAATTTGTATTGAATATTCAGATTTTGCATTTATTGATAATAAACATATATCCAATGATTTCATCTGTGCATATTCCATTACCTAAAGAATATTTTTAAATTATCAAAATTCGATATTTTTTTGGAAACTTACAAACATAATAGATTGATCAGTATGAATTACAACATCAAAAAATGAAAGTATATGTGAATGTTTCGTATTTCGAATAATCGATATTTCTTTTGATATATCATTATAATTAAATTCTTGATGAAATTTTTTAACAGCAACAGTTAACTAAATATGAATAATTCTTAAATAGATTGTTTTTTTTCTTATCTTATACTTACTAATTCATTTCGTTTTGTTCGATAAAATGCTTTAAAAACTAGATATAGAAAACAAATAAATATTTTGAAATTTATTTTTTGAAATTACCATTGCCTAATTTTCCTTCTCCAATTCGTTCAATAAATTGTATATTTTCTTTTACAATCATAGCTTTATTCAAATTTGATGGATCGTGTTGTTCATAATTATTATTATTATTATACAAATGACTTGCACTTTTTGTCACATCTGTTGTTGAACGATGTGATAATTTCTAATGATTATATCAAGAAAGAAAAAAAGATAAATCTTTCTGCTTTATGTCGATTAGTAAAAATGTACAAGTGAACACCTGCTTTCCATTGTATATGTCTAATCGAAAAATAATTCTTCTTTCTATTATAAAAATTCTCAACAGTCGCCACGGAAATAAGACGATGTCGGTCAAAGAAGAAGAAGGAAAAAACTGATTACGTCAATTTTTAATTACTTTTGAAAATCGGTAGTTTATATTTCCTACTAACACTTACTCGAACTAATAACTTGCCCAAGGTACTTGACAATATTGTACTATTATTTAAAGTTAAATTAGATGATGACGGCAAATGACGTTTTAGTTTTTCAAATGGAGGCTTAGACATATCTGATGAATGTCGATCGTAGTCGTTGTTGGAACATAAATCACCGATACTATATACCTAGAAATTAAAACATTATATAGAAATGAAAACGGAAATGAACAATTTTGTAAATTATCTTAGTCTTTCATTGATATTATAAACGATAGGAGATTAGTTAAGCTTTTAATTGAGCACGTGAAAAAGATTAGTTTATGAATGTGACAATCTTATTCATAAAACTAGATATTAAACATATAGAAAATTACCTTTCGAACAATTCGAATATCTTTTTCTTTATGATATTTCATCCAACTGGGTACTGTATCAAAAAGAACATGTGTCATCATTTCTTTATATTTCATCTTTTGTTATAACATTAGAAAAAGTACGATTACTTGTAGTTGACACTAATCATTTTTCTTTTCTCTGTCTTTCTCTCTCTCTTTCCCTCTGTCTTTTTTTTCTTACCTTGAGCTTTTCGATAATTAATGTATAAGATTTGTTGAATTCTATTTACTCAAGAAATTGATCTAGGTGGAAAAGATCATCATTTATTTTATAATGACTATTAACATTGACAAGACAAAAAAGAAAAGAAATAGCTGACGTGTAAATAAAATTACCGCCCTGATGTCAAGAAGAGAAATGTAATGCAGACCGATTGCCAATTTATCTTATGTAGAAGGAAGAAGGACGACGTAAGTTAAAGGAAGATCATTGACCCCACTAGTGTTCTCATGTAGAAAGGGTGTATATATATATATTCTTATTCATGTAGATTCATCATGCAACCTAGTCAAATTGACTTTAGTGGGTGTTGATTATCTTATACATCACTGGTTGCTAAGTCCTTCTGTTGATGATGAAAGACAGAATACAAAAGAGAAGAAATAGACATCATGTCGCGACATGTAACCAACTCAAAAAGAAACACATTCTATTTCTTTCTAATCTTAATACAAATTTGAAACAATCCAACAAAAGAAGAAAAAACGCAAGAGAGAGAAAAAAGGTCAATAGCAACAAATGTTGTTGTTCAGTTAGTCTTAACGATCAACGAACCGTATGATATTAAAAGATTGAACAAATGAATGTGTGATGCTCAAAGCTATGTATACAAGACTAGACGTAAATAACAATATTACTAGACGTGTGTCTATATTTATAAACATGCTCAAAGATATATGTTATAACCGAAAAACAAAGATAATGATCAATTTTAGTATGTAACCATAAATCAACTAGTATAATGTAACAATTGAGTAAGACAAATGCTGTCTATTATTATTATTACTATTCAATAATTGATAGGACTTGTAGTTAAAATAAATGATATTTAAATATTGAAAAGAAATAATGGTAAGTTTTGTTTTACTTTGAATAAGAATTCATGTTTATCTGCAATGAACAGAAATATTCTGCATGTATATCTGTAAATGATTGTTGTGTAATTGATTAGATGAGAAACAAAACGATATGTCTAACATATGGTCAATATTACAAGCAATTCTCTTTTTATCAACATCAAACGTATACTAGTAGTGATGGATATAAAACATGTTTTTTATATTTGATTATTAGCTAAATTCTCATCGTAAAAAATATCAGATAACGATAATCAACACAAAAATCAATATGCTTAAATGATCATAATACACATTTTTATTTATAATAAAGAATAAAAAAAATATTCTCAAGTGATCGGTAAATAGATAAATAATTGATATAGAAACAGGTAATATTGATCGTAGTTTTTTCCTGTCACCAACCACATTCTCATATGGAATAATGTTAGCAAATGAGTGTGCGGTATAAAAGATTTATGGAAAAGACTTCTCTTTAGAATCTTTTTTAGCCTGTGTCCTTGTAATATTTGGAGAGCTATCTGAAAAAGATAAAATTTTAGATTTTTAAGAAAAACAATTTCTTTGGTCTTTATTTTAACTTTATCTCTTAAAATAAAGTAACTTTTTCTTTATCTTTATTTTATAAAAATAAAGATTTACTTTATTTCCTTATCTTTATCTTGGAAATAAAGATCATATTTATTCTTTATAAAATAAAGATAAAGTAACACCCCTAATCAAAACACACTTTAAAATAATTTGTTTGAATTAGATAATGTTTTTAACCGATGATTAATAGATGTATCTTTGCTGACATTCTCGAACGTCATCTCATTCTGTGTCATTTTCAATGATAAAAGCAAACTTTTTTCAGTCATCCGATAGATAATAGAATAATTAAAGTGTAAATAATTGTCAAGTAAAAATATTAGCGATAAACCCTCTCTATTTATTCGTGAACGAATTGTTTTGTTGTCTTCAAAAAACGTCAAGTAGATCATCGTACTTAAAATCACATTTTCTAAGAACATAATGCATACTATCTATCATGGATTTTTTCTTGTTATCTGTTTTGGAATCGCAATCAAATGCCAAGGTGGTGGTGGGGGTGGCGGCGGTAGCGGCGGTGGAGGGGGTAAGATATTCTAGCTTTTAAAATAATTTATTTTTCACCTCTTATACCATTTATACAAGTAGAATATTTAATCTCATTTTTTATATTTTAGGTGATTTTTCTGGAGGAGGCAATGGTAGTTCATGTACCGGTGATAATTGTTTTTATCAGACAGTTATGCTGGTAAGTATTTCTGGTGTGATTGGATTATTGATTTTGATCGTTGGTGTTATTAACTATTGGAAAGGTCGACCAACCCAAACAAATATAGAATTTATTAAGAATGATACTATTAAAAACTATAACCAAGAAAAATGTGATACTAGTATGTTTAAATCTGGTTATTGGAATAGCCAATATTTTCAATTTGTTAAATGGTGTGGATCTAATCGACTTTGTCTTTTATTCGACAATGATTCAATGACTGTAATAGGAGCAGGATCAGACTATGTAGGGTATTTTACGATCAATGGAATATATTCGCTCGAAACAAGTCGATTAGGTTTATCAAAAAAGTATCAATTAGGCACTGGTAATGAAAGAGAAAACTTAGGGCATACAGTTACAATTCAATTAACATGGAATAAAATAAGAAATCAATTTGAAGGAAAATGGTATGTGCAAACAAAGAAATATCATGGTGAAGATATATTTCAGCTTAAATTTCATAGCTGACACTTATCAACTGTATATGGAACAGACTAAAATATGATGTCTTTTAAATCTATATTTTTCTACGAAAATTCTAGTAACTAAGTCATATACAACTGAGTTTATATCATAATAGAGGAACTAATGCAGTTTTTTTTAATTAATCGAATAATTTTTACTCAATATCAAACTATGATTTTTTTTTTGTGTTAAAATCTCTTTAAAATAAAATAATATTTGAATAAACAAATGCATTATATTCTGAATAAATATTAGTTCGTTTCTGTATACTTTCACCTTTTATCAAGTATTCTTTCTTTTCTCTAATTGTAGATAAGTTTTAGCTGAGAAAGATTTCATAGATATACATTCTTTACACAAAATAACTACAACCAATAAAGATTTCTAAGTATGGCTATGTCTGATAGTTCACAATTTAATTTCAAAGAACATTGGCAAGAAATATAAATTATTCTTGATAATGTCAATTAATTTTGAAATTTTTTTGGTTTAATTTTTCAGAAGTTAAATAGTGATCATAAATCATTGGGGTTTACTATTAATCGTGGTACTGATAAACCAGTTCAGAATCATTTCACATCTATTAGTATTGCACATATTTATAAAAATAATTTGGCACATAGAGACAAACAGTTAAAGTAAATAAACTTGTATTCTATCAAACGTTTTTTGTTATCACTATTTTATCACTTCAGGTTATATGATATAGTATTACAGGTAAATGATATTGACATTATAAACATTGAACAGTACGCTGCTCTGGGTGTGGGTGACTTCTCACAACTTTGAGAACTACACTCTCGTCGACACCCACACCCAACAGCACATATAAAAAGCAAGTAACACATGTTCGATATATAGATTAAAAGTACTTTAGAATTCTTTCAAAAATAAAACAATGTAAATTATTGTACATTTGTTTACTGTATCTAGTTATCAATCAATTTAACTGCTATATGAACAAAGGAGATGCTAGATTGAACAGCTACCAACAGTAAAAACGACGCAAACAAGAAATTATTTTAGATTTTATAAACTTTTTTGTATATATTTTTTTCAAAACAATCATGATTAATAAAAAAAAATTAACTCAAACATCGCTTATACTATATAAGACATATGTATTTCAAAAATCAAAGAGTATCAATAGACAAGAGTATGTACGAGTGTTTTAGATAAATGGAATGATCTAATTGGCCTATATTATTCTAGTAAAACATCATATATTTCTATAAAATAATCTCACATATGTCTATACACTACTCATTATAGATGCTATCCAATCAGTATTACATGATTCTGTTGACAAGATTGATCTATTTTGCATGATATAAATGTGGTAATTTAGTTTTGGTACATTTTGTGATTCTATGGATACATTTAATACAATCTAGTACTGTTTTCTATATCAATACATATTCATTAGAAAGAACCTGTGTAAGTATGAATGAAACTTCATGAAACGAAGTATATGAGTTAATGAGAGTAATATAAAATATTATACTGTATTAAATTTTATTCATATCATTTTATTTTATATTTTTTCTAATTATTATGTCAAAGTTTTTACTTAAATAAGAAACTTTTTTTTATGATGATGAAGACTTATTACATTTATTTGATAATGAAAATGTGAAAAGATATAATTTGATGAATCATCTTTATTATGAAAAATATAATTTGAATAGCTTAGTAATATATAGATCAAAGAAATACAAAATTATTATAAGAGAAAAACATCATATCATTCGCTGAATTTTTATTAAGTCACATTGGTTCTCATTGACTTCTCTTGACTGTTAGCAACTTCTGACAATTTTCGATATGTACATATTGATCTTTTTCATGTAGATAAGAAATAATCTTTTTAAAATATTGGTAACACTTGGTATTTATACAGAGATGATTGAGAATAAGAAACAGAAAAACGTTTTCGATCAACTATAAAAAAAATATTTATAACGTATATTTTCTTCCTTTTACTGTATACTACAAAAATATATATATGTTGAAGTGATAGTCAAAGAGCATGTCAGCAGCAAATTATAATCATTATGATATCGATGATATTAATCTTGAAATATTCACACTTCTATGAACTTAAAACTGTTGTCCATATCACCAAAGCAAGCACAATAGCAATATCATACTATATGAATGAAGTTTTCTTGATTAGTATGTTCAAACGTTATTCCATTTATTTGTACAATTCCGTTAGACATTGTTTGATTCCTGTATCATTCAAAACCTTAAACGTTAGCAAAATCAAAGTTTTCCTATTTTGAGTGATTATGATGTTAACATTTTATTCATGAATTGAAAAGGATATAAGACAGCAGAAATTTTTTTATATAACATCGAACGCTGACCAGCTGACAATCACAATCAAAAATATCCAGTGGTTACTAATATTTGCCGACTTTATTAGTACGAATAATTAGCTCTCGTTCAACTCGGCATGATGTTTTTTTCCTCGCCTCATTTTTTGACTAAACGCTTCAATGCTGTTACAACAAAAAGGTCAACTCACACCACAGGCAGGAAATGAAATAGAACCCCCTACATTGGTGTACATACTTAGCTTTTTTCTGTCCATACTACATCTGTTTCTCGTTTGCATACGAACGATGCATCATCAAAACTATAGCTGAGAATATATAGTTTGTCATATTACCGTTCCGGTCTAAATATATATATATATTTATGTTGAGATAATTTTTTGTCCAAAATTGATGTCGTATTAGCAAAATGTTGTTTAATATGATGATAGAGAAACAAAAATCGAACAACAAAAGATTTCACACATATGAGTGAAGAACAAGTGCCCTTGATATCATCAAAATCAACTTGTAATAAATAAAAAGAAGGAAGCAGTAAAATTGATAATTATCTGTTAGCAAGAATCTGTTATCAATGCTACTCGAAGACGAAAACAAAAAAAGAAAAATATATTTTTATATATCTATACAATATACACGTGCATTCACTCCCGCATCGAATAGAATTATACTTCAATCAAATCGAATGAAATTGCTAATTTTCTTTAACTAGTCTTAACAAAACAAACAACGATTGTGCCGACAGTAAAAAAAACAACAAGTTCCTAAAAAGAGCCGCTGTATGTATATTTTTTTAAAACGCCACAGGAAAGCTGACTCTAAGAACGATATTGTATCCATTAACCAAACAAAAATATATACATATCTATATGCAACAGCTTTTTTAAAGTGTCCAGAATATAGAGATATTTTATCATCTGGTTCACTAATTTTAGCCATTTTGTTCAAGTTAAATAAAAATAAATGTTGTACAACAAAACAAAAACGACAGTTTGATCGTTACGGCCGATTGATTGACGAATATATGTATTAATCATTCAATTTTCAAACCTTACATATATTTTTTTCATAGATATATGTTAACCAAAATTTTTTTGCCAGTTTTATTTTTTTTGAGTGTGAAAAATCATCAACTTAATATTCATTGTAGCGCATTGTCGAGAAACAAAACTTGAGTATAACGGAAATTATAAAGGTGTTTATATATTGCGCGAATAGTCTATCAATTTGACAATTGCCACCTTAACATTGATTTTCGACGTTCATGTATCATCTTCTATCCAATCAAGAGAAGAGAAAAATCAAATGTTAATAACCAATGAATGATTTTTATTTGTTTTCGCTTCCTCCTCTTTCGGTTATGATATCGTTAGTCACTCAGCTTATAATTCAATTTATTTTCGCATCAACGCACTTTCTATTTGACAGTCAACGATACTAATCAGTGCAAGTGCCAGGTGAGTCCATGAAGAGGAATAAATATGTTTTGTTTTTGCTCGACTACTTCATTCCAATCAGTAAACCCTTCAACATAGTTACTACATTTAAAAATTCGATTCGATTAAGATTGAACTCGTAGTTTTCTATCGACTGTCCGTAAGAGAGAGAAAAAACCCTATTGTTCAATCATCAATATATGATCTTAAAGAAACATTGTATATAGCTGTCTTTGAAATATATTTTATTGTTTTGATTTTACTTTTTATATGCTATATATTTTCTCACTAATTTAATGAATGTTATTCTTTTTTGTTTTGAACTATTTGAAAAGCTGTAGATAGACGCGTTAATTCTTCAGCACCTTTTTTTTTCTTATTTGTCGGACTTAATTAATTTGAGAAGTTATTTTGCACATGAGTTATATGTTTTATCTTAAGATGTCTACGTAGATGTTTTTATTATTTTTTCTTTGTCAATCAAGATATGCGGATTGCTCACCTATTCGTTGCGAATATATATATAGGTGTGCGCATAATCTAGTGCGAGTGATGCACGAGCACCGTATAACTTCAAATAACTGCGTAACAGAAAAAGTTATTAACACTTGCGATTACGTCTCTTGAGAGAGAGAGAGGGAGAAATGAAGAAAAAAGAGCGTAGACGATATTACCACCTGATAATAAAACGTCATTTTTATATGATGCTTCATCGATAATGACAGTAAATTTTCACTTTGATTACGTCGTTCTATGTATAAAAAATAGTTTCTGCTAGGATAATTATATCCGATGCCGCCCAATTAATCTTCTTTTCGTCGATGTGGTACATACATTTATTATTTTGCAATGAATAATCGAATTGTTGTTTTAGTCAATTGAACATGTTTTTTTTTTCTTTGCGGTATATAAAAAATATTTTTTCTTCTAGATAAAAAAAATAATGAATCCACTTGCTTCAATTCTGTATTCATCATCACCAGTTAATACAAAAAAATGTAAAAATCTATCATTCCAATCATCTGTAAAACCTCTATCAAAAAAAACATCTCAATGTCAAATTGGTATGCTATTTCGTTCATCAACACCGAAAACTTCTTTACAAACTGGAATAAAACCAACGATAACAGGTAGATATTAAAATTTTCATTGTATATCTAATTGATTATGAAATAATTCTTTTTGATTGTCAATCATTCATTCGTTTGAATACATTAACTTGGATGAGTCTACCGTCCAAACAGAAAAGTCACAGTTTTATGTTAAATGAAAATCAATAGAGTTGAAAAGAGCGACCGGATATCCTATATTGAGAGTGTACAAGTGCTAAAAAGAACAGCATCACTTCACTTTTCTTCTATCAAGTAAAGCTTGTGATCAATAAACAACAATTGTCATTTTATAAATACAAAAAAAAAAGAAAACTGCGAGATGCATTTTCAATCTTCTATTCACGAAGAAGTTATTTCACACTAAAGCGTAGAATTGAAAATTTACCTTAACTTTTAGAGCTATACGATCAACAAGGATAATATCGATTGTATAAGTATTTTCTTGTCGGATTGTTTTTCTTTGAACTTGTTAGATACTAATCCGCCCTTCTCTCATTTACACTACTTGAACTTGAGTTTCAACTTTAGTGTTCAACATGACAAAAATTAATTTCTTTTTTCGTTTTGTCTCGCTGTTTCTCTTCTATACATCAACTATCGCTTGAAAAAGACAAACGAAAACATGTGTCGAAGACAAGAATGCTCTTGAATCACTTGTTGACTCGGGTATTTAGTTTAGATATCAAATGATACCGATGCCGACATTTTTTTGTCAATTGAATTTTTAATCTTAAATTGTTTCTTTAGCTCATCCAACGACATTGTCATTTTCTTCACCATCAAAATCATTCTCAATGAATTCTCCTCAAAGTCCACGTTGTTCAACACCACTATTTGCTAAACAACGACGTACACGTCCGTTTATCGCATGTGAACTCTGTCGACAACGTGCATTTCAATCAATAAATTCCGATGAAAATAAAACGAAAGATAATGAAACCGAAAAGAAAAATTCTAAACAACAACATCATCATTCTACAACAATACAATATTATCAATATCAAACAAATACTAGTAGTATCCGTCGACGTCGTCGAAGACAACGTTCATCAATGGATCAACTTCTTGTATGGATCGTATAAAAAAAAAGGATTTCGTTGTTTTTTCTTCTTCAATGAACAGTAACTATAATAACTCATGTTGAATTTTTCCGTTTGCATTCATGTATATACATCCTTAGATTAGATTTGTTTTTTTTTGTGCTATGTATTTGTTTACTTTATAAAATATTAATATAATACCAGAATAAATTGTCATATTGACGAAAAAATATGATTTCGATATTGTTATTATACACTAAATATAATATTTGTCATGGTTTACAAAACAGCAGCTGTTAGAATGTATTTACGAGTTACTGGAACTAAAAATTTCATGATTACGCGGCTACGCTCATTGTTATATTAGTCGATACATCATTCTCATATTCTCTCTCGTATATAAATGATTAGTTGCTAATCGTTTTTAATTGATGAACATTTCTCTTGATGAGTAGAATGACGAAATATTGTTAATTATGAGTGGAAATTGATTATTTATCGAAAGATTTTCATACTGGAACGATCGTATAAAAACAATGTCGTAGGAAAATATTGTTCAGTCAAATAAAAAATGAATTTACCACCATGGTCTTGTCATTTATCTCCATATTATCCAGCAAATTATTACTCATATCCATATATTCCACCATCATCATACAATGTTAATGGAACATTAAATTCATCGATTCAAACAAGTTTAAATTCATCATCAGGATATGAAAGTGCATGTAATGAAACAAGTTTAATTGATCCAGCTCTTACAAGTCCATCAGCTATTATTAAGGTAAGTTGTAATAACAAATACATTTACTGATATAAATAATATTTTTCTATTTAGGAATCAAATTATAATGTAAATGTTAATAACAAGAGACCATTAGATGATAGTGAAAATGATCTTGATGAAGAAAATTATTATGGTCGTAAAAAACGTCGTGTACTTTCAAGACCACAACGTCAAGAAGCAAATCGTCGTGAACGTCAACGAATGGAAATTATTAATGATGCTTATGAACAATTACGAGATGTACTTCCATTTAAAAAAGGTCGAAAACGTCAAAAAATGTCTCGCATGGATACAGTTGATGGTGCTATTCGATATATTCATTCACTTCTCGAAATACTTCATGGACCAAATTATGATCCAAATTGGGCTTTATCATAATTCATTGTTGTTTGTTTTTTTAGTATTTATTCTGTAATAAAAATTCTTAAAACTAACAATTTTGTTTTGTATGATACGTTTTTCATCGCAGTTTGATATATTATGAGCCTTTAAACACTCATTTAGAGAATGTACTTTGAAGTCATAGTAATCAAAAAAAGATTTTTCTCAATGAAAATAGCATTGACGGTAAAAATATTGCAGAGCATCATATTATTTTTGTATAACGTGTTATTGATGAATTACTTTAGCTAGTACAAATAAACAAATTCCATTTGAATCATTGAGAAAAACCTACTATTCTAAGTAGTTTTTTCCATGATTCATAATTAACTTTTGACATTATTCGTTTACGATTCGAAGTGGAACACGGTGAGTTAATGTTTCAGGATAGAATTATGTAGGCTTCAATATGTGAATTATGAAAGTTTTCAAAGCTAAAATGAAACTTATCGGCATGATTCACATGTATATCCTACTCAATATTCAACTGATAATTATAAGAAGAGGATACGAATAGCGTGTATCGTTAAGATCTTGTGATACTTCATCAATAGTCTATACATTGAAGATTGTTAGTTTTCATATTTCGTCAAAAAAATACTAGCCACACCGAATGAATAGGAAGATTTGGACAAGAAAAAAAATTGAGTAGCAAATACATGACTAATAAGTTTTGATATATTCAGTTGTAATGGGCCTAGCTTCACATGAAACTATTATTCAAGATAATTACATTTAATGATTGTGAGCTTGTCTTTTGACATTAGCTTATAGTTATAATATAACATGCAATATTGCCGAATAAATTATTTTGGAAAGATTCAAAAATCTATTGAACGAATTAACTGGATCGACATACTAATAAAGGTTTATATTAAAATACTTTTGTCGAAAAATATAAATGTAATAAATAAATTGTGTTTAGCTGACGATAGATGTCGCTATACCACATTGATGACTAAAATTAAAGAATATAACTTCTAGTAAGAAAATTACTAAAATATATTTTAAATGATAATAAAAAAGAATTTAGAATTTTTAATTTTATCTTAATATAAATGTTTACTTTCTATCAACAAACACATCTTTATCCAATTATATCTTAAGAAAACGATTCTTTGTTTTTTTTCTTTCTCTCTTTCTCGTCCTTTTTATATAATGCACTTGATTTGTATTCTACATCGTAGACATTTTGAGTAATGATCTTCGAAAATTTTCTTCATCAACCTTGCTACATCATCGATGAAATCCAATCCTACATGGAAAACAAACATTTCCGAAACAATTTTCTCGATTTTACATGACAGTATGCAGATATTGATTATTGTATATTATCGTTAATTACATTATTTTATTATTTATTAGGTTTATTTACAATAACAAAAATATATTAGTGTAAACAAATGATTCATTGAAATATATCACGAATATATATTAAATACGAACGAAACAAATCACACTTAGGTAATTACTATGAATATTTATTACTAACCTTGATAGTTGATAAATGAATAGAAAATATATACCTTTTTTTTCATAATGTGTCAAGTAATAATGTATTGCTTGACAAATCAAAAATGCACCTAGAAATAGATTTTGTGGGATATGTAATAAGCATATTAATTATCTACACAAGTAAATGATGAAAAAGACTAGATTTAGTTATAAAAACACTTTCAGTATGAATTTGACAGGTTTCGCTCATATAAAATCATTGTAAAATATGAACAAATCTTTTGATGTATTGTTTTTTTAGAATTCAGATGAAACTACTTGAATTTCTTGTGTGAATCGGGCATTATAATGCTCAAATGATAATACTATTTGATGGAAATGGCTGCTTGTATTAAGTAAGAATTTTGTTATTCAATAATATTCGTTTAATTATTTTTTCTTGTCAATTCTTTATAGAAAATGATTCAAGTCACACAAAAAGAATGAATTTTATTCAATCAAAAACGATAACATCTCAAGGTATTTTAAAAGAAAAAAAATTTTTCTTAAAAATAATTTTAATTTCAATGACAATTTATTTGGATGAGTACAAAATTTATATTACAAAGAGTATCGAGAACGAGAGTATTTTACTGATTTTATCTATTTGTAGATTTAGACGACAGAGGCAGGCATAGGAAGAGCCCGTCTTTCGGTAGTTGTCATGCATCTCGTGAACGAGTTAGAGAAACATATACTAGCATTATGATTACGGTTATATTGATCGACAGAACACAAGTGTACTTCGCGTTTGTATTTCGACTTTTCAAAAAACAAAAACATTTCTGTTCGTGTTATGTAACGAGAGGACTATATATATATATATAAATGTATTTGTAAAAAAAATGATATTAAATGTTCATATTTAATTGAATTAGAATGAGAAAAACAAACACGTTGAGATTCCATTTTAGATCATCAATCGCTAAAATAAAAATAATTTATTTTCTTGATTAATAAGATGTCAACGGATATTTTACCAGCAACCGATGTGGTTGCTAATAATGATTTAAATCCTACAATAACACCAACAGCAGCACCAACATCTATAACGAATAATGATCTAACAGAAGCATCAACATCAAATGGTCTTTTACATTCAAATGGAACAAATATAAATAGCGTTACATCATCCGAACCACTAACGGAAGGACAAGTTGAATCGACAAAGAATAATACATATAATGATAATGGGCAATCAACATCTAATAAAAATGATTTAGAACCTGAGGCTCTTCGAAAAGTTTTTATTGGAGGTTTATCCTATAAAACAGATGATCAAACTTTTCGTGATTATTTTTCGAAATATGGAGAAATAGATGTAAGAAAATATTTTAGAAATCAGTTATACAAATTTTTCTATATTAATTTAGGATTGTGTTATAATGCGTGATCGTGATAACCGTTCTCGAGGTAAAATTAAATGAAATGAAATATGTTTCTGTATGACTATATTTTATTATATTAGGTTTTGGTTTTGTTACTTATTTATCATCATCTATGGTTGATGCATTAATGGCTGCTCGTCCACATGTACTTGATTCACGTGAAATCGAACCAAAACGTGCTATACCTAGAGAAGAAAGTGGTAAACCAGAATCAGCATTAAGTGCAAAAAAATTGTTTGTTGGAGGAATTCGTGAAGGCACTATCAATGAAGATGATCTAAAAGAATATTTTTCGAAAGTAAGTTAATTTAAAAGAAATTTTCAAATGATTATTTATTTTCTTTTTAAAGTATGGTAATATTGTTCAGACTGTTATTATGAAAACAAATGAAGGAAAATTTCGTGGTTTTGGATTTGTTGAATTTGATGAGTAAGATATTTGAAATGTTTAATGTGAATATATATATATTTATGTTGTATTTTTAGTTATGATCCGGTAGATAAAATAGTACTTGAAAAACATCATGTTGTTAAAGGAAATCCAGTTAATGTTGAAAAAGCTTTACCGAAAGATCAGACCAACCGTGGTCGAATGGCACAACAACATTATGGTGGTGGAGGAGCAGGTGGTGGTGGCGGCGGTATGCGTGGACCACCATCAAGAATGAGCGGCGGTGGTGGTGGCGGTGGCAGCGGCGGATGGGGACCTATGGGTGGTGGACCAAATTTTGGCGGTGGCGGTGGAGGAAATGGTGGTTATCGATCAGGTGGTGGTGGCGGTGGCGGTTATGGAGGTGGTGGAGATTATAATCGACCCACACCATATGGTGGCGGTGGTGGTTATGGTGGTGATATGCGAGGAGGTGGCGGCGGCGGTGGCGGCGGTGGTATGATGGGTTTTGGAGGATCAGCACCTATGGGTGGTGATAACTACGGAATAGGTGGTTCAGGTCAAGGTGGTTACGATGATGGTAAATATTTTTTTAAGATATTAGATGTTACTTAATCTATTCATTTTTAGGTTTTGGCGCTTTTGGCCAACCATCCGGTTTTGGTTTTGGTCAAAATTATGGTTCATCTTCGGGCGGTGGTCCTATGCGACGTGGAGGTGGTGGTGGCCGCGGAGGAGGTGCACCTTACGGTCGAGGTGGTGGTGGTGGTCGTGGTGGATTTCGTGGTCGCAATCAACAATAAAAACAAACCATTCAATATTTGTGTCCACACTTTTTTTTGTTCTTTATATGTTTGTGTTTATGTGTGTGTGTATATATATCTATATATAGCGAACAACAAATAGAGAATGGATTTGTTTCCTTCATTTTTTTTTATATAAATATCTATAAAACTGTTCGCAATGAAATATCTTTCTTTTTTTTTCGAAAAAGCACAAATTTCCTCTGTTGTCTATGTTCGCTGTTGTTATCCATATCAGTGTCATTTTCTTGCTGAACTAAATAAACGCGTAATACGTGTGATGCATTCAATCGTTATTTTGAGTTTTTTTTTTCTTTTTGAAACATTTATCTGATTCCCAAATGCTAGTTTAATGACAATGAAGAAACAATGAAAGTAAAGAGTAAATAAGAATACACACAAAGACAACAGCGCCGACTCTGTACACATGTATATCACTGTTGTGGACCTCGCGCTGTTCATCGTCGAGTTTTAGAAGAAAAGACAAGTTCCACACACAAATATGTAAAAAGAGAAATGAATTGATAAAGAAAGAACAACAAGAAGAAACATGACAGTAAATAAAAATCAAAGAGAGAAAAAATTAGCCCACAAATAATAGATAAACGATGATAAGAAAAAGATTTGTACACATCAACTGATTCATGTTCTATGAATTGAAACGGCTGTTGTTGTTGTTCAAATTGTTTATATAGACCCGACGATAAGATGACAGTTGAACAGCATTCATTGTGGTGATATGAGTCGTTCTTGTTATGAAACTAAATATAAAATAACCTAATTAATAAAGAAATTAGTTTTTGTCTATTTTAAATACCTTTTATTGTGTTGAATAAGAATTCATTTTTGAATTTGTTCTAGATTCATTGTCGGTTGCCATACCAGATCTTTTTTTGTTAATTATTTAAGTTTCATTCATGTCTTCTGTTCACCTATTCTATTCTATACATTTATCTACTTTACCCTGAACTACATAACGAACGACTGACCAGCTTGTCGGCGTTATTCTCTGTCTTTGTTTTTCTCTCCTTTTTTAATTACTCAAAAAAAAAGAAAAAGAAGAACAAGAACAAGATAGAAGCGCAATACTATATTATATTCTCTTTTTCTTTTTGCGTTCTCTCGTTCACTTGTACCGTAGTTTCTACGTATTTGCATTGATGTCTGGACAATGTATACGCAAGAGAATGACCGAGCAATAGTTGTGTTAGTTAGTCGGCGAAGAATTATCAAATATAACCATCGAAAGAAAAAGAAAAAAACTCCAATGTGCATAGGAAATAACTACTGTGGTTGATGAGTTGTCGATATGTGCATGAACGTATGTGAGTACGAGTGTACAGACGTCTAGACAGACCGCTCTTCTAACCTATTTAGTAGTCGCCGTCGTCGCCGTTGTGTGAGAGAAAGAGAGAGAGAGCAAGAGAGCGAAAGGGTTACTAATGAATATATGTACTGAAGAATGTGTGAAAGGAATGAAAATATAACAAAAACGAATAAGATAAACTTTTATTACTAACAATTGGATATACGTGCAGCTATTGTTATTCTATTGAGACAAAGTTAAAATGTGCACATAAAATAATTCTTTCACATATGTATAAAATATGACACAAGTGTCTGGGTGCCAGACAATAACACTATGTATATATCGAATATTTAATGGAGATTTTCAATTAATTATTCCTATTGTATGTCAATATATAATGTATAATTGAATGGAATTAAGTACAAGCTTACTATAGTTCTTTATTTAAAACTGTATCTATTCAGTTTGCTTCAATCATGCACAATTTATTTAGAATGAATAATAGATAAGAATTCAACTTTACTTACATACTGTTCTTTGTTTAATGCGTATTGAAGCGAGAAATTTGATTTTTAATATCGTAAAAATAAAGATGATCTAATGAAAGCAACTAAATTCAAATAATCGCTTGTAATAATGTATTTATAGTTGAGTCAAGAACAAGAATGTTCGAGATTATGGTTTGCTCAGTTCCAATTTCCGGCCAAGGAAAAAAATTATTAGAGTTCATTTTCATTAAATTTTGGCCCCTTAACTGTAGAATCAAGAGATAATCCACAAAGAAGATGAATTGGCTCTAATTGAACATGAGATGGGAATGAATATATATAGATATTTACATTTTTTTTCGAGAAACTCAAGCGCTCAATATAAGGACGGAGTCTGCAGTTTTCAAAATCAGTCGAAACTGTTATACCATCAAAATATAATAATTCATAACCAGAGATGTATGTAAAATGAAAAATGATTTCTGTCGTCAAAGCTATAGTCCACTAGCACAAAGAAGATGAAAACTAATTCTGTCTCTCTTCGTAGAAAATATAAAAAGCTATTTTCCCTTTTTTTACACTATAATGAGTGATGCTTTAAAAAACGGAATCAAACGCCATTTTATGTTTGCTTGTTGTTTGTCGATGAGTCTAACAGAAAGAAGCATTTTCACATCAAGTTACAACAAGTATGAAAATAAACTTCTAAAAGAAATCTACTGAGTCATTTTTTGATCAGCGGTTTATGTTATGAAATGTACACTTATCAACATTCTTCATTTTTAAATACTACGAGATTATCAAAACAACCATTATTTTTTGTACTAAAAAACCATTTTTGGTAAGTATGATTTGCTGTTTTCTCAAATTTCATAAATGTAATGATCGCAAAGTCCAATGTGAGATAAACATCTTCGATAAAATATGACTTGTATTGAGTTGGACCATATACGATTAACTTCATTCTTTTCTACACTTTCTTTATTGATTACTGAAGATATTGTTGAACACAACTGTACTTCAATCAATTCATTAGTTATCATAAACGAAGGAACCTTTCTCTCACTTAAAAATATTTGTATTTTAGATCATTTCACATTATGTTTGCTGAATTTTTCGGTGACGCCCAACATGTTTCTCAATCCTCTGATTTCACTTCAGAGCCAACACGAATGCTTCCACCTATCCAAGGCTATGAGAACGAGCCCCTTGTTTCTCTGGAAGAAGCTATTCAACCTCTGATTTCAATTGTTCCTGAAGTTGAACGCATGGCTTGGACAGTAAAACAAACTCATTTCCATGGAGAACATGGTTTAACTGATGCCGAAGCAGCTTCCATCTTACTCTATACACTAGAATGGACCCCCAGAGATAAATCATTTTATATTATTCTTAATAATACTTTACAAGCGGCTGATCGACAGCTACTGAAGCCATGGTTCCTTTATCTTCGCCTCATTATGACATCTTTAGCCAAACTTCCATCGGACTCTAATCGTCTTACGGTGTATCGTGGAGTCAAACTTGATTTAAGTGCACAATATCCAAAAGGAAGTATAGTCACTTGGTGGGGCTTTTCATCTTGCACAGCATCTGTGGGTATTTTAGGCAACGAACAATTTGTAGGTCAAAATGGAACAAGGACATTATTTACCATTGACTGCTCTTCTGCCAAAAATATTAAACAATATTCAGTTTTTCCAGAAGAAAAAGAAGTACTACTTCCTGCAGCTCGACAATTTCAAGTGATAGATTCTCTTAATCCAGGCAACGGCCTTCACATTATACAACTCAGAGAAATCCAACCCAAATTTCCACTCATCAATCCTGTACACCAACCGTTTAAGCCACCTAAATGTAACGATTCCAACCTACAGAAATACATTGATGCAATGTATCTCGATCAAGTAATCATTAAATTCCAACACATTTTTCCTCAACAATCTTGTCACTCTAAACTAAACTTCTACCAAACTTAAGCCACAGCATAGTAATTTCTACACTTTTCACACAGACACTCACCATACTCAACCTGCAGAACAAACAAATCGCTGATGAAGGAGCGCAAGATCTTGCTAATGCTCTACAAATGAACAAAGTAACAATAATACTTGTCTTTCATACTCTTCACTTCATCATTCACACACTTTTCATACAGACTCTCACCACACTCCACCTGCAGAACAATGCTATCGGTGTTAGAGGAGCACAGGATCTTGCCAATGCTCTACAAACTAATAAAGTAACACCAATATTTGTTCTTTTTCCTCTCCGCTTCCCTTCAACTTTCATACACTTTTCATATAGACACTCACCATACTCGACATCGGATACAATAAAATCGGCGCTATGGGTGCACAAGATCTTGTCAATGCTCTACAAATGAATAAAGTAACAACTACACTTTTTCTTGTTCCTCTTCACTTCACTTAACTTCAACATTCACGCACTTTTAACACAGACTCTCACCACATTCAACCTGCAGAACAATAAAATAGGTGATGAGGGAGCTCAAGATCTTGCGAATGCTCTACGAATCAACAAAGTAACAATAATACTTGTTCTTCTTCTTTACTTTACTTCATAATTCGCACACTTTTCACATAGACTCTTACCACACTCAGTCTGCAGAACAATCAAATCGGTGTTAAAGGAGCGCTAGATCTTGCCAATGCTCTAGAAATGAACAAAGTATAAACAATACTTGTTCTTCTTACTCTTTACTTCACTTCATCACTCGCACACTTTTCAAACAGACACTCACAACACTCGACCTTTACAACAATGAGATCGGTGATGAAGGAGCAAAATATCTTGCCAATGCTTTACAAATCAATAATGTAATAACGATACTTGTTCTTCATCTTATTCACTTCACCTCATCATTCTCACACTTTTCGCAGATACTCACCACACTGAACCTTTTTAACAATGAAATCGGTGCTACAGGAGCGCAATATCTTGCCAATGCTCTACAAATCAATAAAGTAACAATAATACTTGTCTTTCTTACTCTTCACTGTACTTCAACATTCACGCACTTTCCGCATAGACTCTCACCACACTCAATTTGCAGAACAATGAAATCGGTGCTAAAGGGGCACAGGATCTTGCCAATGCTCTACAAATTAACAGAGTAACAGCAATACCTATTCTTGTTTCTATTCAATACACTTGACTTCAATATTCACGCACTTTTCACACAGACACTCACCACACTCAGCCTGCAGAACAATCAAATCGATGCTAAGGGAGCACAAGATCTTGCTAATGCTCTACAAATGAACAAAGTAAGAACGATTCTTATTCTTCTTTCTTGTTATTTCACTCTAACATTCATACACTTTTCACACAGACACTCACCACACTCGATCTCGGACTGAATAGAATCGGTGCTAAAGGAGCACAAGATCTTGCCAATGCTTTACAAATCAATAAAGTAACACCAATACTTATTCTTCTTCTTCATTCCCCTTCAACATTCACGCACTTTTCACACAGACACTCACCACACTCAGCCTGCAGAACAATCAAATCGATGCTAAAGGAGCACAAGATCTTGCCAATACTCTAGAAATGAACAAAGTATGAACAGTACTTATTCTTCTTCCTCTTCACTTCACTTCATCATTCACACACTTTTCACACAGAGACTCACTATACTCGACCTCGGACTCAATAAAATCGGTGCTAAAGGTGCGCAATATCTTGCTAATGCTCTACAAATCAATAAAGTAACAATAATACTTGTTTTTCTTATTCTTCACTTCACTTCATCATTCAAATACTATTAACACAGACACTTGCCACACTCGACCTTTATAATAATGAAATCGGTGATGAAGGAGCACAAGATCTTGCCAATGCTCTACAAATGAACAAAGTAACAATGATACTTGTTTTTCTTACTCTTCACTTCACTTCATCATTCACACAGACACTCACTACACTCAACCTCGGAGGCAATGAAATCGGTGTTGATGCGAAGAAACAACTTTGTAAAATGGGCGAAAAAAATACAATGCTGAAAATAGAGTACTTGGATTAACCAATACTGAAAACAGCAACAAGGAGGAGGACTGTTTCGCCTTTTTAATGTTCATAAGATTTCATATCGGCTCAACAAATATATTGGATTTTTTAGAACAAGAAAAGGTTTTGTCTTTTTTTCGTAACTAGTAGAGGATACAGAAATGTGAGGATCGTTAAATATGTGACAAGTAAAGCTTGGTCGATCGCGTCATTTTTGTTGCAATGTTACTTGAATCGATGTTTGGTGGATGTGTAATAGTGGATCCTCAACGGAAATAAATAGGAAAAAAAAGGAATTTATGAAATATTTCACATGTTTATATTGTAAAATTTGAGCAGAAAAGGTATTTCTGCATTGACAGACTGCTAGTGATCATACGTGTATGAAGAAATATCTACTTCTAATTGCACCAAAAACCATCTAAGATAGTTGTCGTGGTTTGGTTTTATTTTAAAGCGCTAAGTAGATATTAGTGAGACAACAGCGAATTTTGAAGCATGCGTGCTTGTAATATATTAGTGCAAGTTATTAGCGTATCAGTGACGATTTATTCGAAATAAAGGATTGTCGTGGCGTATTTCGTATATAGAAGGAAAGATTAGCTCTTAGAAGTTCTTAAGCTTTGGGTGTCTAGATACTGATTCTTTCGAACGGATCTAATTTTCACGTACGTGAAGTTGTCTTTATTTTTGTTACTGAGAACGATATTTTAGTACTACAATATTTTGGGAAGCATATGGTCTCTTATGTTAAGCTTTCTGGAATTGCTGATGACTACCGGATTTATCGGTAAATAGACTTTATATGTAAACTTTTGATTTAAGTTTTGTTTTTGGAAATGTATTATTCCAAGTATAAGCTTAATAGATTAACTAAAACTTTTCATGCATGCATATATGCCATAAGCACGAGAAAGTATGAAGTTTTCTTCGTTGAAGAAAGACTGACTTAAATCTGAGAAAAGAAGCTAAATAACTCGAAACGATTGGTATACCATCTTCATAAGAATTATTGCTCAAATTCAGTAATGTAAAGGTATGGTTTCAATTGATCTTTACACTATGCAAGTTTTAGTACTATATCAACAGTCGACACAAAGAGTCGATCGAAAGATTTCGAATTCATTTTTCTCAACTATGCTTCAACTCTGTTGACCAATCGTTTTTCATTCATAGCTATTCAACTTCCACTATACACCTTAGCAGCTAATATTAATCAGAGATCCTTGATCGATCGATACATCCCAGCGCAAGTTATCTCTTCTGTTCATTGATGCATGTGAACAATTTTGGTAAACATTTTTCAATAGATATATCGTTGATCCTTTCGTTGTTTCAATGTATGGTATCGAAATGTCTTTGTTGTATAATACCGATTGTAGACCAATATTTTGGATGCAACTTTTTCTTTGAATTTAAACTTCATCTCTAGTGAAGTGTGTTCTTTCTCGAAAGAATATAACCCATAAAAAGTATTTACCGCTGGACGCTAGTGAACCTTTTTATTCTCATGAATTACTCAAAACTTTTTTTTCTATTCTATCTTTTAAATTTGAGAAGAATGTTATGATCATATACTATATTCTGTTGATAGTATGAAATACGTAATATGACATTTTAGTGCATATTTAATCCTATAAGAAAGTTACAACGCTGATATATCATTTATTAATAAAGATAATTGAACAATGTCTCTATATTCTTCATTTCAATACAAAAAGACGCGACATTTGCCTAAAGCTGAAGCATCGCACTAATTTATTCAATAATCATTATATCTTTCAATTTTATTTCTCATAAAACTACAATATTAATGCTAAACATCATCTACAAACTTCCTTCATAGATAATCTTCGAAGATAAATAGAAAGTCTAATAAATTTCAATTGTTGAATACTAAGGATTGATTATAATCATATAAAATATATGAGTAAATGGAATCTAGTCATATTTCTATTATGAAATGGAATGTATGAATGTAAATATGTACAAAAAAATATACAAAAGTTCAATTTTTCTTTTTTTCTTCTGAAATTGGTTGAGCTTCTATTTGACGATAATTATATATAATCATACATAAAATGATCACATTAACAAAACCAAATACAATTGATGCTAACCATATTTGAACAAACGTATTTTTAGCTTGAAATTCTAATTTATATGCTTCATAAAGCCACCAACCTTGTGCAGTTAACCAAGCAACAAGTAATAGACATAATGTTTTCCATTTTAAATGAATATTTGGAAGAAGTATAGGTATAAATATTAAATACCACAGAAAATATTGTGATGTTGTTACTTTATTAAACGTAACAAATGAAAATGTTAATGCAAATAAACAAAGTTCAAGTTTATCATATAAACGATAGGAAAATATTAATGTATTAAATAATTGTGGTATAAATGTAATAAATGAAAGAAGATGATGTTTTGGTTTGAGATATGTTATATAAAAATATGGAGAAAAATTATGTCGTGCATCACGACGTATTATATGATAGAGATATGTTTCATGTAAATATTCATAACCATAATAATAATAAAAAATTCCATTAAGAATTAATGTTGTTAATATAAAAGAAATAACAAGTTGAAAACGACGATATGTTAATTTTAATGATGAACTATGTTCTATATGAAAATATAATGCAAGTGAATAGATTATTGGATAGATTTTAAAATGTGTCGCTAAAGCAAGAAGTATCTAAACGAAATAAATAAAAAAACGACTGAACATTCTAGAATAAAAATTTACTCCTGTAATCCATGTTCGTTCATTTGTTTGTTTAGCATTATAAAGTGTTGCAAGTACAGTAACAGCTACAATAGATTCATAACTTCCACGTGTAGCAATAACAGCAGACATTGGATTATAAAACCAAAGTAATGCATATTTTCGTTGTTGAATAGGTAATATCCAACCGATTAATAAACCAACAAAAACATCACAAATTGAAAATATTAATTTTCCCCAATTTTCATCAAGAAATAAATTTGGTGTTAATAAATATGCAAGTAATGGTGTATAACGATATGTTGTTCGACGATATGGACTTTCATTTTGTAAAATATGATTTGAAGCATCAGTTACAACACGATAATCAATATCAGTATATAAAGGACCCTCACCAGCTAAATCTTTATCATAAAATTCACCACCAAGTATTAATAAAAGATGTAATACAAGTGAAATTATTGCATGAACAGGCAATGATGCCATTTGAAAATGAAACTATTTTTTATTGCTTTGTTTCGAATTGATGAAAAGTAAGATAAGATACACGCCCTCTACAATATATGATTGGAGCGTATATTGACAGGTGAACGACCGCATGTATACGTGTAAAATTATACACTTGATATTTATATGTATAATATAACAGTACTATGAAAGTTCGTAAAGAGTTCAAATGAAATAAAGCATGTAATGCTCGTAGATGTACCATATACTGACTTATACAATGACATCCATATTTATTTGCTATAAGTTTTACTTTTTCTTTGAAAGGTAAAAATAGATCACTTCACAAATTTTACATGATTTCATAGGGTTTATCAAGCTCTAGAAATTATTTAAGCTATTTTTCGAAGTAGAAAATTCAAAAATACTGATTTATTCCCAATTGCTAGTTTACAATATAATAAGTTGCTCGTTCGTTTCTATCATTCTCAAACTCATACCAACAACATTATCTAATGTCTTTTCATTGCTTTTGTACAAAATAACTTTAGCTCTATATTCCATATGCAACGGGGAAGGTCGACATATGCAAAGCGAACTCTTATTAATTCTAACTGATTGCACTAAAATTATGATTATCTTGACTGATTTTGTCTATACATAATAATTTAATGTAAAAATTACGAAATTCATTATTGTTTTCGTTCAAATAATCTGATCTTGTTCACATCAAATAAAATTTTACGAATCAATAATCTCTAGTGTTTTTGTTTAAAGTTTCGTTGTTGATATACAAACTGATAAAGCACATTGCTGCTAAAAAATAAACACTTGGATGAGTAACATTCTGCCGCAACTGATTTCTATCAACATAAAATAAAGAATTGATTTTAAATGAATTTTTTTCTTTCCAATCAAGATTATGATCTCTATTCTATGACTAGTACGAAGTTTGATGATGAACAGAAAGTTATTCATTCATTTTTTCCTTTGCTTTGATCTATCTTATTTGTCTTCGTTTAGTATGTGAAAATTCTTTAAATATAATTAGCCGACATTCTACACTGGATATACATTAGATAACAACTTCTGTCTTTTTTTTTCTCTCTTCTATTATATGCTTGTTGGACTTATCTGTAAAAACGATCAATGGCATAGAAACATATTAGTGGTGCTTCTGCTTGTTGTCGCCTGTTTCATTTTGTAACTAGAGCTTATCGAACCGTATATTAAATTATATAGTGCATTTGACTTGAAAGATCAATAGAAAGTGATAACAAGATAATGTTCTATGATTAAGATTTTTCTTTTAGATGATTATCAAGTTTTCTTTTGTATAAAGATAGGAAAACCATATTTGTTTAGAATAAAAAAGGGACGTTATGAAAAAAAAAGTAGAGTATCATTCCTAATGGACAAATGATAAATTGATGTATGTTTATATTTCAGTTGACGAGTATTGATTTCTTTACTTAAGTGATTTCTTTTGTGTTTCTTGAAATAAAGCATACGATGAAGTTTTTCTTTTTTCTTCAAGAATCATAATTTATTTGTTTGTTTTTATCCATATGGATTGCTCGTCTTCTTCAACAGATATACGCGCAACGTCTAGAAACAAAAAAATAATGATTGATCGAGACCGAGCGGTGGACGACGTCAAGAATATTATATACGAATTATTATGTATATATGCATGGCAAATCCATGCCTGCCTGCTTACTTATTAGTGGTATAGTGGCACCATTAGAAAGTCATTTTTCACGCCAATATGCACCTTTCTGCTTGATGGATATAAACCTTTTACAATTGATAAGGCGATATTAAGGAAAAACGTTTTTTTATGTCAATATATCTATTAAAACTAATGTCAAGTCAACCATAGACTAAAAAAAGTAATGTGTGTTTAGTTAGATCGCCATAAACCGAAGGTCTGTTCTTTTGATTAGTATAGAAATAATGTCAGAAATGTTTATTTAATTGATTGTTGATTTACAAAAATAGAAAGTTTTTAAAAAGTCTATATTCTTTGTTATAATTTTCTATTGTTAATGATTAGATTCTATGCCCTTTTGTATTCTTATACATAAATATATATATATATATACAAATGTCACAAACTCAAAATTGATTTTTCTTTCATGCTTTACTCTACTCCACTGATATTAGCATCTAATATCCAGGCTAGCAGAGACGACAAGTGTTGAAAGACAAAATGTTTATATATATATATATATATATATATATGTATATACCATTAGAATTTGCAACAACAGACCACCCGATGATAGTGAAAGTGGCGATGCCTGTCATCATCAAGCTCGACGTCTCTCTACTTTTTCTTTTCGACAATCGTGCTATATGTCAAATGATAATTAGAAAAGATGCTTTTTGTATATCCCCACATACGTTCTCTTTCTCAAACTACTACTGTTCCACGTGCTAAATAGATCTATTCATTCTCATTCTGCAGATAATATGCATACGTACGTTCTTATATTTCTGCGAATCATCTATCATCACTCATATAACTGTAACGACATTATATTGATTGAACAATAAGCGCATATATCATCAAAGATTTTATTAGATGATTTAAGAAAAAAGATATTAAAAATATTATCACTCATCCTGAACATACAATTGGCTAATACATCAAATAAAACGAAAGAAAGTTGTACCATTGGGGTTTTATATAAATAAAACAAAAATTATTATAAAGTTCAATGAAGATAAGTATTGCTATTAAACGATTCGTTGCAAACGAGATGAAAGATATACAGTCTGGTATATCACTCAAAAAGTTCTCACATGTTAGAATAGTAACCAGTTATTTTCTTTTCATTACAAATATCCAACCTCTCTTACAGGTTGGATATAACAATAGAAAAAGCACGTTGATCGGATGTAATATATACAAGTTAAATTTTTTTTTACTTCTCCTCATCATCATCATCAGTTATTGTACGTGCTCAACGCACACGACTAGTCAATCAACAAACATTTCCCTGTCTATATATATATATACATATAATGAACAGTATTTATATACGTTCTTGTCGAATGATCAGTTGCAATAACACTAGCAGACGCGTTCATATCAACTCATTATATGAACCAACTGATGATCATGATAATAGGCAAGTTCGAATAGTAGATGAGCAGGTTGGCAAGTAGTAAAAGCTATTCAATGACAGTAAGAAAAGGGCAGAATAGATCGATACTTGTTCGTCTTCAGACTAGTGGTAAATATAAACAATTAACAATGTCGAATGAATAGAAAAGAAGAAAAGACGGCAATAATAAGATCTATTTATTTCCAGTTTGTCTGCTGTATTGGATAATATGATTGCTTCTATAGTCATTATCGAACATGTTAGTCTATCATAAGTCAAACAGGTTATCTACTCCACCCATTGCCTTTTTTTTTTGTTCTTTTGATACACAACAAACGTCAATCAAAATCAATATCAATTTAATTATCATAAACTCACTTTCATATCTATCATTGGACCTGCGCGGAAGCGGCAAGAATTGTGATGTCTGTTTTCTCATCATTAACACTCGTTAAACCGGAACTATGCTTATGTTCAATTTAACGATTGTTCGCTTTTTTGAGAATATATATAATAGATTAAGAGAAAGAGAAGGAAAGGTGATTTATGAGCACATAAGTCGTTTGTTCTCAATAATGATAAATAGACACCAGACAACAATCGTTACCGACATGTCTTAAACCTTTCGTAAATTTACAACTTATCATAGATCGATATAAAAACTCGTATAGCAGGAAGCTCACCGAGACGGAAATTCATTCGTCGTTTATTTTTTTTTCTTCTTCTTGTATATGTCTATCGAGTACGATCTATTATTGTATCGACAATGTTACAAACGAGCACACGACCCAAGTATTCATTTCCTGTTAGATCGTCCATTCAAATACAAAATCGGGGCCGAGAAAGAAATAAGCAAAGATATCTTGTTATTACCTTTCTTTTAATATAAAGAGAAAAAAAAACACAATGTGACAAAGAAAAAAAAAAGTTGTATGTGATAAGGTCAGTTAATGAAATAAATACACAACAGATTGAATAGGGAACACAACAACAACAAAAAGAAAAATACTTGCCAAATACTTGAAAGAAAAAAAGTCTATGTTAAATCGAAAATCCAGCAGTACTGCTACAATCATCAGTGCTGGTTGTAATCGCAGTTGTGGTTGTTGTATGTTGTATGCAACTTTCCATATGTTTATTAAGCAATGACATACGTGAAAACGTTTTTGAACATTTTGTACAACGATATTTTTTTATATCCGAATGTGTTTGCATATGTGCACGTAAATTTGAACGATCAGCAAATGCTCGACAACATATTTCACATTGAAATGGTTTTTCTCCTGTATGTGTACGTACATGTCCTTGTAATAACCATGGACGTGAAAATGCTTTTCCACACATTTTACATTTACATGGTAATGTATGTGTACGTATATGCATTTTAAGTGCACCTAATGAATTGTATGTTTTGTCACAGAATTTACATTGAAATTGTTTTTTTATTTGTGCTATACAATGAAATTGTTTATGTTTAGAAAGTCCACCGAATGTTGAATAAGATTTTGAACAACCATCACATTGATAACGGGAATTTGTTGTTGAATTTGGTGATGGTGATGATGATGAACAAGATGACGATGTTGGTGGTGTAGTAAAAGTATATGGTTTTTTTATTGAAGAATTTTCAGTTGATTGTATTGGATTCGTTTTTGACATTTGCATAGCAAAATATTGATAACTGAGATAGTAAAGATAGGAAAAATCATTTGTAGACATTATACGTGGAAATATCATTGATGTTAATGATGGTTTTGGAAATGCTCGATGTAATTTGGATTCATTTTCAAGTTTTTCTTCAATTGAGTCATCATTCATTGATATATTTTCTTCTTCTCCTTCTTCATCATCTTCTTCTTCTTCAGTTTCGAGTATTGATTCAGATGATAAAAGATTTGATATTAGAAAACTTTTACGATTGTCGGATTCTATTGAAATAGAAAATAATCATGAGTTTTTTTCTTATATAAAAATTAAAAATAAAAGTCTTACCAGTCATTGTTTCGTCTTCAATTATATGTTCTGTTGTACTACTCATCATTATTTCTTATATTCTAATGAAGAATTATCTTCTGTCTTTCTTCTTCTTCTTCTTTTTTTCTCTCTCTCTCTCGCGCTCTCTCTTGTTATATGTTCTCACTTTTTATTCGTGTTCTTCTTCTCTCTTTTCTCGCGTATTCTGATAGGCTCTTCTATCGTTGTCACAATATATAGCGCACTGACTGTGTTTTTTCTGCCACTATCCAACCAGCCAGTGTGCAATTATCGATGATAATAGTGAAGCGTTATTTCCGTTTCTTTCGCTTTTTCTGGTTCTCTCTCTTTCTCGTTATTCCAACATAACTATGTCGTTATTTAGAGAAAAGTGCCAGCTAAAGAAGAAAAGTGCTGTAATTCTTTGCCTAAATTGCTCCATTTGATATATGCGATCATCATATACATATACATATATATATATACTATTATCGAACCAATAGGAAAATGAAAAAAATATATAAAAATTATTATTAGATGCACTTGTCGACAACTTGTCCAATGAAAAGAAAGTAAAATGTATTGAGTTCTTGCAAATGAGAATCTACTCGATAATTATTTTGAATGTAAATCATCGACTAAATTTAGGATTAAGCATTTTCTAATATATAAATAAGGGAGTGATCATATAATCTTCGAAGTACACTTTCCAAACTGATTAGATTTATATAATATAAAGTCGTTTATCTAATGTATCTATTCACGTATCTTAATAATATTCTTCATTCAATATTTGTTTACCAAAGACAAGACATACAAAAGCATACGTAGTACATATATATGTGTATAGAAAAGTCAATCAATCACCTCTCTGCGTATCTGTTCATTATATAAAATTAAAACTCTAAATAAACAATAGGGAAAAGAGAAGAAAATACCGCCTTTCGACACCATTTATGAGCATGTTTCTCTGTTGATATTATTCGAATGAAGGTAACTACACCTAGCAAATAAATGAAGCTTAGTTCAATGAAGAAAGAAGGAAGGAGAAAGTCGTGATCTGCAAATAGATTTACATAAAGAAGAATAATGAATGTAATAAACATGATCTGCTGTTTTAATCTCTCGAGTTATGCTCATTAAATATGATGAAAAAATGTAAGAACTTGTTTTTTTTCTTTAGTCAAAATTCTATACATTTATTCTCAACATGATAGATAGCATAGACACAGTTTGTCTTCTGTCATCATTAGCATCATTTGATGAGTAAGATTTTCTTTTTCTTCATTTAAGGTAGATATGTTCGAGAGTCTCTTTATTGATCGACATAATAAGTGTTAGTTTTCGTGTGCTTCTCAGCATGATACTTCATTTCGTTGTAAATCATGCTGTTGAACCTGATGTTTCTTTTGTTATCATATCGAAACGTAATGTCACATAATTAGTAAGAAAAGCAGCTGTATCGACAGATAGACTTTTATTTTTGTTTTTCTTTTAACAAAAAAAAATAATCGAAGAATACACATATATCTATATTTAACAGTTATAACAAATAGATTAGCATTAATTTTATTTTTCGATACAGTACTACTACAATAAGACTCAGAATTTATTCTTTTTGACTGCTATTTACAGTAATAAAATAGTTTTCACGATGCACGATTGTTCTATACATGGTATACATTACAATAGATGAAAATATCATGTTGATAATTAAAAATTTAAGTATGAGAGGTGAAAACAGCGTACTTTAACTACTTTCAAGTACTTCACACTACTTTGAAAGATTTTTTTGTAGTTAAAGTAATTTTTTATATAATTTTAAAGTACCTCAAAGTACTTTCAAGTAGTATTTAACATATTTTGCTGGTACTTGAAGTTCGCTGTTTTCCCCTTGGGTGAAAAAGACAGTATATGGAGTTAGTAATAAATTAGTTTTACATCACTACACAATTATATGTATCTGATCTGAATATCGTTTTACTCTCCCTTTTTCATTCAATTTATATATTTAACGAGATTTCTACAAAAAATGTGTAACACACATATGAATCCTATTCATTCATGTCTGGCTGAAATATTGTATATATGGTTTTTTATTGTAAAAAAAAACATAGAAATTAGATCTATTATCTATGGAAGTTTATATTACTAATTATTTATTGCATTGTTGATGTATTATTAAATCTTTAAAATACATATATATACAAAACTAGAGTTATATACGAAAATCAACTATAGCAAAACAAATAGATAAATGTTGAATTTGACTAATTATGCATGAGATTCATTCGTACAAATGAAAGATCTTATTTTGATGGTGAAAGTGTAGGTAATGGTTGTCTTTTTAAGACATCCATGATATGTTTTTGTTCATCTGATGGAGTTGTTGATGATGGTGGTGATGATGATGATGGGATAATTTGAATATTCGTATGTAGTTGAGGTGCAGATGAAACATGTGTAATCACTCTGAATAAGAAAATAAATAGAATAGAATAAAATAGTTATTTTGATTTTTTTTTACTTTAAAACATCTTCGGGTTCATATTGAGTTCCTTCATCAATAATGTCTCCTTCTTCACGTAATGGTTCAACTGTTTCAGCTAATGCAAATACAACTGGTTCTTCATCTGTTCCTTGTACAATTGTATAATCAATACCAGGTTCAGCTTCTTTTTCTTTAGCAAGCGTTGCTACAACAACAGATGGATCAACACGTTCAAGTGGTATTTTTGGTACAGCACCCCAGGCAAAATCACGATTAGTACATTTAACACGTGCATAATATGCAAGTACAGCAAGAAGAATTGAACAAATAAAAAGAAGTGGTAAAACAATTGTATGAAAATTTGAATAATCACTATAAGGAATTTTTAACACAGTTAATTTTGATGTTGCATGGTTATTATTCATTGTCTTATTTCGTGAAATTAAATCATTTTTTTTAACATGTTTCGGTGTCCACCATGTAACATTTGGTTCAGTACCATTACGATCAAAACCAAAATAATGACTAACAATTGAACCAAATGATGCTTGACTATTCGTTATTGTTTTAGCAAGCCATGTTGATAGAAAAATAGATATTAATGACATTAATAATATACTACAAATAAGTGTCGTTAAACTAGATCTTGCTTCGATCATTAAATTTTTTGTTTCATCAACAATATCATTTGTATCTAAAAAGAATAAAATTAAAAATTAAAGCTAAAAAAATAATATGATTAATTAAATACCTTCACGAATTGCTTCGGCACCAGAACATCCATCACCATCATCTTGAGACATTTTAAAATCTTCAATAATATAAAATATTAATATGAAACAGTTTAATAGACAAATATTTACTTTTTAAATTTTAATTCAGATGAACAATGTACACAAAAAAAATGTTCTGATATATGTTCATCTTATATCATAATTGGTTCTTTTATTCAATCAATTATTGTGATTCTGTTTCAATATTTAACCATTGTATAATGACATCTTTTTCTCTTCGATCGCTACTATCAATGTAATCGTTAACATATTATTATAATTCGTTAATATATCCTCATACGAATGATTATATATTTAGTTTAGTTTAGTTCAATGCCAAATCAGTCTTCAATATAAATAAATAAAATTTCGAAATTATGTCAAAATCTACATGTCCTTCACGTTTAGCATCGGCAGCTACAACACCAGATTTAGATATAAATCAAATTCAATTACAAAATTTAATGGATTTTCGTAATCAAACAAATCCAAATGATAAACGTTTTAATAATGTAAATTATGTTCGACAAGTTCTACGAAGATTTTTTGGTGTTTATAATAAAAAATCACCAACGATAAATTCAACTGATGATAATTCTACTGATCAATTAAATAATAATAATATTCAAGATAATTTAATATCTCCGATATTAATTCATCCATGTTTACAATTTAATAAACATGCTAAATTTTCTGGTAGATATTTAAAAGAAGAAAAAAATAGTAATAAATGATTTATTTCCTTTCTTTTTTGTTTGCTAGGTGAATTATTACTTGATTGGTTTTTAATACATTTTGAAGGACGTTATGAGAATCTTCCATTAATTAAACAAGTTATTTTACAATGTTGTACTTGTTTAATTGGACTTGATGTATTGATAATGGAACATAATCAAGAGAGTGATTTATTTCAAGTATGTAGACAACTTCCCTTTTTTTTTCTTTATTAGATGTACGGGGTTTTTTTTTTGTTTAATAGAAAAAAAGAATTAGTAGATTTTGTGTTATTAATACACAAGGGAAATAGAATTCATCTGGAGTTAATCTTGTTTCAACTAAATTGTTTATTCTCGTGTTCTATTAAATACTCGTGATCTATCATTTGCCAAGTAAAAAATAAAGAATTAGTAGAGATAATAGTTTTGACTGGAAATAGTTTTAATCGTATATATGTATATGTATATAGTCGGACGATCATGCGTAGGAGAAGGTGTAAAAAGCCTTGTCCTATGACGAAGGTAATCAATTGTATTGTGTATAGATGAATGAGGTACAGGCAAAAAAAGAAAGGTGTGAGAAACCATCATTCGTCTTTATATATATGTATGTAAAAACGATCAATGATATCGACATAATTGGACGCGATGCAATACGTATTTGATGTTTGAATGACATAAATTGTTTGACAAACACATTTTTCTTTTTCCTATAATGTCATTCTTTGAGCAATCGTGTGGATAGGCGCGCGCGCACACACACTCGAACTACCTGTCCGAATTGAATTAAATATCATTATTTATCATCTCACCTCGTTATAGAACGCTATCGCTCTGTTTGTATAATAGTAGATATCATCTTTTTTATTCATTCATTTTCTATACATATTCACAATTATAAACATCGATTTCTTTTTTCTTTTCTTTTTTTTTTTTGGAAAAAGCGTATTAATTCAAGTCACTCTTCATATCGATTAAGTACATTCATAGTTGTTGTTCTGATTATTTTTACCTTGACTGGAATGTAATATATCCTTGATGTTCAATATATCCATTCTCAACTAATATATATATATACATTCAAGTCTGACAAACTTTTGACATTGAAGATATCGATCGATGTCAATGTTCTACATGTATAGGTGTGTATAATGTTGTCTATGCATTTAGTTCAATTAACAAGCTGAACAGTAAAGGTGAGAAAAAAAATCTACATAAGAAATAATCATGAAGGATACGAATAGCAGAAGAAAAAAAAAGTAAATATAATGTTTATTGAATTGTCATGACATTGCGAAGGATTTATTAATCATATTTATTTTACAGGAATTGTACTGATATTTCCTTGAGTGTTCATTATTATTGAGGATTTTAATCGTTTTTTATCCATATAGATTTGTCGAATAATCAGTTGACAAGAACATATCGAAAAGAAACAACCAAGTATAAATAAAAGAATAAGTTTAATAAAAAAAAGACGATGCGTTGAAATATAGGATTTATTCAAATGAAAATAGTCTTCATTTTTTTCTTGAAATATTTTTGTTGAATTTATTGTTTCAAATAATGTTCGACTTGTTACTGAAGAAGAATAGCTTGAAATAAATAGAATGATGATAGATATGATGATCATGATCGTTTTTTTTTGAAACAAAAAAAATATAGAACTGAATCTTATATTCAAGTTATGAAGCAATGCCTCATTGATATTTGTTCTTTTTTCTATTCTGACAAAGTATCGTTTTATGTCAAATGTCATCATCAATAATAATGGTCAATCATGTCTTTTAATATTATCTAGGCAGAAAACTTATATTCATGGGCAAATAATAATAATATAAATGATGAAAACACAGATATGGAAATATCATCATCACCAGTTATCAATGATAGTGAGTTTTGTGTCTTGTGAACATATATGTTGATATATTATCGTTCATTGTGTTGATGATGGTGTAAGGTGTGAAGCTTTTTGTGTTCATGTCAAGTGTGAAGGATGTTAAATCGATATCGTTCTGTGTTCTAGTCAGTAAAGTGTGACTGAATAAGCGAAAGAGGCAAGCAAACAGGTATCATTGTCGATTGCTCTTTTGGTTCGTTTATAACACACTATTCTATCATTTATATCTCTTATTGATCTGCTCGTTTTTTCTTTCTGCCTTCACTTTCATATTAATCAATAGAGAATATCAATCTCATTCATTTTTCTATCAATATATATTCACAAATATGAACAAAAAATTGAGACCTTGATATAAACGTATATATTCTTTTTTTTTAATAGTTAATCATCATCTGATCGAAAGTAAAGAATATAAATATAAACCACCAACGGCTACAACCATATTGGACATTCTTAGAGTACGTGTTATATACAATGAATATATATATGTGGATAAAAAACATATTTATCTTTAGAGTGAATACGATTTTCATTCTAATGTTCAACGAATAGAAACCAATTCTATATCTACACAAATCAATCTTATAAACGATATAGAAAAAATCGAAAAATCAATTCAAACAGATTCAACTCTTCTTTCTTTATTTGAGGTAACAATCATCATAAGAACAAAAAAAAAATCAATGATGACGACAAAAATAATTTTTATCAAAATAAAATTCTTCTAATTATTTCTAATTAGAAATGTTTCACACTTAATCCCATTCAAATGTCATCATTTATTGTATCAAAAACTGATTCAAATAGTAAATCATCATCAACACCAATAACTTCAAATCGTGTTGATGAGAATACTGTTCGACAAACGATGCATAAATTATTTTTACATGATACTATTAACGATTCATCGTCGCCCGGTGATGATGATGATATTCGTTCATCACTTTCATCTTCACAATCGTTCAAAAATGATCATGCAAAATTTACAAGTAACAAAAAAAGATAATTTTTCTATATATAAAAAAAAATGATTTATTATTATTATTCTAGGTGAATTACTGCTGGAATGGATAACACTTAATTCTGATTCACGAAATTCAAATACACAAGCATTAATAACAGAAGTTAAATCGTGTTTACATTCAAATGATAATGATCGTTATCATCAAGTAAATAAATATTGAAAATAGATTTTTTATTTTCGAATTAATTAATGGTTTAATATTTAGCCATATTCATCATATAGACCAAGATCATCACTACCTTCTGTTAACGAACAATTCACATCATTTCCACCAATTAAATCTAATTATAATATTGACGATGAAATACGTTCACTTTTATCAGATCTTGTTATTGAAGTTGATAAAAAATTAAAAGAAACATCTTCACATATGTTAGTGTCATTTAAATATATATGAATTAATAATATAGATTATTAATTATAGGCCAACCATATCAGCACCACCACCTCCACCACCACTGCCTCCACCGCTACCACCATTTTGTCATCCTATCATAGGACCTGTACCACCCTCAGGACCATTCACATTTATAGGTACTGGTATTCCTCCACCGCCACCTCCAATGATGCCAGAATTTAGTGGTAAATTAAAATTTTATAATCAATAAATAATAAACTATGTTGATTTTTAGCACCTCCACAATTACCACAATATCTACGTAAGAAACAGAAATATGCTGTCACAGAACCAGTTAAAAAAGTTCAATGGAGTAAAGTTCGTACTTTATTCTCAAAAATTTTTTGTTTTTCGAATAAATCATGTAATTTACTAGATAAATCCATATACAATCAAAAAAGAATCTATGTGGGTTAATGTTGATGAAGAAAAATATGTTAATGATACACTATTTTCCGATATCCGAAAGAATTTCGCAAGCAAAATAATTCCAAGTAGACAACCCATTCATGATCTTGTTGATAAATCTAAAGAATTACGTGTACTTGATTCAAAAGCTGCACAAAATTTTGGTAAAATATTTTTTTCTTCTTCTAATAATTAAATCATTTTAATTTTCTTGTTTTTTTTCTTATAGCAATTATGTTTAGTCAATTAAAAGTATCTCCATCTGTATTTCGTGAATGGATGCTTTCATGTGATAATGAAAATTTAAAATATGATTTTCTTAAACAATTAGAAAAATATTTACCAACATGTGATGAATTAAAAACTTTAGCAGATTTTCAAAATGAAATTAATGATTTACAATATTCTGAACAATACTTTTGTGCAGTAAATATATATTTTCAATTATCTATGAAAAAATTCCCCGGAGATTTGGCGTCTTCCTGGGGAGAGTCTACTATGGTTAGAATCTATATTGTTTGTTTTAGATCGGTGATATAAAACGATTAAAGCAACGTTTGAAAACACTTTTATTTAAAGCAAATTATCGAGAAACAGTTGAAGAAACAGATAAAGTTTGTTAATTTGTATTTATAGGAAAAAACACTTGATCTATATTTGAATTTTGTTTTAGGCATTTGTAGAAGTTCGTTCAGCATGTGATCATGTTCGACATTCAATACGATTTAAAAAAATGTTAGAATTAATTTTAACCGTAGGAAATTATATGAATTCAAGTGCTAAAACTTATGAACCCGTTCATGGATTTGATATTAGTTTTTTACCTAAAGTACTTTTATGAAAGAAAACTTTTTTTTAATTGATTAAATTTCATTTAGTTACATTCAACAAAAGCAAATGATGGTCGTCGTTCTCTACTTCATTTTATTGTACAAGCTATTCAAGATAAACATCGAGATTTACTTTCATTTTCTGATGAATTTTATGTACTTGCTGATGGAATAACGAAAAGTAAATTTGATAGAAACTAAATAAATATCAATTTTCTTTTTTTGTTTCTAGTTAATGTACTTGAACTTCAAAAACAACCACAAGAAATAAAACGTGAATTAGAAAATGCTCGAGAAGAATTAGCTGCTGCAAAAGAAACAGAATATGAAATTGATGGTGATCGATTTATTGAAGCAATTGAAGTAAATCGTTTTTGATTTTAATAAATAAAATTAGAATTTATTTTATTAAGGATTTTATTAGTCTTGCTGATGATGATGTTGCTCGACTGGAACATCTTGATGAAGAAATGACAAATGCTTATCAAAATTTATGTGATTTTTTAGCTATTGATCCAAAAAATTATTCACTTACAGAATTTTTTACTGATCTTAAATTATTTTGTACTTTCTTTTCGGTAGAAACTATTTTTTTTTTCGCTTTCTCAATTTAATTATTCATTTTCAAGACTTGTCTTCAAGAGATTCGAGCATGGCGTGAACAAGCTGTACGTGCAGCTAAAACAACGTAAGTAATATTTGTTGTCAAAAACGAAATGAGAAGAAAACAAAAACTAGAAAAATCTTCAATGAAAATACATCCTCACTTTAGTCAAAGTTTAATGTCTACTTCACAATATTTTGTTCGTACATCATCACGTCGTTTTCCTACACGATCAGATTCTACTGATGATTTTCTTTTGGCGGCTGCTGAAAGTGGTTTGTCGCCATCACGTGGTACATCTCCATCTAATACATTTCGTCGACAGGTAGTTCTATTAACTTACAAAAACTAAATCAATATGCATGTTTTACTAATTTAAAAAAATAATAAGAAGAAGAATACAACATGTTTTTCTTTCTTTTTTTAGAAATACTCAATTATATACCGAGAAAAAGATTCTCGATATTCCCGATGATTCAATAGAAACTTCTCAACGTTCATTATCACGTATTGAAGCTTTAATTGATAAACGTAAAAAAAATCATGGATTAACACCAACAATAAATCAAACTAAAAAACGATCTCAATCATAGAGAATGATTTTTATTTCGTTTGACGCTGGTACTTTCGTATTTATTCTATTGTATTCCAGTGAATATTAAACAAAACTATTAATTTTCTTTGTTTAGTTGTTTTTTTAATGTATGTGTATACGTGCGTCTGCTATTTTTTTAACAACTACTATCCCTTTTATTTTATTTCTCTCAATTAATAATAAATCAAACTAGCAAAGATAGTATTTAAATAACTATTGAAGAAAAAAACAAAAACATTTATTTAACTTTCTCTAAATTACAGATGAATGTATATTTATTCAAATAGAATCATACAATCATTACGTAATATGCATCTAAAATTACCTCTATCATTAAAAGGTATGACTACATTAGATCGTGATCAATTTAAACAAACTATTAGTGTTCCATATGTGAATATTCCAGTTGAATGTATTCAATCATCAAAATGGAAAAATTATTTACTTTGTTTACCGTCATTAAAAAATGTTCGAGATTTACAACCAATATTAAAAACACATAAACAAGTTTTATTTGATCCAGATATAATTGAAAATAAAGAAGATGTTATTAAAAAAATACCATCAATTACAAAATATGTTGAAGAATCATTTGATTTTACTCCATTAGCAATAACATATGAGAATTATTCAATTGAACAAGTTATTAAAGCTATCTTACCAGATGATTTAGGAAAAGATAGACCAATTAATACAGGTTCCGGTTATAGTCTTATTGGACATATTGCTCATTTCAATTTAAAAGATGCAGTTTTACCATATAAACATATTATTGGTGAGTAAAGGAATGAGTAGTGTTTCGGTTTACAGTGACTTCTCTGAATTGTAGCTCAAGTTGTGCTTGACAAATTAACACATGTGAAAACTGTCGTGAATAAATTACATGAAATCGATTCAGTTTATCGCAATTTTGAATTAGAAATTATTGCTGGTGAACCAAATACTATTGTTAAATGTCGTGAAAGTAAAGCAATATTTCAATTTGATTTTGCTAAAGTTTATTGGAATCCTCGATTAAGTATGTTTGTTTATTTTTAATTTTTATTTATTATTTCATACTTCATTTAGGTACGGAACGTGAACGTATTGTTAATGTTCTACATCATAATGATCTTGTTTTTGATGTATTTGCTGGTGTTGGACCGTTTGTTGTTCCAGCTTCAATGCTTGGTTGTACTGTTTATGCAAATGATATTAATCCTGAATCTGTTAAATGGATGACTATTAATTTAAAAACTAATCGAACAAAAAAATCTTCGAATGAATATCATGTATTTAATTTAGATGGACGAGAATTTTTACGTACAATTGTATTTCCACGTATAGAAAGTTATCAAAAAAATATAGCAAATGATAATGAAAAACGTTGGTGTTTATCCGATAATAAAATTATTATATTAATGAATTTACCGGACATAGCTTTAACATTTTTGGATGTTTTGCCTGAATGGTTATCAGAAAATATTGAAGAAAAACAACAATGGATATTACCTATTCATATTCATTGTTATACATTTTCAAAAGCTGATAATCCAGATGAAGATATAAGATTACGATTAAAAACAATTTTACCGAATATTAATGATAATCAAATATCATGTCGATTTGTTCGACAAGTAGCACCGAAAAAAGATATGATGTGTGTGAATATTATTCTATTTGATAAGAAGAAAAAAGAAACACGTAATGAATGTGATGAAGAAAAAGAAGAAAAAAATCCGACGAAAAGATTTAAACAAGATTCTTCTGAATAAAGAAATTCTTTATTTTGGTTAAAAATAAAATAAAATATTCTTTGTTACAAAAGTATTATATTTCTTTTTGATTATTTGCATTAATGATTGATAGATGTTACATATTATTTAGACAAATCTTACAGTAATCTTAGTCCTTTGTACAATTTATATATGCTTTACAAAGGAAAACGATGAGTGTAAATTATAAATCGAGGTTTTGTGACTACCCTCCTTTCCCATCATAGATCGTTAGATTCAAGAAAACATATTTTTTTATTTTAAAACAAACGAAATTATTTCTTTTGGTATTCATTCAGTTCTAAAGACAATTAAAACTCGATATTTAATACAATTCACCAACCTGAATTGTAATTTCATCATCAGGATCTGCTGATGTTGTTATTCTCATCCTATAAGATTTAGATAGTAGAAATTTATTGTTCTAATTAACAAAGTCCATTGGTTCAATTGAAACTCATCCTTGATACATATCTTTTATATAGAAAAAAAGAATTTTATTATACGTGATGTATAAAAATTTATCAATGAAATCTTGACAAGCTATATGGGAATTAAATTGTATATAGGATTACGTAGAATATGTAACTGAATATTTTGTTAATCAGTGAAGGCTTTTTCAATATCTTTAATCGAGACAAAATCGGCATGTTTCTTAGCTTCACTATTTTCTAGAAAAAAAAGTGATAAATATGTTTTTATTCCAAGTTATATTTACCGAATAAATCTTTAATTGATCAAACGTTTCTTTAGATTTCCCTGGATTTGTTATTGACGGAGAAGATCGAAGAGACCCAGGACAATCATTCCGACCATCGGAAACGGCCTGAAATGACTATAAAACGGTGTATTATAGCATTAATTCTCACCATATTTTGCCGTAATCCGTCGCAGCTTCCATTTTCCGGCCAACTTTTGTGAGCATAGGTTTGTCATTAAAGACTCCAGTTGCAATGAAGATTTGCACCAGGAACGCCACAAGTGGATACAAAATGTTCATTATTCCTAGTATTATTCATTTTATTTTAATATTTTGTATCATCTAAAATTAGACTTCCATATATATGCTTATTTTAACAAAAATATCTTTTCAATAAGATCTTGATTCCTAACCAGGTAAAAATCTTCAATATAATTGAAGTTGTTGGAATAAATGTAGTAATAATTGTGCTAATGTATCATCACCTGTACAACAACTAACAACATTCAAATTTTCATGTGAACGTTGCATAATTTTTTGCCATGATTTATCAATATTACCATCCTGAGGGTGTGAGTAGGTGGGTGTGGGTGACAAGCTAATACATTACCCACACTCGCGCTATTGTATAGCAAATCTTCTATAACACATGTGAACGGGTTTCAATGCCGACAAATACATGTTATTTCAGATATAAGGGAAGACAAAGGACTGAAAGATCATCAGATGCCTTTGATAAGAACATACATGGGATTTGCATACTTAGCCTCAGCCGGGTGGTGGTGGTTATGCGAAGTGAATTAAAAACGCTGTGGCACTAGCAAGAATCCATAATCTATGTTTTATTAATTCTCAATATCGTGAAAATTTATTTCCAATTTTTTTTATTCTATATTGTAGAAACTTCAAAGTATCTCGTTTTACTTCTCTTGAGAGTATGGGCGTGGGTTGGCGTCATAATCATGGTGAAGGCTCGTGTGAGACGTAAGGGTGATCATCTTTTTCTGACTCATCCACACCACCAACGCGTTTCTCATCTCTGGCTGAAAAATCAATTGGAACCAGAGATATCCATTGTGTTTGAATAGAATCAGTGCTACTAATTGATAAGATTCGTTTATTATTAGAGTGTTGTTCTTGCAAATATTCAATTTAGAGTTAAATTCATGCAACTCTGTGCTTTCTCTCTCAGAAAAATCTACCTTATCAAAATAGATATTTCTGCTTTGTATATGACTAACGAGTTTTTCTTTAAAAATATATCGAAATATTCAAAGAAGAGAACTTTTCTCATAAATACTTATTGCGTAGAGAAATAAAGAACGTGATTAAAAGTGAATCCTGACAAAGCAGATTATTTAACAGAATCAAATAAAACAAGACATCAAACTAATCATGACTTATTCATTGACGTCAACCATTTATTGACGATGATAGTTGATATCTTATTTTCAGTTAAAACACGTCCGATGATTAATACAGATTTTGATCAATTCTCTATTTTCTCTTCATCACGTTCGTCTTCACTAAAATCTTTTGATTTTCTATCAAATCAGAAAAGAAGAGGATGATGTCGAATTTAAATTCCATTCTGTATTTTCGAATCTGGAAAAGAATCAAATTCAACGAAAAATATCAAATTAAATAATCAATTTTGTTCATTAACCCAATCTAAAATCAATTTTTTTATCTTACCTACGACGAAACGTTCTCTAGAATACTATTTTTCTTTTTGTTTTATGTGGGAATAAATAAATGAGAGAAAAAGAGAGATATATAACTAGCGAGAAAATCTACAGCTAGTGTCACTTTGTTTTCATCGAAGATAAAGAAAATTACTTTATTAGTTAACTAATTTATCAAGAAAATAAAACGTGTTGAATGATGTTGAATATCTATGTATTTATCATTATTCTTCTGTTCATTCTCGACAATCAAACATCAGGTAAATACTTTTATTTATCACATACTAAAGATCCGCTATTGCACAAAAATGGCATTATTGGTTAGAGTTTTAGTTGGACAAAAGGAAGTGAAATAATAGACTATAGAATTTGACATGAATTTCTATTATATATTCAAAGTGATGGTATTGATCTCTTGCAGTGACTATGCGAGACTTTCTGTAGTTTAAGGAATGATGAAAGTTTAAGTTTAAAATTATAAGTTGAAATAATGATTGATAGTACTGTAGATATCTGAGTTTGTATCGGTTGATAGTTTCAAAATGATTAAAAACTTGAACATTACTGGAATCTTCTCTCGATATCGAATTTATTTGTAGATCTTGAGATGAGAGTGAGACACAACAAAAAGGAAAGAAATCTATTTCATCATATCGCATTATAACATATGGAAAAAAAGATTAATTGACTTTTCCATATGAAATCAAAATAAAAAAAAGAAAAGATGAACAGGTCAATGTAAATGAAAACAAACTTTTGTGAAAATATTTGACTATTCTGGTTTCAGATAAGATGTAGATTCATTATATAAAAAATACTATGACTATGATAAAATAATTATATTATGTTTGATGTACTCAATGAGTTTTATATATAAAAATAGAAGTGAGATATCAGGTCAGTTGATCATCCACTTCTATATATATATTATTTACTCTTATAGGAAATAAAAAGAATTTAAAACTTTTAAAGTGCATAAAAGGAAAGAATCTTTTTCTGGAAAATATGAAGCTATCGTGTAGAAATGAATGTGATTGATCAATGAGATGACAAATATTCTTCATCAACACTTTCGAGACAAGATTACTTGTGAGAAAATATTAACTTTTTAAATGTTTCAATAAACACGTTTGCTAGAAAGACAGAGCACAAATCATATGGTAATGTAGAACTGCTTTGCAAGTGCAAATTCATGACTGGCACTATCATTTTTATCACTAGACTATTATAAAAGAATATTATTGTTAAGTAAGACAAGATTTGAATTAAAGGTGAAATACATAGAAGTTTCTCTCGTGTTTAAAAGGAATCGATGATTATTGAAATATTTTTCTGAAAATAGTTAAGTTGAAATAATGAGAGGAAAAAAAGAAGAGAAAAACTTTGATTAAGTTTAATTATTATTTGACAAAGAAGTTAGAAGAAAGTGATGTTATTCAATATCAGTTTCGTTGAGATCGATTTCAAGTTTGTTTTATTTAATTTGATGAGAATTTTTAAAAAAGTAAAAATATATTATTGATAAAAAAAAGAATATTTTCATTTTATTTTTATCTCAAAATATTTTTCTTGAATAATTTCTTCGGATAGCTATTTACTTAAAGATTAGCAACAGAATTTTCTTCCCTCTTTCACATATTAATTAGATTCAACTGAAATGATTTAACATAAACAAATGCATAATATTTTTCATATGAAAATGAGAATTAATTCTGAATTGCAATAAAGTCATTCTCTTTAAAAACAATTTTTCCTCCTTCGAATTCATTTTCGTTGAATAAATAAAAGAAATTATTTGATTACTTTTTGTCTTCAATGATAATCGTATCTTTTCAAGGATCGAACATAATTATTTTTCTTTTACAATAAAAAAACAACAACAAAGGTGATCCTCTTCGATGAATTTAGTACTCTCTCAGTTGATACTTACAAATCATCCAAGAAAATAGAACAACAATCGTAAAAATCTCTTGAAAACTAATCTCAATGAATTTATCGAAGAAAAAACATAAATTAATAGTTTAATTTCATTTACAGTTCTTGTCTAATATTTTTTATATTTTTCTCGTTTTTAGCTCTTTCATACAATCAACCAAAGTTTTCTCCAACACCCATTTGGGATTCCAATGGAATTACCATTGCTAATCGCTCGATTGTTGGTTTTGCACCTACCGCTAGTTTTGTGAACACAAACAACACAATTTATGTCTCTAATCAAGAAATCAACGCAATTGTAATGTGGCAAGAAGGGAGTATAAATCCAACAAAGATCATTCAGGTTAATTTTACAGAACGGTATTCTCTCTTCGTGACATCAAATGGCGATATTTATATTAATGATGGTGATTATAAGAGTGGTCGAGTACAGAGATTGAGTGCAGAAACAAATACCTTTGTCACAGTGATGAATGTCAACTCATCATGTTATGGTTTATTTGTCGATATCAATGATACTCTTTATTGTTCAATGTCTACTCATCATCAAGTAGTGAAAAGATCGTTGAATGCTCCTGTAATGACTTCAAACCGTGTTGCCGCTGGAACAGGTACTTTCGGATTAGCCTCGAATCAACTTGCTGGTCCTCATGGAATTTTTGTCGATGTAAATTTTGATTTATATGTGGCAGATTGTAACAATCATCGAGTGCAGTTGTTCCAAACGGGAGAATCAAATGGTATCATAGTAGCTGGCGAGACATCACCATATCCAACAATTACACTTTGGTTTCCAAATGGAATTATATTAGATGCTGAGAAATATTTATTTGTTGTGGATGGACGCAACATCAATGGTCGCATTGTTGGTTCGGGCTTGAATGGTTTTCGATGTTTAGTTGGATGTTATGGGTGGGGTTCACAATCCAATCAACTGTATGATCCATTGACTTTGAGTTTTGATCATTCGGGAAACATGTTTGTTACTGATCAAAATAACCATCGAATTCAAAAATTCTTACTGATGAAGGATTCTTTTGGTAAGTTGAAGAAAAGTGAAATGAAATAAAGAGATGTGAATAGATAAGTAACAGAAGTTAATAAAGACATTTAAATATAAAAAACGAAAGAAAACAAAAATGGTTGAGAAAGATTAATTAAACGACTGTGTAAGAAAATGTGTCTAGAGAAATAGATTGTTCAGATTAAAGAATAGAGAAAGAAGAAATTCTGTCCTCGATGAAGTAATAGAGAAGGCTTTCATGTTTTATTTCATGTCTCAAAGAATATTTCATCAATGAAACAGTTTTTATTAAAATAAAGTCTCTTCATATCTTTACTGATATCGTTTCAATATAAATTCTTCTATGATATGATTTCATATTTCATATTTCGACATGTTTGATTCAAGAAAAATAGGACAAATAAAATATCACAATTCTAACAGCTAATTTTTCTTCTTTTATTGTGCAAAATGAATTTTGTCATAAAGAAATGTTTGATTGATGATTTGTTCTTTTGATATTTATCATAATATTTAATTGAAGATAATATTGAATGGTTGAAAGCAATCTATAATGTGACATATGTATGTTATTATTTCTGTAATTCTAAACAAAGAATATTTTATATAAAGGAAAAAAGTTGTTTATTTGATAAAATAAATAAAATCATTGAGCTGATTTTGAATAAAAATATTTATTTATTTAATTAAATTTATTTATCTAAGATGTTCAATAAGAACAATTGATTTACAATGAAATCTATTCTAAATTGTTCTTAAATGAAAACTTAATATAAGTCAATTAACAAAGTTTTATTATCATTCCTAAACTTCAATGAGAAAACGTTTTTCAGATTGATAAGAAATTTTTTAGTATTACAAATATTTATTTTACTTTTTCTTGAACAAGAGCAGTCAATGATTGGCTACGTTCTAAGAGAATTATCTATTATTTTCATATGAAAACAAACATTTTCTTGTTTTGTTCGTTATTTCATAGGAAAAACATTGAAATCTGTACAATATTATTAAGATTATAAAGAAAGATTTATTATATTTTGATTGAATAAAGACGAGATTATGTGTGATCTTTGATCAATTTTTGAAGCTTCTTGAGATAGCAAATCTTTGATCGAGAATGTGTATGAAGAATATCTATAGAGAGAAAAGAAGAATTTTTGAGGATCATAATAAATCTTATTTTTTATGTAATTTCCTTTTCCTTTTTCTTTTTCATCCAGTACCGATATGATGTGCAGTGACATTATTTTTTATAAAATTGACTGAAATAAATCGGCTTGTATTTCCAGTAATATAGATAACTGAGATAACGTAGGGAAATTTATCGTTCCCTTTTGATTCCTTCTCTAAATTAACTTTAAGTATTTCTCAAAAAAAGTCTGAGAAACTTTGAATAAACATTTGAAAATTGAAATTTGTGTTTGAATAAATATTTCAAAAAAAACATATGCACTAACATATCTGCAGAGTTATTTTTTAAAAAATCAGCTTAATAATTAAAATTCACTAGAGAAAGGTGAATAAGATACTCAATATTGAAAGAAATAGATTGAATTCATAAAAATCTCTTCTATTCTATTCTATTGATTTTTTGTCTTCAAAATAGATAAATTCTTGTATGTTGTTGTTTTCTTCAACACAATTTATTCAGATCTTTCAGAGGCTTTTTACAATAAAAGTTAAGCAAAAACATTTTAACAATATCACAATTCATATTTTATATGAAAATTATTAAAAGTCATTCGTAAGATCAGTTTGATAAACATTTCTAAATGTCTTTACCATGAAAAACTTGTTTGAAGAAACTTCATTTTTCTTCTACGAATATATAAATAAACAATTTCATTTCCTTTATAGTTCTTCTCTAATATTCTTTTTATTTTTCTTGTTTTCAGCTCTTTCATTCAATCGGCCAAAGTTTTGTTCAAATTCCAGCTGGTATGCCAATGGAACTACCACTGCTAATCAATTGATTGTTGGTTCGCAACCTCGCGCCATTTTTGTAACCACAAACAACACAATCTATGTTGCTAATCAAGAAAACAACGCAATCCTAATGTGGGATGAAGAGAGTGTCAATCCAATAAAGATCATTTCCGGTAATTTTACAGAACCCTTGTCTCTCTTTGTGACATTAAGTGATGATATTTATATTGATGATGGTGCTACGAATGGTCGAGTGCTGAAATGGAATGCAGAGACAAATACCTATGTCGCGGTGATGAATGTCAACTCATCATGTTATGGTTTGTTTGTTGATATCAATGATACTCTTTATTGTTCAATGTCTACGCATCATCAAGTAGTGAAAAGATCATTAAATGATCCTGTGATCACTTCAAATCGTGTCGCTGCTGGAATAGGTATTGAAGGATCACGCTCGAATCAACTTTCGTATCCTCGTGGAATCTTTGTCGATGTAAATTTCGATTTATATGTGGCAGATTGTGGAAATAATGCAGTTCGACTGTTTCAGCAGGGAGAATCAAATGGGATCAGCATAGTTATAAATCCATTTACAATGAAACCTCGTTGTCCAACTGGAATTATATTAGATGCTGAGAAATATTTATTCATTGTAGATTCAGGCAATCATCGCATTGTTGGTTCAGGTGTAACTGGTTTTCGATGTTTAGTTGGATGTGATGGAAAGGGTTCACAGTCCAACCAATTGGCACTTCCATTTAGTTTTAGTTTCGATCATTCGGGAAACATGTATGTGACTGATCAAGAAAATTCTAGAATTCAAAAATTTAACTATGCAAAAAAATATTGTGGTAAGTTGGAGTATAATCGAATGAGATGATGGAATGTGAATGTTGATAGTGAAAATTTGCAGTGTTCGTTAGGAAAAACTGAAGTTCAAATGAAAAGTAAAATCTGTACATGAAACTTTTCTGATCGAAAAAAATTAAAACTGTGTAAATGAAATATAATTGATTAATTTAAGAATTTTAATATAAATTAAGTAAATTTATTTAGGATATGAAATTTTAATTGATTATAGATATTCTTCTTTTCAACATTCGCACTCTCAAGATGTTAAGATAATTATCAGATCAGAAAAACTATCAAAGATTCTGACTGTTATTCAAAGTATAACACACAGAACTTCTTGGATGTTACGTATAAACTATCTGATCGACATGAACGATATTATGTTTTACTTGATTGATTGATTGAGAGAGAAATCCTCAGTTAAATCAAATCATTTAGAAGTTTCTCTCTCCCTCTTCACTCGTCAGATTACGCTTCGAATTTTTAAGTTTCATGTAAAAATCAAACGTTGTGCTGTGCATGTCGATCAACGAATTTGACTAGACTCTCTTTGACACTAATCGACCTTCATAATGTTTTCTCTTTTCAAAATGTCGAAAAACAGATAATACTACAGAATAAATTCAGATCATTTCAAATGCGTTGTGATTGAAGAAACAGTCTTTTATCCTTTTGAATACAGATTATCAGTTCAATAGATTAGAGACGTATATTTAAAGCAAATATAAATTTCTATTCAGACAGACTTGCATCTTTGTGTACTCACGATACAGTTAAATTGATTTTATTGCTCATTTAGCCAATATTCTATCGGTTCCTCAAAATACCTATTCATCATCATTGACTAAGAACAATCAAATTTATTACCGAGAGTGTGACAAGCAAAATTTGTATTATGAATCCATTCAAGTGAAGGTGAACGAAACTGGTTACTACAGTTTTCTTAGTAACGGTAACATCGATTCGTATGGATCTATTTACAAAAACAAATTTAATCCACTCAATCCATCAGAGAATTTGCTTAACATAGATGATGACAACGGGGCTGATGGTCAGTTCAAACTCGGTATTCATCTTAATGCTGACACGATATATGTAATGGTTGTGACAACATTTGATTCGAAAGAAACTGGAGAGTTTTCGATCAATGTGTTGGGTAAAAACAAAGTTTTTTTCGAGCGTCTTAGTAAGTATACAGAGATTTGTGTTATATATTAAATAATTCATACAAAATATATAGTCTATCTTCCAAATTCAATTCCATCATTTATTCTATATCAAGAGAATGCACTGAGTTTACGCTATCTAATACTAAGGCATTTTCTAGCAGGATATTCACTCGCATATTTTTCTAACGTTTTCGTACTATATGAATATTGCTCAGTTTCCACAAATACTGAATGAAAAAAGTGCTAAAAAGAATAGTCAATGAAATATTTGGAAATATTTGACAGTCAAATGCTGAAAATTCAAAGAGTATGTTGTTGTAGCTCAGTACTTTTAGATTTCTGTGATATACTGGTTTCAGGATATTCACTTGGAGAATACGAATTTGATACAGTTACTAATCTCTATTTGTAAAATTAAATCCTTATAGAAAATCTCAAAGATTTCGCTTTTGTCGATGTTAGATGATAGTGTCAAAATTTTATGAATTATTTCACTTTTTTTATTAAAAAGGTACTCTAGTAAATATTCAACTCAATTATTCATCGAAATTAACTGAAGATAGTCCAACATATTATCGAGACTGTCAAGTACCGCAATGTCATTATGAAACTTTACAAATTCATGTTAATATAACAGGTTTGTATGTTCTTTGGAGTAAAAGTAATATTAATGCATATGGATATATCTACGAAAATGATTTCAATCCTCTAAAACCATCTGAAAATTTACTCCTATCGCATGGCGGTGAATGTAATGATGGACAATTCAAATTAATCATTGATCTCAAGATCAACACTCGATACATATTAGTTGTGACAACACACGTTCCGAAGATAACTGGAAACTTCTCTGTTTTTATCTCTGGACCAAACAATATCAGTCTTAGTCCTTTCAGTGAGTATTTATATGATTTTTTCGATAACATATATATAATGGCATAAAACATGTGAAAAGAAGATTTCTTATATTTTTTTTTGATTAGTGAACAATTGTTATTTTAAGTTTTGGAGAAAAGATCTATCGAGTTATTAAATTAAGTAGTTTCTGAAATCTTTGAGTCGATTGATCTGTTAGAAAAGACATCTATTTAACGTGAATTTAGATAGATTTTCCATATTTTAAATGAGGGTGGGTGGAAAAGAAAAAATAGAATGCACACCCACACCCCGAGTAGTAAAAGAATAAGTAGCCTTGAATAATTTATTAATGAAGTTGACAATCTGAAACAAATTGCCAAAACTGAATATTTTAATTGTCTAAACAATTGAATTTCTTCATTATTCTCTTTTCAAAATTTATCCAATATTTTAGATCCAAAAGAAAGCAGCTGTGTGATCGGTGATCAATGTAACACTTATATCAAAGGGATTGGTTTGACACTCGATGATATTTTACGCGATGAACTTCAACCGAACAAAGTGTTGAATAATCAATCATTTTCGATTAAATTCAGTGCGGGTTTAACAATAATTATGTTTGTCGCAGGATTAATCAATAGTGTTCTTTCTTTTATTACATTTCAACATAAAGATTCTCAACAAGTTGGATGTGGAATGTATCTATTGACATCATCGATTACTTCTCTTTTAACAATTAGTATGTTTATAATTAAATTCTGGTTTGTTGTTCTTACTCATATCAATGTGTCCACTAGTCTCGCTGTTCTTCGTGGAGGTTGTGCGTCTATTGAATCAATTCTAAAACTTTTTCTCTACTTGGATGGTTGGCTTAATGCTTGTGTAGCAGTTGAACGAGCACTACTTCTTTTTCAAGGAGTAAATTTTAATAAGAAAAAGAGCAAATTTATTGCTAAACGAACAATTCTTATTTTACCATTCTGTATTTTTGGTACTCTTATTCACGAGTTCGTATTTCGCAGATTGTTCGTTTATGAAACAGGACTAGATAAGACAGATACGAATAAGACGAATGAAGACACAAACAATCGATATGTATCATGTATCACTCATTATTCTCCTTCGATCCAAGATTACAATACAGCCGTTCTATTTTTTCATCTTGTTGGTCCATTTATTGTCAATCTTTTCTCTGCATTATTTATCATCTTTGGAGGTGCTCAACAACGATCAACGGCACGACCTAACCAAAATTTTAAAGAACATATTAAAGAACAATTCCGTGAACATAAACAATTGATTATTAGTCCAATAGTTTTACTCGTTTTATCAATACCTCGTCTCATCATTTCATTACTTCCTGGTTGTGCGAAAACATCTGAGAAGTTGTGGTTGTATCTTGGAGCATATTTCATTTCATTTACTCCTTCAATGCTAATTTTTCTCATCTTTGTCTTTCCTTCAGAATTGTATATGAAAGCGTTTAAACAATCGTTCAATTGTATTCGAAGGCGTACTCCTCCATAATCCGCCCGTTTAATTTGAATGACTTAATATCAAAGATACTATGAACTTCAATAACATGACTATTATACTAAATACAAAAGACATTATTTATTTATTTGCTTCTCCTTATTTATGCTAAATCTTTTTCATCATTTCTATCATCAATTTGTATCTATATATTAAAAAATTCGATGAATATCTACTTACGTTGCTTAAGACTCACTGTATTTAAAGTTCCGTCTTTTTCGTAAAGAAATAATTGATATCAATGTGAATACTATGAAAGTCTTATGAACCGGTATATAAGAGATAAAAAACTTCAATGAGCGTAGTCCTTCATACATACTTTTCAGTGAAACACACCTGCAATATGTTAGTATACTATAATAACAATCCTCTTATACTGAGAAAAAAAGCATATGGTAAGCTGTTTATAGCTTATGAAGAAAAACAACAAATATCTACAGACGTTTATTCATACTTTTTTTATCGACGTATGTTAAAATACTTCATTCATTTAACTTTTTAACATACAAAAAGAACACCTGGGTTAATTATAAATAACAGTAGAAAATAATGACAGATGTTTTCTTCTCATGATGCTTGTGATTATATATATATATATAACTATTGTTTTCTTCTATTTGTCGTATTCATATTATAATGATGATAATCATTTTTATTTTTGGTCTACTTGCTTCATCTATTTCTGCCCAACTTACTCACGGGCAAACTCGAGTTTTATATGAAACTTTTGATGGTCCATCACTTAATACTTCTATATGGAATAATGGATATCCATGGGGATCTTATTATAATCATCGAGCTAATACAACTCCTCGTCAAGCTAAAATAACACCAGATGGTTTCTTAAATATTACAGCTATGAAAGAACGAACCATTACACTTGGTTTAATGACTGAATATGGTCCAATTGATCTTGATTACACTTCAGGTGCTATAAATTCAAATGGAAAATTCTGTATGAAAAATGGTTTTATTGATATTAGTTTACGTACACCTCAATCAGGAAGTACATGGCCATCAGTATTTCTCGTACCAGAAGATGGAGGACAAGTTCCAATGCTTACTGTTATGGAAGTATTTAATTCACGAACACGTTATTCATATGGATTTAAATATACAAATGATAAGAATGAAGTCGAAGAAATAAGTTTTGTTGCCGATAATATACAAACTAGTGATGGTATACATCGATATGGATTAGATTGGGGTTATGATCAAATAACATGGTATTATGATGATAAATGGGTTAATACACAAACAAAATCAGATGAATTACGTCAAGTTGATAACATGTGTTTAGTTATTAGCTTGGGTGTTGGTGGTAAATCAAAAGAAACACCTATTGCACCTCAAGATTATCCATCAGTAATGAGTGTTGATTTACTTGAAATATGGCAACCAAAATATGATGGTTTTTATAAATTTCAAAATGTACAAACTGGTCTTTTATTAGAAATTAATAGTGCAACTCATAATTGGGGTGAACAAGTTTTACAATGGTACGACAATGGAGGTGATTGGCAGGTAATAACTATGAATTAATTAAATAAAATCTTTGTTTATCTTTTTTCTATAGATATGGCATGTACAATATGCAGGTCATGGTCAATATCGTTTAATCGTAGCACACAGTCGTTTAGGTTTAGATAGTGACAACTGGGGTACAGACGATGGTACTAAATTAATCCAATGGCCATATCATAGTGGTAATAATCAATTATGGAAAATACAAGTTGTCGATGAAAATACTCCTGATATTGTTCAACTTATCAATGTTCATACATTAACTAATTCGGATGCAGGCAAAATGATATCAGTACCAGCAAATGATGTTTCAGCTGGTGTACAATTACACTTATGGCGTGATTTGAATAGTAATCTTCAAAAATGGAAAATGATTCGACTTTAAAAAAAAATATCTACTTTGTTTATAAATTTTAAAACTCAAAATAAAATATTATAAAATTTCTATTGTATATATTTTTTTTTTGTCTTATCTATCATCTAACACCCTCTGTAGAAAGAATAAAAAAATATTCATAATAATAGGGTAATCTAAATAAACGATGAATCATAATCTAGAGCATGTCATAAAAGAAAGAAAGAAAAGAAAGAGAAGAAGAAGAAAATAGATCCGATAACAAACTCACTTATTGTTTTTTGAATATTTAGATGTAATATAAATTTCCAATCATGTCGTTTTTCCGTCGATTTAGTTCTAGCAATAAAGGTTAGATTTTTTTATTTGAAAAATATCGTATTTTTATTTCGTATTATCTAGAAAAAACGCGTGATCGTAGTCAAAGTAGAAATCGTTCTGAAATTCTTTCCGGTGTACAACAATGGCCATATTATCGAGATTTAGCGATTGAATCAGGTAGAAATAATTTCCTTTTTTTTTGTTCGTTATTACTCAATTTTGTTTTTTTATAGGACATTGTACCATTCCATCTGAGCTTGCTTCACTTCGTTATTCCCGTCTTAATCGTTCCCTTTATAATCTTGTTTATACACCTAATGATGAACTTAATTATTTTATTCTTTATATGGAATCATGTTCATTATCTTCATATTTAAAATTTATTCTCGATGTACATGTATTTGAAAAATTAACACGAGAGAGTCAAACAAAAAATACTGATCAACAAACATCAGCATTAGCTTTATTTCATCGATATTTATCAATAGATGCAAATTATTTAATTCCAATTGATGATGAAATTCGACGTACAACTCTTTGTAATTTCAATAAAAATAATAACCATTAATCTTCAAAATAAATTTCTCTTCTAGCTTTAATTTGTCCATCAAATAATAGTACAACACCTGATCCACATTGTTTTCGTACGGCAAGAGAATATGCTTGGAGTTTAATTGAACAAGAGTTTGTGTCTGTTGAAAATGATAAAATAAAATGAATTGTTATTTTTTAGTGCTTATCCTGGATATTTATCAAGTGCTTATCATGTAAATTATCAACTTAAAATGTTAACTAGTAATGAACTACAATTACATGATATTCTTTATAATAATTCATCATTAGCATATTTTATAGAGGTGTGAAAATGAAAATTTTCTATTTTATATATAATTTCATATTGTTAATTTAGTTTTCGGAACAAGAAAAATTTATTGATTTAGTTCGTTTTTGGCTTGCAATTGAACATTTTTATCAAAGTACAATTAATCGAATGATTGATAGTCAGACATTAACTGAAAATGCTTTGAATATCTATGAACAGTATATATCTTTACAAGCATCTGCACGATTAGGATTTGATGATGCTATTCGTGCACGAGTTGAATGTAGTATATGTCAACCTGAAATAGATGCAGGTCCATCGAGTGATACATTTGATCAAACTGCATGGATTGTTTATGTTATATTACAGCGTGTAAAATATAGAATATAAAATATATTTTATAAGAATTTATTTTTTTATTTTATTAGGAATATTTTCCACGATTTTTACAAAGTGTTATTTTTTATCGACATATTAGTGACCTTATGTTAAAATTACGTAATGAAGATACAGCATTAACATCACGACCGATAAAAACAATTGAATCTGGTATAATTTTTTTCTTTTTCTTCAAATAAAATAAATATATGATTATAAAATAGATACAACATCAATTAATTCTGATAATTTAATACAAACATCATCATCTCCACTACTACCAACAACAACAACAACTACACAATCGAATCGACAAAGAAATCCGAGTGTTTCATCTTCTTGTCCGAGTATTAATCAAGATGTTGGAATTAAATCGAAAGGGTAAAATTATTCTTTCTTATTTTAATTTGTGACCTTTTTTTGTTTTCTAGAAAATTTTCTATGGGTTATATTGATCCATTAGGTCGCTTTATTCGTGATCCTGATGTTGATACATATGATAGTGCATTATCTTCAAATCGTAAAACAACTTCTAATCCAATTCAATTTATAGCAAATTTAGTACGTAATGAGCAAGAAGAACTTGTAAGTTGATTATTCTTATGCTTTCGTTCGTCTGTAAATCTATTATTTTCTTAGGCACAAGAAGAAGCCGCAGCTCGATTTGCTGAATCATTTATTAATGAAATAACAAATATGACGGCAAATCTTGATAATCAATAAAACTTGTGATTCTATTTATTTTAATTTATTTTATTTTCTAGTATATTGTATTGTTTGTTTTCTTTTTTTTTGTACTGTCAGATGAATGAAAATATTTATTATTCCTAGTCTTTTGTCTTTCATAAATGTAATTGACAATAAATCAGACGTAATTCTATCTAATGAAATTTTCAGATCATGTCATCACCACCAAAACGTCTTCGTAAACATTCTCAAAATGAATTTATCTCATTAATGATATCATCGAAACGTTTACCATCAACATCATATAATCATATAACTGAATTAAATTTATCAAATTTACAATTAATAAAAATTGATACATTTCCATTTGAATATTTACCTAAACTTGTCTCACTTGATTTATCATACAATCAATTAGTATCAATAAATATTGATTGGTCAAAAACACGTGAAAATTTTATTGAACAATTAAATGTTAGTCATAATAAATTAGAAACATTATTATTTCTAAAAGATTTTAAACATTTAAAACAATTAAATGTCACAGAAAATTTTCTTCGTAATACAGAAAGATTTTTATCGTTACATCTATGTTCAACTATTGAACATCTTATAGATTCCAATCATGATCAAATTGATGATGATCAAATTAAATTAGATCAATGGTTACAAATCATAGAAACAAAAATTGATCGTTTATGGGCATTATCCTATTATGATAAATATAAACAGGAAATAGGTAATGAAAAAAATCATCAAATGGTTAAACAAATACTTGATGATTTTCATCATGCAATGATAAAAATTTTTGAAAAACAAACTCATTTTTCACAAATGCATTTATCACCATTAGCAAATTATTTAATAACAAATAAAATCAGTGAACTTTGTTTATCATTACCAAAAATTCAAACAAAAAAAAGTTTAAAAACACATTTAACAGAAGATTTTAATGATTTAATGGATGTTAAAACAAATTTTGAACCAATCAAATTTCTTCGTTGTCATCAAACAAATGAAAGTGATTTAACAACAATATCTGTACGAATGAGTTTATTTGAACCAAATACATCGCAAAATATTCTTGCAACATGTGGTGGACAAAAAGTTTGCTTTATTGATTGTGATACATGTGAAGTATCACATCTTTATGAAGTATCATCATTACGTTCAACAACGACAACACGAAAAATAAAAGATAAAAATTCGACAATAAATTCAGAATATTTTTCATGTTTATGCTGGATAGAAATTACGGAAGGAAATGAAACATTGAAAGTATTAGCAGTTGGAGCTACCAATGGACATATTTATCTCTTATCACATAAATGGAAGATTATGTTTGCACATATTGAATTACCTGTAAGTAGGATCTTATAGGAAATCCTTGATACATCTAATATTTCGCTTTGTGAAAGTAACTAAATATGTCACGTACTCCGGAAAAAATTACCTCGAAAATCGTCACTCATCTTTGAATATCAAATAATGTTATGTTGTCTATTTTTAGTCCTCATCAATTAGTTGTTTAATTTGGGATGCAAGTCAACCAACAACATTAGTTACTGGCTCGTATAATACTGTTCGTTTTCTTAATATTAAATCATATCTTGATCGTTTTCGATCATTTGTTCGTAAACAAAATAAACCAGCAACACAATTTGATTATGTTGAATCAACTTTATGTGAAAATAAAATTTCATCAACACATGTTTATCATTTCGATAATGGTGATGATACAGTTATTAATATTACTGATTTACTTTTTTATCCAATGTCAAAGGATACTAATATTCTCTTAGTTGGTACAACTTCAGGTCTTTTTATTATACATGATCAAACACCTAAAAAATTAACATTTCCTAAATCTATGTGGACAATTGGAGAATATATTGAATCAATTCGTTTAATCAATATTCAAACTCGTTTAATTGCAATCAATATACTTGGTCTCGATCAAATTTTTTGTTTTGATCTTGAACAATCACTTCCTCCAAGTCCACAATTACATATAATTCTTACTCTTTCAAATCCTTATCGTCAGATAGCTACTAAAATGGATGTCTATGTAACAACGAATGAAAATGATAATAATAATGGATCATTTGAATGTATTATTGGTAGTGATCATGGTTCATTTTTTTATCATCAAATTCGTATGAATGCAATAAATAATAAGAAAACGAAAAAAGCAACATTTGATAATAAACGTTATGAAATAACATGGCCACAAGTTAAAACTTCTACAACAACAATAATAACACCTAGTCTTCTTTCAGCTAATCTCAATGAAAATTATCTTTGTTTAACAACAAGTAATAATTTAATATGTATATATAAACGAAAGTAATGTAAGATAAGTAATTCTTCTTTTTTTTTTTGTGAAATAAAAAAAAATAGGGTCTATTAAACAAATAAAGATGTACGACTTGAATTTTGTCTTTCTTGAAAACGTTGTACAGCATGATGACCTTGTACAAATGTTTCAAACATACCAGCTAATTTCGATGCATATTGACGATCACTTTCAAGCATAACTTGACGACTACGTAATGCTTGAAATAAAAATAATGCCATTAAAAAATGATAAATAATAAAAAATGCTGTAAATATACTAAGTACATAATAATCAATTATTTTTGATATGCCCATATGTCGAATAAGAAAGCCAATTACTGAATGCCATATTGAATTGAGTGAAATAAAAACTAAGGATACTAACGTATATTTATCTAATAAGGTTAAATAAGAAACAGGCGGAAGTAAACGTGATACCGACCAGCGGAACATAATGGAAGTAAGTAAAAGTGTACCTAGAAGAAAAAAAATTTGTTTAAATGAAAACAATAAAATTTAACGAACAAGTAATCTGAAGACGACTTTGTGGATGTTCAGGTGCAACACCATATACAGTAAGAGCAATCAATGTAATAAGAAATATGAGCAAATAAACATTCCAATAGAAATAACCTGGTCGACGAGCAACACAACATGTAACTAGATAAGTTGATTGACGAATAGGTCGAAAACTAAAATCTTCTGTTGTTATTGTTGAACGTGTTTCAATATGTTCATAAAGAAACCATTCTTGTTGTGCTAAAAAAGCTTCACGATTAACCATCGATGGTTGAAAACGATTTTCAACTAAAACACATTCTTCAATTGGACATCTTGCTACAATTTGTAATGATAATTGTTGAACATCAGCTGGAAAACTATTTAATTCAAGTTTCTCCCAAAATGTACCAACTAATTTACGTATTTCCCAAACATAAATAATACCATGTAGTTTATCACCAACAAAAACGGGTTCATCTAAATTATTAACTAATTCATGAGCAACTTCCTGTTTAATATCACCAAGTGCATTTTTAACATAAAGATTTGGATTCCAAGATGCTGCTTCAGGATCATATAACCATCGTGCTTCAATAACAACTTCAGCATAAAATTTCTCATGTAACGTATTTACCTATTCAAATTATATCATAGATAATTATAAATTTCGAATAGAACTTACTTCACCAAGTCGAATAAATTTAACACGAAGTGATACTTCACGTGGTGGTTTTGCTTTTGGTAATGTATTGATTTTTTTTGTCTTAGTTTCCATATTGATTTGTTGATTACTAAGACGTTGATAACTATGAGCTGGAGTAACAACTAGAAATCAGATTTTATTAATTACATTAGTATTGAATATAGAAACTAGAGAATAAATATTATACTTGCGGATAATGTAGCAGATCTGGAATTCGAAGATAAATTAGACGTTGTAGGAAAATAGGCAGATGTTCGATTAACATTTCCAGTTGTTGCTGATCGTCTATTTGCTGCTATTGGAGTTGTTGTAAGAGGATGAATACCTCGTCTTACCGATTCAGAATAAGAATCGGATCGTATAGTATTAGACATAATATAAGTTACACATACAATTTCATAATAAAATAATGAATAGTATATTGATTATTTAGTGAGAGAAAGAATTATTATAGTAATGATAATAAATACTTTTGATATTAAATAACGTTAACAATACTATGATTAGTTATCTAGTATTCTTCAATCTTATGAATGTGTCGATTTAATAAGATTCATTATTTCCTATAGATTGCATGGCAAACATTTGCTGCTCGTTTTTGTTTATGTAATATTGTAAGACGCACCAGATGAGATCAAAAAATAGTAAAAGGAAATGCAACAAAGCAGATGACGCACAATGAGAGAGAAAAAATTGTATGATAATTGAAAGAGAAGAAAAAAAATGCAAGGTTGATTCTTCTACTTGATCATTTTGTGGTTTTCACTGTTTCGGCTATATAAGTGACAGCTGACAGCAGGTACACAGAAGTAAAAGACAAAGTGAAGCAAAGGACAAGAGTAGACGCTCCTCCTTCTCCTCCCGTATTTATTGAATGAAAATTAATTGCATAATTGTTCGTTTGAAATTTTAAACTATACTTTCATGATAATATTAATATAATTGTCGTTGAGCGACCTCTGGTAGATCAATTTGATCGATTATAGGATAAGCGAATCGAATGCCATGCGTGTTGAAAAACGTATTTTTATTCTTCATATAAACTGATTTGATTTTACGTGAACTTTATTGCTAGTAATAAATGGCCTTCATCAGAAATTCTCTTCTCAAAGTAAATTATACTTATCAAAAACAAAAAAAGATATAAATAGATTTCTGTGTCAATTTCTAGCTTGCACCAGTTTCAACAAAATCTATTGCAATAGTACAAAAACGTTTTTATTTAGCACTTCATGAATATGTTTCCATGGGATTACTTGAAGAAGCAGGTATTCGTGTACCAAAATATCGTGTAGCTGAAACAACTGATCAAGCTTATAAAATTGCTGAAAGTGAAGGTTTGAATATTCATTATATTTTTGCTAGTTTTATTCAATTATCTTTTTTTTAGAACTTGGTACTGATCTTGTTATTAAAGCTCAAATCCTTGCTGGTGGCCGAGGTAAAGGTACATTTGATACAGGTCTTAAAGGTGGTGTTAAAATGACATATTCGTAAGTAGAAAATAATTGTTCATATGAAAAATAAAAAACATGATTTTCTCTTGCTAGACCGGATGAAGCCAAACAAATTGCATCGAAAATGCTTGGTCATCGTTTATATACGAAACAAACAGGTCGTGAAGGAAAACCAGTTAGTAAAGTAATTATGTGTGAAAAATTATTTACTAGACGTGAATATTATTTTGCTTGTTAGTATTTCATTTCTTTCTGAAAATTGAATAGTTGAAATGAAATCTTTTTTTTGTTATAGTGGCATTAGAACGTCGTTTTGGTGGTCCAGTAATTATTACATCGACTCAAGGTGGTAGTAATATTGAAGAAATTGCTGCTGAAAATCCTGACGCAATTATTCATCATCCTATTGATATTATAACAGGACTTGAACGTAAAGATGCATTAGCTATTGCAGACAAACTTGGATTTCATGATGAAGCTCGTGATGATGTTTGTTAATTCTTTTTTTTCCTGTAAAGTAAATTAAATATTTATTTTTTCTATATTTCAAGGCAGCTGATACAATGATGAAATTATATAATTTATTTGTTACTAAAGATATCGTTCTATTAGAAATTAATCCATTAACAGAAGGAGCTGATGGAAAAATCTATTGTATGGATTGTAAGATAAATGTTGATGATAATTCTGAATATCGACAACAAGCAGTATTCAGTCAAAAAGATAATACACAAAAAGATTGGCGTGATGTTCAAGCTGAAGAATCAAATTTAAATTATATTGGTCTTGATGGTGAAATAGGATGTCTTGTTAATGGTGCTGGTTTAGCTATGGCTACCATGGATATTATAAAATTAGCTGGAGGTAATCCAGCTAATTTTCTTGATGTTGGTGGTGGTGCTACAGCTGCACAAGTTAAAAGTGCATTTCAATTAATTACTGCTGATCCAAAAGTATATTTGAAAAAAAAATAATATTCTATATGTTTCAGTCTATTGATTTTATTCTACTCAATTAGGTACAAGCTGTGTTTGTGAATATCTTTGGTGGTATTATGAGATGTGATGTTATTGCACACGGTATTGTTGCAGCTGCCAAAGAACTTAAATTAACTATACCAATTGTTGTACGATTACAAGGTACACGAGTTGATGATGCAAAAGCAATTATTGCTACTAGTCAATTTAAAATACTTCCTTGTGATGATTTAGCTGATGGCGCTCGATTGGTAAAAATATATATTTATATAATTTATTAAAATATCATAGTTCATTTAGGTTGTTAAACTTGCTCAAATTGTCAGTTTAGCTCGATCTGCTTCAATAGCTGTTCAATTTGAATTACCAATTTAAGTTTCACGTGAATCAACGTTTTTAATATTTCCGAAATTCTCTTTCCAACATTGATAACATTCATATATTTATACCAGGATCTCTTAAGCCAGCACTGTGAATTTTGTCTGTGTATTAAATCTGTTGTTTTCATTCTTTCTCTCTATTGTCCAGTCTTGATAGCATTTGCAATAAACACATACTTGTTTGCATCTGTAAATCGTTTTTTTTTTTCCATTAAAAAAAATATTTTTTAGTAGAATAACATATAGTTCATATTCTTAATAAAAATTTATTATTTTATTTGCAAAAACGTAATTACTATTGAAACGTTATGAACTTCAACTGTACAATATTTATGAAAAGAAACAGGTTTCATGTTGTCTTCTGGATTCTATAGATAAAATATTAAATGAAATCCACTGTCAACGAACAGAGCTGTGGATTTATTATTAAATCACGTACGTTCCAATTATAATGTAATTCCAAGTAAATAAACTAATTTGAATATTGGATCATCAAATAATTGACAGTTCCTTGTTTTTCTGTAGTGATAGTACTTTAGTGGCAAAAAACACTTATATTCTCAATAGAATTTCAAAAAGATGACAATACTTCTTTTTAAATCTCATCGATATACAAAGATTTATCACATAAGCTCAATGTGAATTTGATAGCCAAAACAACAATCCACTTTTTCTTTACTAAAATACACAAGGGAAATAGATTTTCTTTTTCCTTTGACAGACAACTGTAAAATATTCATTTTTGGATGCATAGATTTCTCAATCATATTATTTTTGATTTACTAATGAAGTTCAAAAAAACTCGAGTGTCCTACATCCTAGAATTGCATAGTATCTATTTAAATTCCTTCTAATTTATTATTCATTCTGATTAAATAGAATAAATTTATTAATATCGATTGTTATTTTTCTTTCCTAGAATAAACTTTCTTGATAATCTTTTAATATGCAGTTCATGTTTATATTTAGTTGCACACGGTGCAAAAAAAGAGAAAGATGCGTCTGCACGCGCGTCGAAGCAAAAAAAAAGAAAGAACGAGAGATAGAGGAGTACTAAAAAAAATGATAGAGAGAACAAGGCAAAATAGAGCAGAAAAAAGAAAGCCAACAACAACAACAACAACAAAGCAAGCGAGCAAGCAAAAAAAACGAAAATGATACCTGAGATACAAGGTGAACAAAAGCGCGTGTACGCAACTAGCTCTTCATAGAAATATATAGTGACAAAAACAACCGGGTTGTTCATTTCTGTGTATATATATATATATGTAGTCGAATAATACAGGATGATAATAATGATATACTGATATACTGTTATAGATACAGTAGTAACAGTTGAAGAGAACAAAAGAAGAAGAAGAACATGGCAATAAAGTATGCTATGTTATTTACAACAAATAGATCAAAACAGGAATGTATACATATACATGTATTAAAATTCATGATGGATATATATATATATATAGATAGATAGATAGATATAGATAGAGAGAGAGAGAGATAGACAATGAAAAACCGGTGAGAAGAATTTTGCTCAGCGGGACTTGACACAGGAAAAAATGGAGTAATAATTAATCAAGGGAAGAATCAATAATGTGAAAAACAAGGAAATATTGCGTTTTACATACAAAACACTTGATTGATAGTCTTTAGTTTTATCCATCATGAATACCAATTTCCATTGGTGTTCGATCCTGTGTACTCGATGAACAACAATTACGAAGTGGTGATCCACTACCACTACTATGATTTGTTGTACCAAATACACTTGATGATAGAAACCACGAAATACCACGACTTGGTGATGATGTTGTTTGTGTTGGTGGATCACTTAATTGTTGAGGAATATTAATACTTGCTGAAGATAATGTAACATTTGGAAGAGTTTGGAACGAAGATTTTGTTGTTGGTGTTGATGGTGTATTTGCAATGTTTGTTTGTCGTTGTTGTTTAAATGAATTTGAAAAACGTTGTGTTTTAAGACGCCGTACAGCTTCTTTAATTAAATTGCCTTCATCAATTAAACGTTGTAATAAACCAGGTAAACGTCGTTTTTTATCATTATTTGGACAATTTAAATGATGATGATTTGTTGAACGTTTTGAAGTGGATGATTTATGATGAACATTCGATGATGATTTCCATGTACCTGTTGATGAAGCATCGGAATTATTATTATGCAATGGTTCAATACTGCCAGATTGCAGACGTTTCAAATTTGTTGTTGAAGATGAATTTGATTGTGGTGGTGGTGGTTGTTGTTGATGATGAACAATATGTTGTCGACGACAACCCGAACGAAATCGTAATATTTCAGTTAATTTATCCTAATTAAATTTAATGGCAATTATATTAGAACTTATGATACTCTATAGAAATAGAAATTTTTACCAATAATAAATTAAGTTCAGGTGTTGATGATGATTCAATTTCAGTTTCAGTTTCATTCGACATTAATGAATGATTATCAATTGGAATTGGAGATGTACGATCAATAGAATACATTGATAATAGATAAGATACAGTCAATCACCAGTTAAAAACTGTAAAGCAAAACGAATCTGAGCTGATAATCAGCCATTAAATGAACATCTTGTTTTAAAATTTTATCTAAAAACAAATGAAAAGATGTAGACAACAATAACAACAAGTATTTAGAGAGCGAGAAAAAAAGGAAACAAGGATGAGTCAGAAATAGCTTGATTGGACAATGAAGACGAAAGACTATATAATGTCGCCGGTCGGCAGTAATAATAAACGGGAAAAATGACGAAGAAGAATAATCACAACGAGAGGGGGCGCACTATTCGGTATGATATAACAATACAATTTTATATATATAGATATTTCTTTTTTTATATTTCTAATATAAATAAACATACTTCTTACAAGACGAAAAGAAAAAGGTCAAAGATAAGAATAAAATTCAACATGATGTGTTTTTTTTATATATCAAAATAAATTTAAAAAAAAACAGAATATATATCTCTATATTTAACTGCCTTATATTCTATGGGGTACTCACAATTGAAAATAGAGAACTTTATATGTGTATGCGCATGTGTGCATCTACGAAATCAATTTGACAACTTTACTATTCATAACACAAGCTACTATTTCTTTACCTTCTCTGTCTCTCTCTCTTTTTTCTTTCTCATTCTATTTATATATTCATTCGTTGTAATAGTAATCGTTACCGCTGCCACCATCGCCGCTGCGGCATGCCTTTGTATGCTTGAAAACAAGGCAAATGCATGCACACCACTACTACTACTACTACAATCGAGCAAGCGAATGAGAGAGCAAACCAATTTCTAATAATATAAAACGCCAAGTACACGATAGGGAGGGAAAGAGAGAACGAGAGTTATTAAGTACAGCAAAAAAAAAGAAAAACGAACAAACATTGGAATATAAGATTTGATCAAATGTGCATACATATATATATATATATATAGTAGATAGCTCATTGGCAAAAAACAATAGTCACATCTGGTGCACAACATATACGTTCACGGCTAGTTTGACAAGATGAGTACTTCTGATATATGCACGCCGCCTTAATAATAACTGTGTATGTATATATGTATGTATGTATGTATGAGTGTCTAGAGACACGTCAAAAGTGGCATCGCCTCGTTGTTGCTGTTACTACTTACTATAGAATTCGCTTTCTCCTTCTTTTTTCCTCTGTCTGTATGTTCTTTCTCTCTCTCTCTCTCCCTTTTTCTATTGCTTTTTCTTTTTCATTTAATCTTTTTTTCGCACATTTCCTGTGTGCTCAGAAGATGATAAATGAGAAGAAGAAGAAGAGACACGCATACATACAAATCAGTGGGCAGTACTACTATAGAAAAAAAAGGAAAATAGAATGGAAACAAATCAGATGCGCACGCACATACACATCATCTCATAGACATAGTTCGGAAAAAAAACGACTGCATTTAATACGTATATTGATGTTTACTGGCGTTATGCCAAAAAATAAAAAGAATGAAAAAAAAGAAGAAAAAAAAATATCACTATACGAAACCTTTTCTTTCATCATAAACAATGTATTTTATATCACGTATAACTTCATGTTTGACAGATTGTCTACTCTACGTAAAAAGAAATGATAACTATGTAAACATATATATATATACATACATGTAGACTTGGTCTTCTGCCAATAAGCTTACATATATTGTATGTATGAAAGTAATATATATATATATATCGAAAGAACAAAAAGCAGTTTATGCTGTCAGAAAATGAAAGATAACTGGAATATATATATATATGTATGCATATCTTTATCTTCATTCAAATGTACTCATAAGGCTTAACTTATGAGTACATAGTACAACGACTCACATTTCAATCGAAGTAGTACAGTAAAATGCGAGACTAGTTTCGATCTACTTAAAATCAATGAGAGAATGCGATGAACGAGTCGTAATGGGAAATTGAATGGGCAATCGAGCAAAGAGAAAAAAACCAGAGAGAAAAAAAGGAGAGAAAGACAGAGTTAACGATCAACCGGTGATCACCAACAGAGTACTAATGTTCTCATTTAATGGTAATGCTATTGTTGTATTAGTTTCACTCGAAACTTATCATCGAATTGGTTCATTGCAAATAAGCCATCATGTTAGACAAAGAAAAAAAAAAGAAAGGCACGCTCGTGTTACCTTTTTATTCTTGACATATTCTTAACACTTCGCAATTCAATGTGATGGACGTCAAACCGAACGAGCGAATAACGTTAACTACAAAAACAAGCTGTGGCAAGTATCAGCATCCCAATGACGATGTTGGTAGTAAATAACACAAATGCGCATATAGAGTAAATTTACATAAAGCATACACGTACACATACACAAAAGGCACATATACATCAAATGCCGCATAAATTGAAAAAGTGGAGTGTAAAAAGAAGAAAAAAAGAAGAAGAAGAAGAGAATAGAAAGCAATTGATGACTAATAATATACGTCAATTTATCGAGGGTTCAAGTGTATATGCACCTGGATAAGATTCTCAATTTGTATACTGATAATAACATGATAATGATGCAATCTCTCTTAAATTGAGAATGTGAGAATGAGGAATGTGTACATGCATATAAATATAAATTTTCATCAAAATAGATGACCCACTCTCGTCTCAGTTTTTTTCATGTCTTTTCTCTCGTTTTTTTCTTCTCCTCTTCTTCCTCTCCTTTTTGACCAGAGGGATTTGATTGACAAACACATGCATTCAAGAGAAAAAAAAGAATCAAGAGAAGATTGCTACGACTATATCCGGCGTAAGAAATATATGTGTCCCTTGTGTGACTACGATCGGCTTATCTTATGTTTTATCTCATCTATTCAAGGTGGATCTTCTATAACTATATGTCAAGAGAGACATAGACAAAGGGAAAGAGAGAGAAAAAAAGCCAAGATGGAAAAGCCATTAACAATTATTGCTTAGTTTGAAAGATGTTGCTAATTGCTGTCATGTAAAAAAAAAGAAAAAAAAAATGGGTAGGAGTGAACGGAAAAAAATGTATGTAACTATTTTCTATGTTTTTTATTTGACTTCTATGACTGCTTATTGAGATGTATGTGTGAGAGTACACAACACATTTTTTACCGGAAGACAAATGGTTTGACAATTTAAAAAGAAATTATGCAACGAACCATTTGTTTTTTTTTAAAAGAAGGATATAAATAAGATGGTAGGAAGAATAATATATTGCATGATAGTTAAGATAATTTTGATATGTTGCTTGTTTTTTCAAAAAAAAGAAAAAGGCTTATATTATATAGATAAATACAAAGAAGAATGAAACATTCTTATAATTAAAAAAACTAAATCTTAATACTAGCATCTAGATCGATTTAATCTCGATAATAATGACAGGAATCTATATTGATTCTATTCTAGTTATCTTGTCTTAAGAAAAGGGACGAAAGGTCTGATTAGCAAGTAATCATTATTATTTGTTTACAAGAAAAAAGAAAACGTATGAAGAGAACTAAGACTAATAATTGTGATGATCTATCATCGTTATTTCTCATTCTATCTTATTTCTTGAAAAGAGAAAAGAAAAGTAAGTTTATGACCTTTCTATCTCTCTCTCTCTCTTCTATATATATATGAAAAGATAAACTATAATATGGATTTATATAATGATAGACTTTCTACTTTACTAAGATTTCCTCTAGGCAATTGTGCAATGTGTATGTCGTGAGCAAAGAAGCGAAACAGGCAAACACATGTAGGCACTTGATCTCTTATCTTATGTGCATCCATACCGGCGCCGATGGGTTTAACCGTATGTGATATATGAATAAGAGAGAGAGAGAAAAAGAAAGACATTCAATGTTGTTTACAGATCGACGCACTAATTGGCACGCACAAGCATGCAATACTCTCTCACTAGAGAGATAGTTAAATAGATGGATAACCGATCAAATGTGATGCGATGAAGCCAGTGTTGCACGAACATACTTCTCCCTTTCTCTTATCGCCTCAAGGCAGAAATGCATCAATATGGGTGGGGCTTTACCAGAATTTGATCATCATCATCGTCTTATGAAGACTAATAGAACGAAGAAAAAGAAAATCTAAGATTTGTTAATTGTTCTAAGACTTCTTTGAGAGTTGAATGAGTGAACGAATGACAAAAAAATAAGAAAAAAATTTTGATAGTAGTTTTATCAATTACATCTTTTGTTATTTTTAGTCATATGTTATATAGATATACAAGGTAAAATAAACAAACCTTGCAACTTTAATAAATAAAGAAAGAAAAGTATTTTCTCGAATCATAGCCCACATATAAGTAGTAATTACCTATATATAGGTATCGCATGTTAGTAAATCACATAGAATATAATTTAAAATATTTATATACCTGGCGCAATACTTGAAAGATAATTTATATCAATATTTTACAAATCGATTATCATTCAATTTAGATGCTAAGCATGTTCTTCTTTTTTTTTTCTATAATTATCAAGAAACTTATTTTAGAATATTTCCGTTGTATGTCATAAAATATTTTGTCAGGAAATTCATTGTATACTGATTATCTCTTCTGGAAAAGATTTAATTAGAAAAAATAAAAATTTACCCTTCAGAGACTTTCTTTTTCTGATAGGAAGATAAAAAAATATTGCTTTCGAGATAATTTTAACAAAGTTCTTAACCTTGAGTATATATAGCATTGTGTTATAATAGATAAAGGACCTCTACAATCAAGATAAAACTGAAGAAGTTATTTCTTGGAAAAGAAGAAATCATTTTACAATGATATTATATTATTTTACATCAACTGAATTCAATCTGTATTTATTAGATTGTGTTTTTCTTATTATTAGATTAATAAAAAAGAGCATGTTCCTAAAGAAATATATATATATATATCTTCTAGTGATTGCATTTCTATTGAAAACAAGATGTTCTAATTAGTTCTATTCATAATGAATTAAGTAATCATTCGCTTGCATTAACATTTATAAACAAATAAATGGTAATATATCTGTATTGTACTTTCAACTAAATATTATTATATGTAACATAAATATCGCTATATGATAATGATGATGATGAAAAAAAACACCTATCTATTTAATCGATATACTTAAGATATTGATTTTTATCGGCAAAATAGTTCGATACATTTCATGTATGTGTTTTGTATCAGTACTTCAAAACGAAGAGAAAATAAACAGCAGTTGATATAAACGAAAACGAATAATAGAAAGATTAATCGCCATATATGGTAAACGATCTATTTCTTTTGTCTCTTTCGATATAATATATCTTTTATAACAAAACAAATAGTTATGTCTATTGTTTTCTACGCGGACGCGTCGATATAATAGAATTTCTCTCGTCTAAAAGTTATATTCATTCGTCTTCTTTAATCGTAAAACATAAGTTGTATTTATCTAATCTTCTTCAAATATTCACAAGTTTGTTAAATAATCATGCCATCAAAAACAACAAAAGATAACAATGCTCCAAAGAAACCATTAACTGCTTATATGTTATTTTCGGCCGAGGAACGACCGAAATTAAAAGCAACAGGTTTAGATAATTTTGCTGAAATGAACAAAGCTTTAGGTGCTGCATGGAAACAATGTGATACCAATACAAAGGTAAAAACAAATATTTATATAGAATATTTTTGTATTTTTATATATTTTAGGCACGTTATGAAAAAGAGCATGAACATGAAAAAACACGTTATGAACGTGAATTAAAAGAATATGAAAAATCTGGTGCACCAGCGCCATCATCGAAATCAGCTCAAAAAGCTCATCCACCACCAGCACCTGCACCAACAACAACAAAATCTAGTACAGCAACAACAAAAACAGCAGCTACAACAAAACCAACATCGAAAACTACTGCTCCAGTTGTTAAAAATGAAAAACCAAAGAGTGATAACGATGATGAAGAAGAAGACGACGATGATCAAGAAGGATCTGAAGAAGAATCTGAAGAGTCTGAAGAAGAAGAAAAACCAGCTCCACCAGTTAAAAGTTCACGAAAGAAAATTTAAATCTTCTCAATTCATTTTTTGTATTTAAATTATTATTATTATTTTCCTTTATTTCTTCTTTTCTCATGGAAATACAGTGTACATTTAAATATTATAAATTCTTTCATTAATAAATATAACTGAATAGATCTATTAAACTAATATATGTTCTTGTTTATCATCCTTTCAAATAAATTTATTTACACAATTAAAAAACAAAAAAAAACAATAGTTCCCGTCATTTTATATAGATATAAGACAGCCCATAGTACAGAGATCAAAGTGAAAAGATATTACAATCACGATAAAAAAGGTGAATATTCATCGTGAAACCAATATTTATGTTGTAAAAATGAAAGAATCAATGATTGAAGTTCATTCGAATAATTTATTATTAATTTAGAAAATATTTCAACAGAAATATTTGTATTGCTTGTTAATAGATGTAGAAAACAAGCTCGAATAAGAGATGAGATTAAATTGGGTTTGGATACAATATCAACAACATCAACAGTTGTTCCATTTATAAATTGTTCAAGTACATAATGAACAAGTCGATATGGTAAATAATCAAATAAATATTTATCACATAAATGAAATAAATCTAATATACGATTTAATTGTATTGATTCATTGGTATTCTCTAATATTTTTATTAAATGCATAAATGATTCAATTGATATTGTTTCAGGTAAATGAATCGATATAACTGCTTGATTCCGTTCAAAAAAAGGACCATTAAATAATGTTTTGAAATAATCGGAATGTAAACATAATAGATGAGTATTAACAATTACTATTTGTTGGTTATTAATATTTAATTCAATATTTTTTGTCTGAGTTATTAGTGGAGTTTGAGAATGAGTTTTTAATTTATTAAGACTAAAAAATAAAGAATATAAATTAAGGTGTGGGTGTGGGTGGGTGATAGTGTGGGTCTCTCTACTTTGCCTTCGCCCGCACCCGCACCCAACTTCTTTACACATGTTAGATTTACTTACAATTCATTGAGACTATTTTTATTATTTGATAGTACACATCGACTAACAAGTGTACGTAAAGCCCATAGACAAGCACGTTTATTTGATTGATCAATTAAATAATTATATCCAGATGTTTTATCAAATAGAATTGACTTCAAATTATGTTCTCTAGAATGAAAAAAAAGACATCGAATTATCATTTATATAAATATTTTTTTCTTACTTTAATGTTGCAACAATAGTTAATATTATGTAAGATTTTTCATCAATATTGACATCATTTAATCGTCGTATAGTTTCATTAATTGCATATGGTGTATTTATCAAATTTTCAATATTTTTTACTAGATTATATTCAATAATTTTTAAACGATTTTGTTCATTTGTCCATGATAAACGTTGAAAAAATGCTCGATTTTCATTAAGAAGAATATCTAATAAATATTGATCAGCCATATTTATATTATGAGATGATTCTCTTAAAAAGATATTTTGATAAAAATTTAATGTTATTAAATAAGGTAAACCAAGATCAATTAAATATTCTGTACAATCAATCATTTTTGTTAAACGAGAAATGATTCGTAGAGCACGTGGATTTGGTTCATCACATGAATAAATATATCGAAGAAGTAAAGAAACAAGACGACGATTATAAAGAAAACGTCGTAAATTTTTATCAGTTGCTTCATAAGATAATTTCGATAATAATGTAAATATTAATGCTTCAGTACGACGACGAATTTCTATATTGGTATTTGTCGAAGAAGATACTTGAGATGATAATGAAGTTTGACGTTCATCATCCAAGTGTGTATTTTCAACAAATTCAGTAAATAAACTTTCATTAAAATCTATCATAACAGACATACGTTTTTGTTGTTGCTGTTCATTATCAGTCTATAAAAGAGAGAAATAATCCTTAGTTTAACAAGAAAATGTCTTTAATAATCTTTACCGTATGTTTTGTTTTCAGTTTTTTTCTTTTCTTTAAATCTTGTTCATCATCAGTTAATAATCTTTTTTCATTACTTTCATATTTAATCAAAATAATCGATTCTAATAAATCACACATACGTTCAACAAATTGCATTTGTTTAACAAATATAGTTAGTGATTGATCATCATAAATAAATTGTCCAATCGCTGTTAATAAAAGATCCAAAAAATTTGAACGATATTGATATTTTTCTAGATAATTAAAAAATAATTGTAATTTATTAATATCATCTTTAATTAAACGACGATTAGTTGTTTCTTGACAACAAACACAATATAATCCAATAAATTTTAAATGTTCAAAAGTTGATTGATATTGATGATTATTAATCATGTTTAATAGAAAATTTAAACCATTACGTAAACCAAATTCCGTACGCATATCACTATGACGTAATAAATTATTAAGAAGACGAAATGCAATATGACGATATTCTTTATCTGATTTAGCTTCAATTGTTGTTATTAAAAAACGAAATATATCACCTTCACGTAACTGTAAAAAAAGAAAATATATGTTTTAATTCAAAAAAAATAAGAATTTTACTTGTGAACGACTTCTATCTGAACTTTCAATATCCCATTCTAAAACAGCTTTCATTGCTTCTTTACGTAATGCAACTTTTTCAGCAAATAATTGTTTACATATTGATAATAAACACATCGAATCAAGCATTCGATCACGACAAAATGCATATGTACTTAATTTTCTATCAAAAAAAAATATTTTTATCTCTTAAAGCTATTTATAACAATATATACCTTGCACATCGAATTGTTGAATGTAAGCATGCAGCATCTGTACAAGTACGCAATACATTACCCATCGATCGTGTTAAATCTAAAGAAAAATTTGATATGAAAAACAAAACATAAAAATTTTGTTCTATACCTGCATCAATCATTTTTCGAGCTGCATCTTCAACAGTACATACATTGCCTAGTAATCGAAAACATCGATTTGTAATATCTATTGGACCAGTATCGATTATTTTCTGACAAACTATATCGATTAAATCAGTTTCTAAGATCTATGAAAAGAAATAATTGTATTAGTCTTAAACTTTTAAATTGATGACTCATTTCCGTTATTTCTCAATATTCAATAATTCACTGAAAATAACTAACCTGTTCATGTGATGCTTGTTCACAGGCGATATTAGCAAAAATACTTAAAACTGTTGATTGTATTGATAAATTTTCAATTAATATATATTCTAATAATATAGTAAATAAATCATCATGTATACGCATATATAACCAAGCATTAGTTCGTGTTGATAATGGCTTAAAATGTTCCAAGGCATTTTGTTGTTGTTCAATTGATTGACATGTAACTGATGAACGTAAACTATCAATTGCATTTTTATATAAATCAAATGATGATATTAATGTTCGTGGAGAATCAATATATTCATCATCATCAATATTATTATCATCTTCTTCATTTGAATTCGAGCCATGTCGAGGTGGACTAAATGGTGGCGGTGATATAGACATTTTCTTTTTGTTGTGGAAAAACAAAACAAAATAGTTGATGTGTGTATTATTATTGAACGATTGCACAGTTAGTGCAATTGACTCGATAGAAAAAAAACTATTCGATGAATTCAATCAATAAAATGACATTAGAATAAATAAAAGATTGATTTTTATAGGTATAAAAATAAAGGAAAATTTTTTATAACGAGTTTAATTTGAGATCATATGAATATATTTTAAGGTCATAAGAGAGAAGTCTATTTAGAATTCTATTGGTTAATATACGAACTAATCATATATGATTAAATAATGATTCATTTCATTTTTATTTTTGAAAAAATGATAAGAAATTAAATTTATAATCAAAATGTCATTTCGTCGAAATGATATTCGTACTCGATCGATTAGTACTGGTCGTCGACAACAAACTCGATTCTATTCGAATGAGTCTGTCACTGATTTAACATCAAATATAGATTCAATACCAAATGATTTACCAGAAGTATTTAATTGCAAGAAATTCTTTCAAAAAAAAATTATTTTTTTTTAATTTAGTTATCAAGAATCGTTCGAAAATTATTACCACGTTTGTATTTTTCAATTATCTAATAATTTAACACGAAATTTTTTATTTCATCAGAAGAAATTCCAGTAAAAGTACATGTGCGAAATGTTGATTATATTGAAAATGAATGTGAACAATTAAGTGGAACTTTATACTTGACAACATTTCGACTTGTCTTTGCACCAGATAATGAAGTGGAAAATAATAATTTTGTAAGTAGAAATTTTCAATAATCACGTTCATTCTTTTCTATTTAAAGTTCAAGAGTTAAAGTATTTTGTAAAATCGTACCGTTGAGTTGTTTAGGTTGTATGCAAATAATATTACAGATACAATCTTAAAGACGTTCGGTAAATCTAATCTTTTCGATAAGTAGAGCTCTTATTAGATCTAAAACTACTACTTTCCAGAAAGTTTTTATATTTAACTTGTTATTTCATTTTATCTTTAGATTATTTCTGGAAATAAATATATTAGTGAATATGACATTCCATTAACATCTATTTATAAAATTGTGGTTGCTCGTAAGTATATTATGACAATTGTATTTATGTTAATATACATTTAATTGTATTTTTTTTTATAGCGGTTGATTCTCGGCTAGGTTTTAAATCATTTTTAAATGAAAATCAAATTCAATCAGAAACAAGATCATTTACAATCATCACTCGAGTATAGAAAAATATTTTTCGATTTATTTTAAAACTATATGTTGATAATTAAAAAGGATTTTCGAAAGATAACATTTTCAAATTGTTCAGTTATTAAATCAAATTCAATTGGTAATAAACAACAATTATTTGCAACAAATATGGAAACAGTATATTTTTTAAGCAAAATTTGTTTTTTTCTTCAATGTTCTATTAATACATTTATAGTATATCAACACATTAAGCAAACATTCTCATATTTACAATAAAGAACAATTATATCCTTATGTTGCTTTACAAACACCTTCAACAAATCAATATGGTCGTCCATTATCACCATTAGCATCTTCGTCTAGTGGACGATCTGTAGATGATGATATTAATGGTTAATATATATTTTTTGTTGTTGTATTTCATACTTAATTATAGAATATATTTAGATTTTTGTGCAAGTAATGATGAACGTATAAAAAGTTATTTAACTTATCCAGATTGGGAGGATGAATTATATGATGCTAATGAATCACAATGGGTTGTTAATCGAATGAAATTTGATAGATCATCTATTGTACAAGAGTACGAAATTAATTTAAAAAAAACATCTTTATTTTACTATCTATTTATAATATTAGTGAAGGTCCATTCATTCGTTTAGCACATGGAAACATGAATGATGATTTTAATGATTTAGTAAGATTTATTATTATTAGTTGTAATATTTAATTGATTTGTTTTTTGATTAGATTTGGCATTGGACTCATACATCTGAAAATAGCAATCGAACAAAATATATGCTTATTACTATACCAAATATAGGAGAAATAACAATAGCTGGAGATTCGTAAGTTGAATTTGAGGAGATTATATTCATTATTTTAGTGAAGTTTATGATAATGAGAAAAAACAAGAGAAATCTTTTATTTCGATTTTAAACAGTGGTGAATCTTCTTCCATAAACAAATCAGCATCATCATCATCAACACCACAGTGGTTTCTAAACTTATCAAAAAAATTATGTTCAACTACAAATAATGATTTACCGGTGATACTTACGAATGAACCTAAAACAACAACAACTGGTGGATTAATGATTGTACCACCAAAATCGCCCAGTATTGAGTGAGATACACGCCTGTGCTCGGTAACCATTGTTATAATTAATATATTGCGTGTGTATCTATTGTTTTTGTATTGGTGATGGATTATAATTAAACTAATAAAATTCAATTATTTTTCTTGATTTTAAAAGAAACATTTTTCTATTTCAGTTTACGTCGTACTGCAACAGATTCGGCTTTAATGTATTCCGCTCATTATATCTATGATCAACCATTTCGACGTTATAATTTATCAAAATTTCCATGTAATTTAAAACGTTTACAAGCTAGTTACGAAAAATTAATTGAAATATGTGTTATATCTCCTGGTATACACTCATACTTTTCTTTTATATTAATAGTTTTATTTTCTTTTTTATAGAAGATGATGATGATAAATGGTTAACTAAAATAAATACATGTAAATGGCTTAAATATATATCAAAAGCATTACATGGAGCTGCTTCATTAGCTAAATTACTTAATTATAAAAATATTCAATTATCTGGTATGAAAATATGTTCAATTAATAAATTTTGTATATTTTATTTCTTCAATAGGAAGTGATATAGATAATAGTTGTTTGATGGCATCATTAATTCAAATATTACTTCGACCAAAGTGTCGTACAATTAAAGGTTTTTGTGAATTAATTATTCGTGAATGGATTATTCGTGGTCATCCATTTCGTGAACGTTTTGGACAAGTTATTTCACATGTTGATGGATATAATGTACAAGAAGTTTGTTTTTATTTTTGTATCTTGATAAATATTTATTTTAATTTAATATAATAGGCACCAGTTTTTCTTCTCTTTCTCGATTGTATTCATCAATTAATTAATCAAAATCCATTTTCATTTGAATTTAATGATTATTTTTTACTTGAACTCTATCGTGATATTTGTTATTGTTATCATCATACATTTGTGTTCAATTCCATAGCTGAACGTCTTCATGCTGTAAATAATTGTCCAAAAAATCTTTTACTTCTATCATCATTTGATTTTTCACTCTATCTTTATCGAAATACATATCGTTTATTAAAAAATCATGCATCTATATTTACTGATGAAAAATATTTTTCTTCTCGTCAACAACCATCAAAGCGAGTTGTTTATCGTCTTGAAGCACCTAAACCAAATAATTCTAGACGTGAGAATAATAATATATCACCTAGAAATAATTCATTACCATTAAATTCCGAAGAATTTGACTATAATACAATTGAATCTCCACAAAAATTTACATCTGATCTTCAAGTTGATTGGCGTATATTTAATATCGTTTTATGGTCAAAATGTTATTGTCGTTATGATCAAAATTATTTACCAACAATACGTGAACAACAATTATCTTTTGAAATTAATTGTTCTCAAGATGATATGGAAAATGCATATATAAGACCTCGACCGCATATATCAATAGATAAATTTCATTCTGTAAGAATTTTTATTACATAAAAATCAAAAGAACTTTGTTTTCTTTCTTAGATAAAATATGCAAATTCTTGGCATCCACAAATGTTAGAAACTCGTGTATAAATAAAATTGACAATATGTTGACATGAATTATTTTAATTTATTAACATATAGTGCTTGGGCTCATCTTTTTTTTATATAAACATTTTATTTAACAGTGATTTATGATATTTTGTTTTGATTAATAACATGAACATAATTTGAATTCTTCTTCGATTTTTATTATATTTTATGTGTCAAACTTTCGCTTAGAAAAATAGAATATTTGAAATCTGAATTTCACTTGATGGTCATATGTGTAATACTCTTTTAGGCTCGAAGGAAATATTCAGTTATAATCTTGTGTGCATTGGCACTCACAGTTTACTCACACTCACACCCTCTTCACCTGACACTGACAGTATCTTTTTTGATATAAGTTATTGAGCGAATATTTAGTCGAAATACTCGAGTCTGCTGCTAATTTTACTTACGTGTCAGAACATCAATAAACTGTCTCTTTTTTTTCTTAAGAATGTGTCCTTTTTATAAGACGTCGAAAGCACTCTCGTTTATTGAAAGAAATGAGTAGTATATATTGCATACGAACAAATGCGAAGCTAAACAATGACTAGACAGTATTACAACGCGACATTGATACAACTAGAAAGATGATGAAACGAGAAAGTAGAATTGAACAATATGAAGAGAACAGAAAGAGAAGATATACGTGAAAGAAATGAAGGAGATGATATGCATCAATCTCTAGCATTTCTATCAAAAAATTATCATAGTATCAGTGTTTTCCTTGAACATCGAAGTTTTTCATTTACAATGTGTTTCGCGTCAACGTAAAAATCAATTATGTTTGATCAATGGGCATTATTGTAGCAGCTCTACGTTTACATTTTTTAATAAAAAACATAATAAACTTAACCCAATATGGTACCATCAGTTTCAATACTGTAATTAAACCGCCGGCTAATCCAACTAGTGTCGTAACAATGTATATTACACTATTCTTTGATGTAACAGTATAACTACAGCCTGACGGTTGACATTCACTGTAATAATTCTCATAAATGCTTGAATTAATCCATTCTTC